TTCGTAATGGCTCCGGCCGTGCGTCGGAACGACAGTTTCCTCGGGCGAAAGCTGCAAAGAAACGACCCGGCACCCCTACGAGGAGTTATCGATTGCAGCTTGCAGTATTCGACAGGCGTTGGGATTCGGTACAGGACAATAAAATTTGATGTCGTCTGCGGAGATCAAATATTTGACCCCTGGTGGAACAAGTCGACCAATGTCAAGCGCAAAGATCGCATTCAGGATCGATGAGAATCTGACGGGAATTTCCAGGGCGGTTCTCTATCTTTCGCGTGAAGCGGAATGAGGCTTGCGCTACACTGTAAGATGTCGAGGAGAAAGTTTTAAGCAACGAAGCCGATCTTCTGCCGCTCTATGTATCGATTTATTTCGTTTAGTTCACCCGCTCGAAGCTCTTCGTAATCCCTCTGCATGGGGTTGATGGGGGCACAAGCGTCAAGCTTCCTCACTTCGATGAGCTGTCCCTCTCCCGAAGAGCGTTCCCCGAAGCTCTCGCGAGGCTCTCTCAGATGAGCTTCTGAGCTTTTTCAACCGAAAAAGTAATTTTCGAGTTCTTCTGATCGTCGTGCCGTAATTGGGATGCGTAGTTCCAGCATTTTCTGCTGATACTGCCCTCGGTTTGTCTGTCCTCTTGTCCCTCAGTGTGTCAGCGAATGAGAAGCGAAGCAGAAATCGTTTCGCTTTCTTCGGCCGGCATCCGTCAGTGCATTCGGTAAGCGTCGGTGGTGGCTTTTGGAATCCTGTGTTCCCCGCGTGACTTCCACTCCGCTGTTCTCCCCTTCAACTGCGAATCGGGAAAGAGAATCTGTAGTTGTTGTAGTAGTAGTAGCTTCTGCTGCTGCCGCTGCTGGCATAGTGACCCCCTTTCGGGAAGAGGGGAGTCTTGGTATCTCTTCGCAGCGCCCGGCGTGGACTTCGCTATTAGAGCGGCGACGTCCGACTGCTTCGGTTGTCTCTTCGAAAAAATTTTCCAACTCCTCGTCGCGAACGTCACGGCTCTAGTGTGTGAAGTCGGTCTCCAGCAACACTTCGCGGAAAACACGAGGGAGCTTCGTTCACGGCACCGCCGACGATCTCCAAAAAGTACCTCGCTCCCCTCTGGATCCCTTCGACTTTCTGCGAAACTTGTGCTGCTCGGAGGATACGTGAAGCTACAATCGACAGCAACGCATCATCGAAATCTCATCACGTAGAGGTAGGGTTCAACAGGAGCGCGGCGTGAGGCGACCCGCGCGGTGGTCCATTGAGTTTTCCCTCGTTTTCTGTGGTCCATCAGCTGAGCGCTTGAAGAACACCGTTACTTTCACCGTTAGCAATGACTCATTCTGTCAGGTTACAGCTTTCTGGCTCTACAGAATCATTTCGCCGCTCGTCCGAAGTGGGTCACTTCGACACTTTTACTCATTCTAACTCGGCACGCGGAGCCCGACTTGCAGTTTCGTTACGGCAGCTGTCGAAACCAATATTTCTTCGAGCGTCATAAAGTCAGGAGCAGCTTCGCGAGGATGCGGGGTCATTTTCCCCGAATTTGTCGCGGCCGTAAAGCGTGAATTCGCCTCGGAGTCGGTGACTTCAGAATTAACGGCGCACTTCGCGCTTGGATGTTTCCGAAAATACATCCAAAGACGGTCGATTTCAAATGCGTCACAAGAGCAAACTAGTCCATATATATGATGACCCACTTGATTCACACCATCGAATACGAGACAGAAGACGCTACCGGACGAAGTCACGGACAAGACACTATCGATTCCTAGAACCGCGTGAATTACGTGAGCCCGGCTCTCGCCCTCCGGCAACTTTCGGGCTGCGCGACTCCAGCAGAAGGCTTATCGATTCGTTCTTTTTCGTTCCAGGAAAATGCTTTGGAGTTGCTAGTCACAAATCCGTAAACTATTTGTGAGGCGAGAAAGCGTCGAAACCGCTCTTACACCACCGGCAACAATGCGTGTATCATTCGTCGTGGCTCTCGGCCTCGTGAGTTTTTCACAAGCTCTGGATCACGTGAAATTCGGAGCCAGCCGCGTCATCCAGCCGAATCCTTGTGCGCACGAGCGTACCGGCGAAGAGGGTGTCTGCATGTTTGCTTGGGACTGCCTGAATTTGAATGGAACTCACATCACTTTCTGCCGCGATCGATTCTACTACGGGAGCTGCTGCAAGCTTCCCGAAGGCGTTCAAGCTCCCAACCGGAGTCCACCCGGCTACCATAATCCGCCGTCCAATCATCTCGATGCAACGACTCGCCGACCTGTCACAACGACGACACCGGACGCGATCGAAGTTCAATATGGAGAAGACGTAGCCACATCTAGACCACCCGTCGTCGAGGTGCAGTTTCCAAGGGACCCAACGCCGAAACCCACGATACCACCTGCCATTCCGACGCTCTATCCCATAGTTCCTCCCACAACACAACGGAGACCGATAGTTGTGAACAACCACCACAAGAAGCCCGGCCAGTTCCCGCTGAAGGGCACCACTGTTCCCCCCACCCCGCGTCCTCGACCCACTGAAGAGGTGACCACGATGGCCATCACCGAGGTGCCGACAGGCAACCCGACGTGGATAGTCGCCGACGAGGCGGACAAGAACGGTCGTCCCACAACAACTCCTGAAGCTCTGGAGGACTCGAGTCCGGTGGCAACCAACCCAGATTCTGTCGGGACGACTCAACGACCAGCGATCGCAGAAACGACGATCCGGACCTCGGAAGAAACGACCACCGCGCCCCCATTGACTACAACAGCGGCTGCCGAGACATCGACGACTTTTTCCTCAGCAGATGTGACCACAACGACGGCCGCTGCCGCGGCTGATGCCGAGGACACCCCAGAGCAAACTCAGTCTCCTGAAGGAGCGCCCGGTCCGATTCAGGAGCAGAACTCGATCGACTTGACAACAGAATCGATTCCCACGACCACACGATTTTTCTCTACCCGATACCCTATCAGGTTCCCCCCGAAAGAGAAAGTCACAACCACCACAACAGAAGAGCCCGTCGAGCTGGAAGCGTCGGCGACCCCACCGAGTGAGCAGCAGGAAATGAGTTCCGAGCCCGCTACCGCGGCAACCCCCGCCGTCAAGGAGCCAGAGACGGCTAGCCCAGAAGCTGACCTCCCGACGACGACTTCCACCACCACAACAACGACGCCAATAACAACGACGACAGCAGAACCCCAAGCTCCATCGGAGAGCGTATCGGGGAGCGCTGACAATGCTCCCGTTCCCACGGAAGCGGGACCGATCGTTGAAAGTACGTTAACGCCGCAGCCCGCGAGTAGCGAAATTCCTCAAGTGAGCTCTGAGAGTCCATCGTCCGCGTCGACTGATCCGACGGAAGAAACCGTGACCCCCACGAAAGCTGTTCCGTCAGTACCGGCCACCGCAGCGAGCGACCCGGTCACGGAATCGACGTCTACATCGTCGACGACGACGACGACAACGTCGACCACCACCACTACTCAAGCGATAGAGACTACGACCGAATACGATCCAATCAAAGCAATTTGTGGGATGCCCAAGAGTTTTGCCTCGGGGCGCATTGTTGGTGGCGAGCTCACTCGTTTCGGAAAATGGCCGTGGATGATATCTCTCCGTCAATTCAAGAAGAACTCTTTCGTTCACAAGTGTGGGGCCGCCCTCTTGAACGAGTACTGGGCCGTGTCGGCAGCTCATTGCGTTCACAACGTTTCCCCCAACGATATTCTGCTCAGACTGGGTGAATACGATCTCAGTGGACACGATAAGGAACCTCTGGGACACATTGAGCGACGAGTCCAAATAGTGGCCACTCATCCAAGATTCGATGCGCACACATTTGAATACGATTTGGCTCTGATGAGATTCTACGAGCCGGTAACGTTCGCGGATAATATAATTCCGATTTGTATAGCCGAGGGTAATCATAGCTACGTCGGAGAAACCGCTGTCGTCACCGGCTGGGGTCGTCTATATGAAGACGGACCGCTGCCATCGGTTCTCCAGAAAGTGCAAATTCCAATCATCACCAATCAGGAATGCGAGAGATTGTACCGCAAAGCCGGCTTCGTTGAAGACATACCTCAGATCTTCATCTGCGCAGGAATGCCGTCCGGTGGCAAGGACTCCTGTGAAGGAGACTCCGGCGGTCCTCTGGTGTTGAAGGATGAAGAGAGCGGACAATGGAATTTGATCGGAATTATCTCGTGGGGTATCGGGTGCGCGATGCCGAATCAGCCCGGAGTCTATACGAGAATCACCAAATTCGCCGATTGGATTAAGCAGATAATTGTGTTTTAATAGAGTGAGACGACTGCACATGTACAAAGTCAAGCGACGTCACTTTTCCGGACGAATAGAGGAACAGTGGTGCGATTCTGGCAGGGGAGATTACCCCTAAGCGTAGGGCGAGGGGCTTTCGCTTCAATATTCTCATCGAGCCCTCCTACGCTCTCTCATCCAATTGGAAAGGTTCATCATCCCCGCATCTCTCCATCCAGTCATCCATGAACAGAACAGCTATTCATCTAGATCTAGATCGAATATATTCATGATTCCAATGATATTTATTGATTGTACATAAATAAACAGGAGGTAAACAAGGAAGTCGACAGGATGAATTCATTGCTTTCGGTGTCAGTATTTCGGAACCGGAATCCGAAGCGTTCCTGGGCAACAAGATTCTTCACTGGCGATCGAGCTTTTTGTGGCTCATGGCGCGAGATATCGCAAAGGGAATCACCGATGCTCTTAAGGTCTGTCTTGGGTCTCTGTTCGTGATTCTCGAACATGATTCAGCTTTCGTCCGCTGAGCCCTTCCCACTGGAAATGTTCATACGTTTTGGGTGGCAAAACACGAATCGGTAAGCTCCCACGCAGGTGAACCGGGGTCTTCTTCTGGGACACGCTGACTTATGTGACTCGCTTCCAAAACTCGTTTTGTGCAGCTGAACAATGAATATTCATCCGACGAAGGGAGTCGCGTTAGTTCAACGCTTCTTCTCCGTCTCCGAACCACGATGGTGCGCTTAATCTTGGGTCTATACGCCCTAGAGGGTCCGAACCTGATATGTCGGGAAGTTGCTGTGCGTCCGTTGGTTTCTGGCTGACCAGATTTGTCCAGTGGCTAATTCTCGAGCATTTTCCCCGGGTCTGTGGTATGGGGAGATGAGCCTCTGTTTCCGCGAAGAGGCTGCACTCGAACGGTTTGGAGTGACACCGGATCGTCCTCGTCAGATCGCTTCTCGGAGAGGAATCGGGAGTTCGGCGATCGGACTCAGGGAAAGTGTACCGCTCGGCTCCAGAATGCAGATGCTAAATGCGTATATGCGGAGCATGCCGTATTCGAGTTAGAGCCGAGATATCTTGCCGTTTCTCGGAAATTCTATTGGATCGTTCATATTGAGGAGGCAAAACTGAATTTCTGGAGCGTTGGCGCAACTCTCCGTTCCGTTCCTACTTGCGAGATATCAAGGTCAGTTCGAAAGACGAGCAGAACTCGGTTTCGCTTCTGTCGGGAAATCTTAATGGCAGGGCCCGGCCCCACGCGGAATGTGAGCCATCTCTTCCCAGTCAATGAGAACGAATCGCAACATCGCGTGTGAGTCACATCTTTCGCGAAGAAAAAGAGTCGCGGTCACTCAGCCTTACAAGTAAAAGTTTCGGCCAGCGCTCAGCTCGTAGTAACGGGGGTTGGCTGGCTGACTGACTGACTGCCTGACTCGCGAGTCGACTCGCGAGTCAGGCTGACTCGTTTTGTTCTTCAGAAGTCCGTTGGCATCGAGAGTTTGTGGAGCAGAAAGCAAGAGGGACAAGAAGGTATTGCTCATTTGGGTTGTGTCCCACTATGGAGAACCCCAACGAACGCTATTCTCAGCTCGTGATGTTAGAAAATTCCTCTGGACAGCTCCCACGATGAGAATGAAGCGCGCGCCGCCGGGATGACGAGGCTCCAGGGCTATGCCTCAGCTCAACTCCCTCTCGATTTTTACAATCAGGTACTCTGAGAGGGGATGGCCGCGGAGCAGACTTCCGCCCCGGTCACTATCAGAGTCCTCCGTTCTCGATTCCTTGAGGGATGTCCCACCATCAGGGTAGAATAATTACCCCGGGTCAAAGTGGTGAGACTTACTTGCGTAGGCAACCATGCCTCGCGAACAGAACAATCCGCGGAAAATTCAGCGAGGATGGTTGCACCGTGCAACGCGGTATCAGCTGATTGCGGCGTAGTAGGCCCGATCGCGGCAGCGTGCTCATGAGAAGTCAATCTGGAAAGACTCCCTCACTGGGCTCCCTGGAGACCGTTCCGTTTCATGGTTTCCGAGTCTTCGCTAAGAACACCTCAGGTCCGAGGGCTGGTGGTTGTTTTTGCAGTATTGACTCGAAGAGTGACTGATGTTCCACCGAGGATCGCAGAATCGACGCCTTCGATGCGGCATCGAGCAAATTGCTGCCGCCGGCGGAACCATCCCCATTACATAAAACCACACTTGACCTTTTGTAATGTACTGGATTGCAGTTGGGATTACAATCGAATCTGGTTATGCTCCACAATGTTATCGCGACGAACGCGGGCAGATTTCTTCCCGGGCAGAGCCTGCGGGATTTGCGCGGAAACAGCTTTCGGAGTTTTTCGCGTCTTTCGCATCATCTCAGGAGGCGAAAAGGTGCACGATTCGGAAGAATAGCACAAGCGTTCCTCCTCCCCGACTCCCCATTTGAATTTTCGGTCAGTCTCGAAGAGCTCGAAACCCTAGATCACCTGATTCTGCCGCTCACCTTGTTCTCACCGGGAGCTCTTACGTTCTCGCCCGTGTGGAGCCGCTCAGAAATACCGAAACACAATTCCCAAAGGTTGATTCATTGAGATTGTACCTCGTTGTATGCACCGATGCCACACAGACCTGACAGGCAAGAGTTGCTCTTCTTGGAACGCTCGTCGCCTCGCTGGCAGTCATTCTTCGAATTGTCATCGCGCGGCTTCCGTGAAAAGGAGCTGAGGTCGTAGTCATAGGCATGCGGAGCTTTGATTCCTCCTCCGATCGCTGCGGATCCGAATCATCGTCATAGTTATTCTTGGTCTCCTGCTTGCGACCTGATCCCACATCGTCAGGTCGAAATGCATGCCTCAGCGAAGATATGCCATCTACCCTCAGCCATGAGGGGAACTCAGGACTCCTCGTGGGGAACCGATCTTGCCTTGGGAGCCGGCTCCTCCTCTCCCCGCAGAGGCACCTAGCATCAAGAGTATGCTTCAAAGCCTCCAAACTGGGAATCCCTCTTTTTATTTCACATTCCATACAGAGCTTTCAATCGTATACGCCATCTTCAGATATTGGTTGATGCTAGGTATATGAGTATAAAGTATGTACGTATTTTACAGATTTTCAATTTTCGAGCGATAAATTCTGTTCGGTACAAACGCAGGCGCTGAAACTCTCAAGTGTACAATTGAGTCGGCGTCGGCTCACAACAAGCGAGTCTGTGAGACTTGGATTGATGTTTCGTTCGATGGATGAATGGATTGTGGGGTAAATATATCGAGGAGCAGAATAATACAGCGGAAAGAAAGCATCCTCAATCTTCAATACGCATCGAATGGGCCCATGGGATCTGCCCGGCCGCAGAAAGAAGACGCGGTCGTGAAGTCAATGATCAGAGAGACCCCGAACAACTGTTGCCGCGTGCAGCCCGAGCGGAGTAGTGAGATTCAATGTAGGTGTAGCGCACTCCATGTCGCGTCACATCGATTATCGCGAACGGCAACTGTCTCAGGAATCATAGGATGCGAACTCATCCTACAGGGAGCCAGATCTCGGTGAAATTCGTTCATCGGGACAAAGAGTATTCGCAAATATTTCCGCAGACGGGACTGTCGCGCATTTCTATAACACATTATCGGTCTCTCTATGCGTTGGCGGAAACATTTTCGCGTAATAATATCGTGCGCGACTCGATTCCTGTCGCTTTAATGTATTATCATAGATAGACGACTTGCTCTCGTGAGCATCCTACGACGGGTAGATACTTCGAGAGACTGACCCATCGCAATCTGCTCTTCGCAGGGCTGATCGGTTTTGATTGTCGATTTCCGTACAGAAGTGAAACTTTGGTCGATCAGGAAGAACTTCGACACTGGGTTTAGTGGATAACATCTCGGTATGAGTTTTTCCAAACCTCCGCTAGGGTGACTGATGAGTGGAATCTGGAATGGAAGCTTCATTTGAGTCGAATCGAGATCGAGATTCATTCGTATAGAATGCGGGCATATCTTGTACAAGATTGCTTCATCCACTATCATCATTTTTCCATTTTTGCATCTAGGTCTCGTAGCTCAGAACGCGTCCCGTGCGGGATGACTACTAATGACTAACTATAAGAATAATCCCGGCATAGCGTTTGACCCGCGAAAATTGGAGCTATTTGCTCTCCGTATCGACATCTGCACCCTTCATATCGACCTCCTATGTAGTGGGGAGTCGCCGGCGAAGAGTTGGGCATTCCGTTCTACGGCGCTAAAGCCTGAACTCTCCTCGAGCGAATGCCGTAGCATAACAGGGCCCGCCTTGGACCTCCAGCATTGGGGCGGTCAATAAAGAGGGAGGCTTGCGGCGAATAGGAACAGCCTGAGCGAGGTTCAGCTCTAGCTCGAGCCCCGCACATGGTCCCGCTACGGATTCCTTTGAAAGGTTCTTGAAAATTTCGTCCGATGAAAAAGGAATCATCTCAGATCTCCCGCAGAAATTGTTTCCTAAGGAGCCTCTCTCGCATCCCGAGCCGTGCGTCTTACCGGTAGAAGATGCTGAGGGGAAGACACGAGCGAATGATGAACGTCCAAGCGAGGAACCCATAGAAACCAAGCTGCACCGGACTGGCCTCTACTTTCTGCATTTCGAAAGTGTACACAATCCAAAGGGTCATGTTGGCGATCAGCAAGAAAGCGACAGCTTGTCGTCCCGGTTTGGTTCGATCGTGTTCGGGGAGGTAAGTCGTCCGACAGGTTATGTCAGCGATGAAAAGTGATTGCAGCGTCACCTGAATTTGAGAGCCAACTGTTATGATCGATAGCGAATCCTATCCTGAGAATCCCTTGTTCCTTTCCGACTCGCGAGGCCAATATGAACTATCTCCTCTCCAGTACTCAGTGTCTGAGTCAGTCGTACCTGTACGATCGTGAGTATCGATGTCAGAAGCAGCAAGAGGTTGGGAGCATGACTTTTTGGTAGTAGTGCACCTGGAATCGGTTCGTTTGATCCAATTAATCATAGTTCCGACAGATACATATTTCGAGAACAAAGCCCGAGCTTTTTAAATTTCTGATATCTCGAGGTGGGATTGGACGACGGGAGAAAATAAGGGCTCGGTAATTCGAACTCACCGGCAACGATCCCGAAAACCGAGTAAACGTATAATCCGAAGGACGAAACGCTGAGGAGGATCGATCTCAGATGCTCATTGCGGCTCGGATGGAACTTGAGTTTTCTGCATGGAAGATGAGATGGAAATTATTTGAGGCCTCAAGGATTCCGACGCGACGCTAGAAGTCACTGGATTCAGGTTCCGAACTCCCGGTCGGGTCCCGCTCGGATCTGACTTGGGATTTCTCATGCCTTAAGTACGGAATTATTCTAGGGGTTACCTGACCCTGAAGAATCCGATGAGAATCGCAAGGATTGTGAGAATCTGAATTCCACAGTGTGACGACTCCGACATATAAATCGCTACGATCTTGTGCCGGTTATGCTGCACCAGTACGAAGAACACAATCAAACAGATGGTCGAACAGACCAACACGAAGAGACCCAGGAAAAGCCCTTTAGAAGATCCGGCGCAGGTGAGTGTATGAGAGGCGTGCGAGACGCTGATTCCTCTGGTATAGTTTTGCGTAGAAGATGAAGTTCGCGAAACTTGATCGTCGGTGGGCTGCGGGGACTGCAACTGAAATCGAGGAAATTTTGGGATAAAAAAACGGATACGATTTTTGCGGCCCAGGTCCCGGTGCTCAATTACTTCAATGGCCGGATAAAGCACTCACAATGAGCTGATCCCTGCGATCCTGTAAATTCAGATTGGATTAGTTTCTCCTCCTCAAAATCTTGACAGGTGTCGCATAATTCGCGAATTCAGATTGAGAGAGCGGGATAAGTATCTAGAGAACTTAATGATCTCCCTCCGACCTAGTGGCCATTCGCCTCTTTCAAGCCTCCGTAAGGGAGATCCTCAAGCTATCGTAGGACGACCCAATATTTGTTCTCGAAGACTCAATAACTCAATGACTCAATCACTGAACTTTGTATTCAATGAAGCAGGGGAGCATGAACGGAACTTACGTGGAAAACGGGATCTTTGCCAATGTTGCGCCACATGACATAGAGGACTGCTGCAGAGATCAGGGAGTATTCTATGATGAAGGGATAAAGGTATGGAGAAGCGTCGACCACGATGGATCCCATGATATCGACCCGTTCACATATTTCTGTAGAGTTGGCTGGGGGGGGAGACGGAAAATGACTTCAAACTCAGTCACGCGATCGGAGGGCACGCTCCTCGACCTCTGAATCAGCCTTTGTCGAAAGTCCGGTGACCCTTGGTTGCGTAACATTATTTCCGATGGTAACGGAATCACATTTCATTCCCGACCTTTCGCATCGTCCAAAAGGGTGATTCAGGATTGACATCCGAGGCTCTACTGCACTTTATATAACTCACCTCTGGCGCGAAACGTGAGCACCGCGTCCTCGATGGTTGTGGATCGGTTCCGAGCTTCTGGTGTCTGATTCGAGAGTACCTCTTGCAGAGTTTCCTTCCCGAGGGTTCGAGCCCATACGCAGATGTTCGTTGCGACGATGTGCATTAATCCGAAACGAGCTACAACCTTGAACTTTTGTATGTTCAGCTGAAATGGGAAACAGGTCTCATAAGGATTCCAGAGCGGCGCTCTCCGTTGCGCGCTCCAACGAAACAAAAGGTTCCCTCGGTGCATTCGTAGTATGGATGTACGATGATGGCGCACTTCATATTTGGATTATCGAACTCCCATTCATCTGACTGATCACTATCTTCGGGATTAGTTTTATTTTCATACGAGAATTTGGCCGGTCGCACAATACGCGGGGACTACGGAAGAGGGATGCCGGGCAACGAGAACAATTCTGTGTTCGGGATCCATCTCGTCCCGAGGCCGGAAGGTATTCGCGAATCATAGCAACATTTTGGAACTGCCTAGTCCCTTTGAAGGCGCTCAGTCGGCCTCGGGGCATTCGCTGATAAGCTCCCTAGGGCACGAAACACGAAACGCTGCGGTGTTCCGAAAGGAGCTCAAATCGTTACGTGGAGACTTCTGTTCGACACAAACTCACCCTGGCGTTCATGAAAATGAAGTACATCTGGGCAAAGGTGAAAATCATTTGCAGAATCGGGTTAATCGCCAACAGATTCGAGTAGCATTTACTTGTGGTCGGTATCTCGAAGTAAAGACCGAACTCCAGTCCGCTGTAGATCATTGTTCCGAGTCCGAAAGCGATAGCACCGACGCGCAAGAAGAGGCTCCCGTGGCTCTTATCGTTCTCACTGATTCTTTGTTTGACCCTAGATAGTCCTGGATAATAAATTGTCGAAAAGAATGTTGGATACTGGCGGAGAGTTTGATAAGGCTTCGCGGTCGAACATGGAGGGCTCATAAACTGAATGGGCGACGAACGATCCCCCCAGTATAAAGAGGATAAATCTCGTAGGGAAAATATCGCAAGCTCACCAGCATTCATCGTGAATGATTGATCCGACTTATCCGTCTGGTCGAGAGGAGATTCTGGTTTCGAGGTTGGAACTACTTTCCGCAAGCCGAAGAACGACCGCTTCACCCCGGTCGATCTCTTTTCCGTTTGCTTAGCCTCCCCGCTCCCATGTCGCAGGAGGTAGAAATACACGTAGACTAAGAAGAGCAAGCTGGCCGAATACAGGTACAAGAAAAAGCTCTGGAAAAATCGCTTATAGTCAGGTGAGATAGAACTTGAGTCCTCGTGTAGTTCTTCATCGTCGTCTATAAAACCTACTCCTGATTTGTTCGAAATGAGCTTTGTCGTTCGATCGCGGGAAGGACAAGAGGTTGCGGATTTACTCACTTCGGAGAAGAAAAGAAGCGGCTGTTTGCCGGTGACAACCTCCGCCGTGAGGAGAACGACGCACACTACCACCAGAAGCTGACAATAGATTGACGACAGCATTATGAACTGTTGGGTCCTGGAAACAAGGAACATTCCGTCAGTACCAGACTCTCACTCTCCCCACCCCTTGCTGGGGCACTACATTCCGGGCATCCATGATATATGTATTCTCCTGATGTCAAATCTTCACTTGGGTAGGATGATAATCTTGTCCAACACTCTCGGTCCCGTTGCTCGTTCGAGCATCCCCGCTGCATGTACACAAGTTATAACGTAAATGCCCCCAGGTGGGAAACTGTATCAAGCGACCCGTCCCGATAATTCGATTCCCGCTCATACATAACATTATTTAGTTTGGACGCACGTTTGCAGCGTGAAAGCGCTTGTCAGCTACAGGTTCGGAATTTGCTACACAGATGAGTTGTCGCCATGCATAATGCGTGTTAGACATTCATAGTGGCTCGTAAGCTTTTTTTCATTGCCGCTCCTTTCCCTTCAGCGCAGTCGGCACGGGCGGATCCTTTTCTCGATTTGGCATTCGAGCGATGAGTGGAGCTACCTTTGCGCTGGATCGTGCAGGCACATCGAGTTTATGAAAGATCTCTGAAGTATCATCCGTGTTGCGAGCTCACGATTACAGCCGGGCCTGCCCAAGTGAATCGTTCCTCACTCAGAGACGGAGACGCATTTACCTAAATGCCGCCTAGAGGCTGGCACCGAATTGCCGCCTGAAAAATTGACGTTTGCTCGCTGTTGGTCCTGCATGGTTATTTGTAAGCTTATCAGTCAACCAATTTCGATATAATCTCCTGGCTGACTCAAAGTGTTGACAGGGGCTGACGAATGGGTGGGAAGTTTGGTCTTCGCGAAAGAAAATGAGGCGAACATCTGCCGCCCATGGAAATCCGCCGCCGCAGGCTATAGCCTCCCAAGCCGTAAATGCGCCCGTGCTCACAGATATCATGCTGCCTGATCAGGGGCGAATTTATTACGCTTGCAGACGATGAATCGGAGAAACACAGATAGGCTCGATAGGGTCGCGGCTCTCGATGAAGCACGAAGAACTGACTCAGGATCGAGGTCATTCCCGCACCCCACGCAGTTTTCTTCCGCTCCGAGACCGCACCGGGACCGATGTCATCTCCAATGTTCCTGGTTTGCATCTCGTGTCCTCCGGCAGGGTCGTCTAGCTCCAGACTCTGCCTCCCCTGAAGCCCTCATAGAATTGAATACCGTTCAGTGTACAGGTGGGCAGTGGACTGCTTCCACCAATTTCGTCCCGCCATCTCAGCCTTAGGATGGACATATTGTACTCAGTTAGATACGCTCTTCTGTTATCCCCTGGAACCATTTCTCAGCAGAGCTCTTTCTTCGAGAGCGTCGTCTTAAGAGAGTCTTGCATCGCTCCGGTCTGCGTGAATACAATAACACTTACTCAAGGCAGACATTCATCGCCAGAACGTCGTCAAAAGATTCCCATAAGCTCATCCGAGTCCCGCGCGTGAGAACTTGAGCCTAATGTCGCCTTGATTTCTCCCGGGGAGTTGGTCGCAGGACAAAGTCGACATGTCAACGACGAAATAGTCCCCAGTTGAGCTCCGCGGAAGTCGGAAACCCACTGCATACGATCCGCCTGCGACGTAATGGTGGCACTTGCGAGCTTTCGTTTCCGTCGAGTTTCCGCCCACGGGGCCCGCCCACCAGCTCCCCTCGTTTTTCTCGATATCTAGGCGATTTTTATGCTTCTCCATCTTCTGCATTGCTTGGTATACTAATGAGAAATCGACGCTCCTTTGCGGCCACAGTTGATCAGCTGGACGAGCTACCGAGCTTGGCTATATTCCTTGGATACTTGGCCATTTCCTGGGGTTGAGCAATCTGATTCCACCGTGAGACCGATGTGTTCGGTGCTCTCAGGGGAATGGCTGAGTGCAGAGTTCTTTTGAAGCGAGAAACGACGCGGCAACCTGTTTTCCATCTGCTCTCCTTGCGTCGATGCTCGTCATTTGGAGGGTCTCCACCCTTCCTCCATGGTCACGGCTGAGAGCTTGCCAGCAGAATTCCGGAAAAATGGGGGAGATGGTTCTAGGGTGTTCGAAGAGACAGAGAGGGTCTACAGCACTCCTCGTTGAAGCTTCTTCAGAGAGACCATTATAGCGGAACTCCGTAGGCTCGCGGAATCGTGCTAACGTGGACCCCGTCTTGGACGAGTACCATTCATTGTCATAACACAACGATTGAGGGGGAATTCGATCGGTCCGGACCCGATCGTTCAGCGATCAATCGAAGTCATTATCATTGAGCTAGCGAGTCTCATTGCACTCACCGCCCAGATTGACCTCCATGATTTCCTGAGCGAGGGAGCTCAAGTAATGACATAAATATGGGAGGGGTCGAGGAGGACGAAAATGTATTTACCAGTCTTCGGTGAAATCGGTGGGCAGATAGAACATTGAGTAGATCCGGGCGCTCGACGAAAACAAGCAGATGATCAGAATCACCAGCGTGATCCCGAGAGTGGCGATGAGCGCGACGAAAAACAGGTAGAGGTACGGATTGTGATAAGAGTTCATCGTATCCGTGGCTCAGAGCGGCGAAGTGACATTTCATACGGGGCACTCACGAGAGTCGTCGCACTTCAAAGAGAGGACTCGTTCCGAACGAACATGAACCCTTGAAATGTTCATCGCGTCTAAACACCGAGCGACACCGAGCAGCTGGACACGAGGACTCGAGCAAATGGGACTGGCGTTTCGGGCGCGTCTCCGGGGAAATCAGAAGCAAGGCCAATACCAGCAATATCGTCCTCTGTGCACCGGTTGGAAACAAGAGGGTTGCGAAATCACGTAAGACCTCCTTGCGGATATTGCGAGCCACCGACAGGCGGATAAGCGAACGGACACAGTTTTGAACCGCTTGGACAACACTGTGTTGAAGAAGAAACCGCGAAGCTAGCTGGAAGGCACGCAGGCGGTCAAACACACTTGTAGCTCGTCTTAGTTGAGAGGGAGGATAAGGAACGAAGCACGAATCTTTGCCTTCAACAATGAGCCGGGTGGAGCTATTCAGAGCTTCCAGCCGAGTGTGACTACGCCGTCCGTGGTATTTAATTGCCGTCTAGCCGGGACCCGGACCGCTGTCAATCCTTTCTTGATAACAGCGACTAGAGCAGTGTACCGCGGACAGTGCGGGGACGGACAGATCGTCTTCTCGAGAAGGAGCAGATGATCAAGATCCCATTCGCTTGAATGAGTGAGAGGAGGTTTTTTTGTTCGTTCAATAATTAGGCTCCATTTGAGAAGTTGAGTGATGCTGTAAGCAGCTCCATAACAGCGGTAACTACACCCGGCATCCGTTCCGAACATAACCCGCTCTGAGCTCATGAAAATTAATTCGCTCTTTTGGAAGCCGGTGCTCCAGGGGGATTGGGTCGATCCCCCCGTGGAAGGCATCCCAACATCAGGACCAGGAGGCGCCCACCGAATTCATACAGGGGGGAACCACTATTACCCTTCTTGTATATGTGGAGCCCCACTCGAGAGTAGGAAGCAATCGCAGCCGTATCATGGCGTGTAGGGAGAAAAACAATGGATCCGTCGTAGAGAGTGACCTCCTTGGTCCTAATGGTCCGCGCGGCACTCGGGTTCACGTAATCGTCAGTGAGCTTCACGAACTAACAGGCTCGTTGCGCAAATAATTTGTGAGCGATCACGGTATGTCTCGTTGACGATTGTTTGAGATGAAATGACTGCAAGGACAAGAGAGCTCTTCCTGGGGTGAGATACGAGTAGTTTCATTCGTGAGCTTTGAGTCAATTCGCCAGCTTGATTCCGGGGCGGCGGAGTTGCTCGCCGTCGATCCAACATCAGAGATTTATCAATTCTGAGTCGATCCGATTCGCGATTCACATTGAGGAGGGGATCAACGTACGGACGTCGCGTAGCGGAATATTGGCGCCTCGAATCGCGTAGCGGGGCCGCTTGATGTTCCACCCCATTTCGACCAGCGGCGCCTCTTCCGAGGCGATTCAAACTAAGCGACATCGCGACAGCTAAATTGAGATCACACATTTCGTACGCTTGCGAAATGAAGTTCCCGAGAGTACAGACTTGACTAAGGAAATTGAACTTTTCGCTGCGATGAGGGGAAACCGTACCTAGTGTCTGGAAGTTTCTAGCAATGGACTCCGAAACTGGAATTCCAACGGTTTTTTTCTCGCTCGTACAAACAGTCAGCGTCACCTCTTGGGGAGGAGTCCGAGCGCGGAGCGACTCTCGGGATCGCTGATGTATAATCATCCATTATTAGGGCGAGCTCGGGGTGCTCCCGTATCTTCACCTATCTGTCATCGTCGAAGTTCAATTACGGACCCGCTGCCGCGGTCTTCCGAATGAGATGCCCGTCAAGGAGCGATAACAGTTTTCAGCAGGTGGTTTTGTCACGTATTCGTATCTCTTATCGATTAGTCGGGCTTAACTTCAAACTACAGAACTTCTAGAAGCGAGTCACCTAACGAGCGGATTCGAGAGCAGCGATATCTTACTTGGCTGATGGGGGCCGTTCGGGATCTTGAAAAATGCTTTCAGGAGAGTCCACCTCCGACGGGATGGAATACCCCCAGTTCAGGTAAACCATAGTACGGTCGTAAGCGACTTCCTCTTGCACGACACGACGTTAGTCACTCAGCAGAGTAAGAGAGACCGAAATAGGCGCATTTGAACGAAGGCCTCTCGCAGAGAAAACACGATCCGATCGAGAGAGACGCTTCCCGAATCTCTCTAGGCGGTCGTCTAACCTAAACACGCACAACTTTCTGATCCCACCCCCAGATGGCGCTCGCCCATCTCCGCATCAGAGTGAGAAACAGTTCGACAGATTCTGGTTCCGGGAAGCGATGAGTAACTCATGTGCGAGAACTCATTGAGACATTCAGATAAAGTAAATGCGCATTTATTGTCCCGCAAACGATGGTTTCCGAAGAAGACACCCCCTCTATCGCGTTTCTCGGTTCCGCAAAGGATGAGAATTCGCGTCGCGGATATAATTTTTCGTTGTGTCCCTCAAGGCGTCGACTTCGAGAATCGAACCCTCGTAAACCTCAGAGCGCCAATTTCAACGAAAACGACAGGAGACCACTCCCAAAGACGTCGAGAGCCCCAAGAGACCGAAAAGATGGATCTTAATTCTATCCGGAAGCTTGTCTGTGATTGACGGACCTCAAAACCACAGATGCTGAGTGGTGCGATCATTCTCAACTGTCGGTCCCGTCATCAAGGAACTGCACCGACGCCGTCATTTTGATTATTGTTGAAAAAGGCTCAAGAGCATCCGCATTCTCCACGACTGCGAACCTCATCGCCATCCCTATCTAGTCTTCCGTGGTGCCTCGAACGGAATAATCGTGGTCTAGTGAGGGCTATTCTATCGGAGCGCGATAAACGAAGTCCCGCTACACCTTGTAGAGATCGTTCCTGGTTCACCGGGCTAGGGATCGACGTCCCTAAGGTGTTAAGTTATCTTGGCTCTGGAATCTTCATCATCATCAGTATCGATATTGAGTAATTCCTCTCAACTCACTTCCTATTCTTGCAACAGATTCTCTTGAAAGCCCTTCTCGTGTCGTGAGGGCCGAGCGCCTCTGTCAGCGATATGAATCCGTAATCCGATGGTTGCACTAGCCCCTCCGCAGACGATTCTACTCGCGGCTCGGAGGCTACAGCGATTTCATTCAGCTGGGTACGCAGGGACGCCTCATCTCCATCGGCCTTGAATGAACAAATCGTTAGTTTGACCATGAAGGCTGCTCCACTGGAGACCCGAGCCTCGGGGCGCCCCGGAAGGAGAATTCCATCGTCTCCCGGGACTTCAAGACACCATCGACGAAACTGCTCCGCACAGGTTCCCCTCTCTCTCTCAACCACACTCCATTGCCTCGAGTTGGCACGAACTCATTAGCTCTTCCATTCTCTGACTGACACGCTCAGAGGTAGGACAAAATCTGGAGCTTTTCTCCGTCGCAAGGACACGGGCTCGGTAGGCTCAGCTTCGGCTCCAGGCCGGCATGATAGATATTTCCAGGCTGCATCGGAATATCCTTCCTCCGAAAACAAAGGCAGGTTTGAAGATCAGGAAAGTCCAAGGAATACGAGCGCGGCTCGTTAATCACTTGACATATCGTAAAGTTGTAATCAGAACGAGGGCTCAGCCTCAAGGTCGCCTCCAGAGCCGACAGCAGCGCGACAGCCTCCCTGAGGCCGTCGGGAAGCGTTTGCCATCGCAGAGAGCATTCGTTGCAATTCCTCCTCGGGAATTCCGTTCGGGATTCGGAGCCTGCGACGCGCGCTCCAAACAGTGAACACTCTGCAGTTCTCGCGAAGGTCTATTTGCCCCGCTCCAAGAAGATGCACATGTAAGGTTCTGGGCGGGATACTTCATCAGCTACTTAGTAAGAAGAATCATTGCCTGGCCCCCCGTAGGGTTGAGATGAAGCGCCAGTGGGGGAAAAGAAAGTTCCCCCCAACTTTCTTTGAATCTGAGCCGTCAGATAAATCGCTATCCCGAATCTCACCATACTTCTTCCTCCTTCTGACGCGTCCGTTCGCCCAAAATACCAACGAACTCACGGAAAACGAAGCAGAAGTGAAGGAGGCTTCCGTTAATGTTGTATTCCGTCTCAAAGGCTCCATCCCAATAAGTGGGAGCATCTGAAACACGATAACAAAGATATGCTTACCCTTGCCTTTAATATGCGTAAAAAGTTAGAACCCTAGTCACTGTGGTATCAATGTTATTAATCACTAGCCGGGGAAGTTTCCTTCTTCCACGGCGACGCTCGAGGTCAACAATATGAAAATTACAGTCAATTCGCACGCTTCAGAAACGACGCTCGATGCCCAGACCAGAAGCGCAGCTACCTCGGAATTCGCGTAGGCTTGCCGGTAAGTTCCTCGCGCATTACACCGATCCTGACGCACTCTCGAGACTGCGCTGCGTCAGGGGGCGTATCCTCGTGGGGATCGGCGTGGTATTCGAGCTGGTTTCTCTGCTCTTCTAGAGGAATTCCCGGACTGGTGTGCACTGGCATCAGCGATTTTCGTCCCGCGACTAATTTCCTTCAATTCTCTTCTTCCCTCATTGACTTCTCAAAGCATGTCCCTCTCTAACCATGGAATCTTGAGTCTCGGCATTCGGATGAGCGGAGGCTCATCGTAAGATGCGCCTTCAAAGCTCAGAGAGAAGCTGTTCGACCCTGACCACAGGGCCGCGACGCTGCGGATCGCCTCGCTGAGTAACAGGATTTCTCCGGATTCGATCCATTCGGATCTTATAAACATCGGAGCCGTGCGGAGCTCCAGTCAGAGAATCGAAGTTCAACGCTGGCGTCGAGTGTCCGCGGAGACTTCTCAAAGATCGAGAATAGTCAAGTCCGGAGGATACCGGAGAAAATCGAGCAGAACAAGGCTGCAGAAATCTTGAAGCATCTGCAGAAGGAATCATGATACTGACAAGAGCAATAACGATTTCTGTTCAATGGGAACGGAGTTGCAAGGCACTCCCTTCATAGCATGTAGGTATAGCGATTAGCGGCGGACGAGTATCAGCGAGCGGAGGAAGAGCTCGAGAGTTGTCCTCGTCGCGATCACCACCTGGCGTAATTCGGCGCCGGAGCAAACACCCGGGCAGGACAAGGAACCGAACTCGCAGCAGCGGTTTCCGGCGGGGACCTCTTTCCATAAGGAGACCACTTTCCCGAGTTATCGGAGTACCGAGAACTCGGGTAGGAAACTCCGCGAAGGTTTCGAATAGGAACGGGACCGACTCGGTGTTAGACTGGGTTTGGAGACCCGAGATCGGCCCTCCTCACGACAACGTGTCCTCGCAAAGGGAAGAGCGGGCTGAGTTTTTGTATCTTCCTCGGACCCAGCTGGGCCATGGCTGCTGACGAGACAAGAATTCTTTGCGCAAGACGTTGGCTAACGTAGAGGAGGAGCCGCCTCATTAAGCGAGCAACCCTTGAGGAATGACATCGCACGGGAAAAGCCGCTTGCTGCTTCCCCAAGTCTCGCGATTCTGCTCCATTGAGGATGGAGAAACATGATCCTATCCGCGGAGCTGGAGCATTGGGGGCGCCGAGGATGAATCCAGGTAGTAACTCGACGCTTTGGAAACCGGAAACGTAACGGTGAACGCAGGTCACGGACACCGGACCTTCGAGAAGGGACGTCCGTCGGGGGATCGCCCAAACTCCAGGATAAGCATATGTCATCGGTCATTCTCGCGGGGGTTATGTTCCAGAAGGCTGTGTCTCTCCATTCCCTACCTGCATAGACAGTCTGGCCGGCTCCCGGTCGGGGTTCATGAACAGAACAACGACTCAGAGGAGCTTCCAGAGGGTTCGATACTAACCTCATATTCAGCTTTCCTCGGTCGGGTTCCCCGTCTGACTCCGTACGGCAGCCTACAAGCTCCGAGACAGCATCGGAACTTTTCCTTGAAGGTCGCATTGTGAGCTCTTGGAATTGACAATTCGTCGACGAGAATACGTCCGAGCGCTACACGGTGATCTCGGCAACGGGGTTCACTAACACACCCCGCTTGCCAAAGTGGCTTTGGCGAGTGGCGGCTTTCTTTATTGAAGCTTCCCTCTCCCCTCTCCCGCCCATGCTTTCCAGATGTCTGAGTCCCTGAGCTCAGGGTAGGCGATCGAGCCTCTCAGTACCCGTACGAACCTTCGCTTTTGGGGAATTCGATTTTTCAGTGCCTAATATGTATATTAAATTTCGGAGCTCTATCCTGACTCAGGGTCGTGGGCGCCATGGATGCGTATGTTCGCGACGGAGCAGAGCTCCGCGGGAACCCGCGAGGTGATCATCGGCGATGATACGACAGAAAAATCGGGGAACGCTCAAACACAATTTATTAGATTTCCACGAAATTGCGTAAAAACTCCGATACCCTTTCGGACTTTCGCTGGTTTATTGGAAACTCATGCGACTACTGAAAGATCTGCGCTTGACCAAGGAGGGCGTGGACGCCGCAAAGCTCTCACTTGCCGCCCCCTGGGATGTATGTAGATACTCCACGATATGAGAGGAAAGCTATTCATTATCACCAATGTTATTGTGTCTCGCTTCTAGGCCGTCCCGTTCCCCTAGCCTCCTCGGGACGGAGTCTTCTCTAATACTTTCGGCAAAATACTGCGACGAGAAAGTATGCATTCCTCGAATTCCGAATCCTCTCGGGGGGGAATTCCTGAATCGTTTGATCGTCAGCGAGTCAATATACATGAAAGCATTCCCGTTCTACTCGCTCAATCTCACGAGGTTCCCTTAGACTTGAGTAACTTCGTCGAACCGGGTTGGATTTTCTCAGCAAAGGCTAAGATCACGTCCAGATCACTTGTGGGCGACACATTTAGATACGCCCCGCATTGCTCACGAGTCAGAGGCGCTTTAGACCTGCGTATCATCGCTACGAGACTGGCTCCCTTACCCCAGAAGTACGAGATGTACCGCCGGACGACCATTTCTATTTGAGCTTCATTAGCTGAGACCAATTTCTGTAGTTCCGAGACGAACTTCTCGACGACACTATCACCACTGGGACCTTTGACTGACTTGAGTTTCTTGTTCGCCTGGACTTGACTTTTAGCATCCATTGAAATGAGTGATCGGAGCACCCGAGGATTGTCCATATCTACAATGACGCAAGGAGTGGGTGAAAACGAAAGTTCCTTCGTTGACAGCTGGCTGACGGCAGGCGAGGGGTTGGCAGTGTCGCGCATCACGCTCTGAAGATGCAGGCCGGGATAGAAAGATAATTGAGGAGTCAGCACGGCTTGGTTGAGCTCGCAGTGAGTGAGGACGGCGCACATGGCCTCTACGAGACTCTGCATGTTCTCTTTGCTCCCACCGATGAGCGCCGTGTAGCCGCCGTTGGTGAAGTGAGCTTGGAGCAGCTTTTTCATGAGATCTGCTTCTTTCGCGCACCATTTCGCAAGGGCTACTGAGGAAGACTTTCGATCGATGAAGCGCGTTTCCAGCACTTCAGCAGCCAGAGAAAAATATCTATTGAGCAGGGTTGTGACCTGGTTGATGCATCGCAGAAACTGATCGCCGGCTTGCATGCAGATATGAGCTATCCGAATGAGAGTCGTGTCGGTCAAGTTGATTATGTTGTACAGATCCCAAACGCAGTCGAGATCGAATACCAACGAGACTCCGAGAGACTTTGTGCTCGAAGGTAGCGTAAACGTCACGCCGTGCACTACGACTTTTTTGTCCGATGCGATGAGAATCACTGTTCGGGTAGGCCACGGGTCTTTTCGTAATCTGCAGTGCTCAAGATATCCATGCATGAGTTGAACAATGTTCGCCGTGTAGGGAGCTTCCACGTTGGCTTCATTCAGGTACTTATTGTACTGCGGTACTCGATTTTCCAGGATGAATGCTTCTGAGTTCTCCAGATATTGATGACACTTCAGATAGTGGCTGTCCTGACACTTGGCGTGGCCGCCCAAGTCTTTGGCGACGGCTGTGTTTGTTTCGGAGCATTCGATTTGCCAACAGAATAACATCTGCGGTCCCATCAAATGATTCCATGATGTCAAGTAGGCTGAGATCAAGCCCGGTACCTTCACGGGACAGGCCGTCATTCTGTGGGAGAGCGAATACGGTCAGTTTAGGGTCGGAAACCTTCCGGGAAACAAGCTGAATAGGGGAGAGGATCCTCGGAGGAATCTGAGAGGTATGGGAACAGGCAAGGAGACGCGCTCAATCAGCTCTGTCCTCTCGACCTTGACGGGGGGAAGGGGACGTATTCCAGGTAGTATTGGTCCACTGAGCGAATTCAGCATTGAAGACCGCTATCTTCGAATTCCGAAAATTGATGGGTCTACGAAGGGGCTCTTCATAAGAGGGCTATCGGAATGGCAGAACTCAATGAGAGCCCCGGATCAAATCCGAGACTTCAGCAAGTTCCAAGAATCCTAGGGCGAGTCTGTTCGGTAAGGCGTGTCGGGTGCCTTCAGAAGAAATCGTATCGATCGCGAAATTTCGAATAGTGCAAGGCTACGGCGGTTTTCCCGATACATACTCTCGACTCCCCAAGGTTCTCTCCACTCCCCGGAAGAGAACTCCCGGTGTTGAGGTGATCCCCCCCCTCTGAACCGCTACACAAAATCGGTACTGATTCATATGTTCGCAAGGGAGTCCGGCAGAAAACGCCCATCCAGGGCGAAAATCGGCTTCCGGACCTCCATCAATCCCCCCGGGATATTCTCTCAAGCCGTTTCGAGCCCAGAGGAGCCTAGCTCTGGATTATACTCACTCGGTGGATGATGAGGAGGATTTTCATGAATATTAGATCGCATGCTATACACAGAGAGTCAGGGTTTCCGTGATGCTCGACAGAAACCAGCTGATTCAGACGCAAGTCGCCATCTTGTTAGTGTTGTTGGTCGGTAAAGCACGGAGGTGAGACTCGCTAATCGACGGAAGAGCTCGAAGTCTCGCATCCGCCGGAATCGCGCTAACATGATACGCTCCGAACATGAGACTGCTCTAGGGCCTCGACTCGCTCCAAACAGAGATTGGGACCTCCCAGTAGTGACCCGTCGCTATCAGAATGCAACTTTCCTTCGGCTCTATGCTATACCACGGAGACTTGGTATGCACCGGCGGATCACTCTCCGATTTGAAGATTCGCGAGCTAAAAAAAACTCCCGTTTTCCCTCTGATAGATTCGATCTCGTATGATGCGGATCACAGAAAGATTTAGAGCTAGAACATTTATTCATCTCTCGACGACAGTACCACTATGCCATTATACGGGAAACTTGGCGTTGTGCTGATGACTCTGTCCGGGTCGAACCCTCTCTAGAGCTTGATTCCTAACATACTCCTCAGACCTTCGGGAACGAAGGTTTTGACATGAGACAAATCACAGAACGGTCTGTTGTTCGTCTGCTTACAGCGACACAGCAAGTATTTCTTCTCTGTCGGCACCTCAAAAGCTATCGGTTTGATCATGGGTTCAGGCATGGATTTGTGTGCTCCGTCACAGAAGGGCTGTTTCTTCGAGAGTCCGCAGGCGCACCAGTGGTACTGTTTCCCGGGCTTCAGCATTACGAAAGCTGGTATCTTCTTTGCGATTTTGCCTGGAATATTCGAATTCGGATGAATTTCTCAAATCCTCAACTCGCCAAGTCCTCGGTAGGATGAAGATATTCGGCCCTGTGTCGCATGGGCATAGTCTCGGCCATTGCGAGGGATTTGGGACAAGGACCCACGGGTATTTTATGCGGCAATAGTACGGCTGTAGTATCGAGCGAGATGAAGATTCTATCGTAGCGCCGGTCGCGCATCGGTGTTTCAATCGATCGAAGCGGAAAGAACATCGCGGATCGGATCGAATCTCCAAGATATCAAGCCGGTATCCACCAAGCATTGGGAGGTGAACATTTCGCACAGAGCTCATGATCATGTCTTGAGTACAATCAGCGCGCACTCCCGAGCTCCCTGAGTTTCGGATACGACGACCTCGATGGTAAGCTTCGATAACGGACCTTTGATGACCGGCTGCGGGGTTTGAGAAGCCTGAGTACTTTGCTGCCTAAAGATGAGACCCGCTGTCTTCCAGAGTTTTCCCGCGGAGCTCATTATCGCACTTTTTAACGATGCGCAAGTGCTGATCTCTGCTTTTGTAGAGGAGAGTTTGGTACGATTTTCGCCGGAGGAGTCACCCTCTCTCAGCGTTGTTATGTACCCTCCAGTGTCGAGCAGGGGGCGCAAGGGATCTGGATGGTTCGAGTTCGGCGGTTTTCCTCATCGATTCAAGACATAATTTCAGAATAATTTCCTCATAATTCAACTCCGTCAGCGGCTTCAACCGTCAGAAGCCGTGGTCTATTCGCGTTAGGATTCCTCCTTCCGTTTTTGGGCCGGTAAATTCCAATCTTAAAACTTTCTTGCTCCCTCATATCCGCCCTTGTGTCGACGTCCGGAGAATCCTGTGGCGCCACTCACAAACAGTTCGATGAATGCTTGCTTTTTTTTATCCCCCTGCAAGCCATATGATACATTGGGGCGAAAATTTTCCAGAGAGCGGCGCAATTTTCGCCGGCTCCTTTCGATTTTCCTTTCGAGACTCCTCTCCGGAATACTTCCGTAGGAGACTCATTTCATTGGGGAGCGCTCTAATTGACTCGGTGACCCGCCGATAAACCTAATCGTCGTTTTCTGTCGGGAGGAGGGGGAGGAGATTTCTCTATGCAATTTCGCGGACAAGGATTGAGTGATTCTCTCGGTAGATGGGAGCCCACCGCAGGCATCGGATATTTGATTCCACCGCCAAATCCTTAGGGAAACTTTTTCATCGGGCTGCCAGAGCCCTTCTGCTTCATGAGACGGAAGAAGAAGAAGAAGGATCAGATGTCCGATCGAGAGAATTATGATCCCTGGTGGGGTCTCGCATGCTGATCGCGGCCGTTCATGTAATATCATAAATCATGAATCATGACGAGTTCGATCATCGGAATCGCATGCTGATTGGCGTTAAGAATCTGATATGCGTCTGATCCTCATTGCGAACGAGGGGCTCGAGGAGCGTTGTCGACAATGTAGCACCAATGTAGCTGGATGTGTAAGAGCAGTAAAGGAGATTTAGCTCAACAGGGATGAGAGTTTAGCGAGAGACCTCACTCAGGATTGAGGGGAAGGCACCGGAGAATAACTCCCGCTTCGACACGGATCTTCCTAAGACGATGGATTCGCTACGCGAGCGCCGGGAAACTAGCAGAAATCGGGGTCGTCTTCCAGGTCACTTCTCGGCGAGAAATCAAAACATACAACAATATGGATCGTCCCTCCTTCAAAAACTGGACAGGCACCCGCATCGGCGCCGCGGTATCATCGGGGGATCAAGGGCTTCGCGCTGAATGAGCATGTTCTCAGCAGAGTGTTGCATTCCTACGCTCGTCTTCGCAGCGACCTCAACGTAGTGTTCACCCATCCCAGCAAGGTCCAGAAGCTTTTCGGCTGCCCATTACATACTCCCATGTGATCGCGAACTTCAAGCACCATCGTGCTAAGCCCAGCTCACCGTGATCTTTTTCGGAGAAGTCCATATCGCTCGACTAAATGAACCCACTCAATCGGTCGATCGTTCTCGCCCTGAGAACGGATGAATTTCACCAATGGGCTCGTGGTCCGTTTCGATGAGGCCGACCATTGCTGCTCACGCTAATTACCTCACCGAGACTTGGAGCTCTACCTCCCAAGGGTGGCTAACCGCGCCTCTATCGTGCCCTGGGCACACTGCCCCGACAAATCCCCGCTTCGATGCCCCTCTCGGACTTTTTCCATATTTTCCGGACTTATCCTCCTTTCATCTGCGATACCACGGCTTCATTAGGATCAGTCATAGTCCAATAAGTTGAAACTCAAGATGCAAAATTAATAAAAATGATAAATAATGTACACCCAGATTCTTCCCCGGTCGACTCTTCGAGAAATGCTTTTACTGCTTCAATTATTGAAAACTCCGGCGGCGACGTGAAGCGTCAGTGTTCTATACGACATGGTAGGCTTCCTCTGTAGATACTGAAGCGGCCGCAGAGCCGGCCGTGCACTGGGTTGCGTGATTCCCAAAACGGAAGCATCGTAAACCGCGCGCGAGAATACGTAGAGTACCTGAGATAGCTCATCATCCATCGTGCTCTACCCATCAGAGAACTCTCTCTCTCCGCAGGACTTCCGAAAGCCGGAAGGAACCCGCACGATTATTAACAAGTTGAACTCAACGCTCTTCTCAGCACTGATCGAAAGCGGTTTCGACCCGCGGAGCTTGGAGCTAGACGCGATCATCAAAATTCTTCGCACTCGTGATCTCGCGGGGGTCCTCCGACTCAATGAGATTCTGGCTCCGTGCGCGAGCTCATCCTCGGATCTCAGCGCGTGAACTCTCAGCACGAATCTCTCCGGAAGTATTGCCCTTTCCCCGCGTCGACATATAACTCCTCCTGGAGTATAAAATACAGTCGGATGCGGCGATTTGTCTCTGCGAATTTCTACAGCGAGTCTTTCTTCAGCGCCCGTCGGGTAGCGAAAATCTTTGCGAACTCGAGAGAGCTTTGCGATCCCTATCCAGTCTAGATATTCCTTTCGCTCTCTCGGCTGGTATATTCCAACCCTCCGACACTCTTGCTCCCCTGTGTTGCCCGAAAATTTCTGGGGTGCCACTGGAATCGCTGTGAGTATCTGTTCGGGTTTTGTGATCCCAGCAGGCCTTCTTCGGATCTCCAGTCAACAAAATGGTGAGTGGAACTCCATGTACTTCGCAAGCGACTCCGCTCGTGGTCGAGAAAAGGAGCGAGGAATTTCGAACTCTGAAAAACGACCACGAAAAAAACACTCCAGTTGGAACAGGTCAGATGATCGAGGTATCCCTTCGGCGATGCGTGCCTTAGAGATATCTCCTTGAGCAACGCTCTCTCGGTGCTTGCCGCGAGCGTTTATCGACCCGTTCTCGGTACGGCGATGGAAGTTCCCGGCTGCCACTGGACCCCGACTTGGGTCAGAAGATCTTTCGTCTCCTCCGACGGCTTCTTTCGGTGGAGGGATTCTATTAGACTCCCGGTGCGGATCATTGTATGAGGGGAGATTACTGAAGATTCGCTTCTTAGGATCTCTGATTGGACCCCTCGTTAACTCGGCGCGACTTCGTAAGAGCACTTGTTGATCGAGGAAGCGATGCTCGAATCTGAATTGTTCCTGGGATTTCTTCCACGGTATCGCAGCTCCCTTGGATGAGTCAGAGTTCGAGGCGGAGCAGCGTCTGTCTGTTCTAGAGCTTATCACCATCCGTTGATTTAGTCGAATCGGTGATATATATATCTGGAACCCTTATCAAACGCACAATCAGGAGCCAGCCGTCGGCGATCCTCGTTCAGCTCCTGACGACTGGTCGCCGTTCCTCCCGGCGCATCCCTGGACGAAATGGAATCCATCCAGGATTCCGATGTTCTCCATGAAGATGCACATCAATGTCAGGATACGAGGATCCGATCGACTCAGAGTTCAATGACTCCCAGACGGATTTGTTTCCTCGAGCAGTTAGCAACACATTCCAATATCCGGCGAGCTGTGGAATAGCAGTTAAATCAAGAAGCCCCCTTCCCCTTCTTGGATTCGACTCCGCTGGGATCGAATTTGATCGAGTATTGATTTCCGGCTAATGTTCCGTCGTGCCAGTGAAAGGATGAGCCTTAGAGCCTCTCATCCGATGAACGCTTCTACCACCATTGAATTTCAGGCGTCGCAGCCAACGCCAATAGAGGTCGGCGTCCAGAAAGCCGAGGACGATTGGGCGCTCGGTCATAGAGTCACGCCAGAGTTGACTGAGATTATCACTGACATCTTGAAACAAGGCAACGCATACTCCAACGTGACGCTCGCAATGCCGCTATGCTGGGAGTTCTCGAAAAGCCGAAGCGGGCAAACATTGTGCCACCAATTCCTCTATGTAAGTTCCGATCCGCGGCGAGAAGAGAATCCGAAGGGTTCCTACCCTGCAGTTTTCAGAGAACTCTGGGGAAATTATTAATCAACATATGTTTCTAGCTCTGAGAATTTTAAACTCACTAATGTTTGTCTTCGGATGCAGGTTTTGAGAGAAATGCGTGAAAGAGGCGACGAGTGCGCCTCCGATAAGTACCTGACTGATCCCATCCGGAGACGACTCGTTGGCGTTGTAATGAAGCAAATGAACCATTCCTTGGTCGAAGTCGTGTGGAAAATGCTCGCCGTCGGTCCGGAAAATGCTGCACTCTACGACCCGCTGGTTGTGGAACTATTGCAGAGCAATCACGTGTCCGAAGCCGCCCGGCTCGCCATACAAATCGGTCTTCGCGACGAGTTCGCAGATCAGCTCGCCATGCCGCTAGTCTTGCTCGATAAGCTGCTGTTGTTGGGAACAATTCTGGAAGGATTGCCGGACACTCAGCAAAGAATTCTAAAACTCTTTGACGACTTCTACGATGACGCTAACAGAATGCGACAAATCGTGCAGAGGTGGGTGAAATTCTCGGATCCAACTTCAGCTAAGATGGGAGAGCTCACCACGCCCCCAGCGAGGGATAAACCGAGCGAGCTCGAGGAAAATTATCGATCCTGCGGCTCATAATACTCTGACGATTCTGAGATGATAATTCACTTCCATAGGCATGACATAACAAGCATCAAGAAAGTAGACCGCGCTCTGTGGAAACGAATTGCCAGGTTGATGATCCGATACCTGAAGAAGTACAACTTACCGCCGGATACCTGTCCTAATCTACAGCTTAGTCGAAATCGGAACGCATTAAGATATCTACTGGTCAGACGCTACCAAGAGAAAGACATGGCCGGAAACTCGTGGCGCGAAATGGTCATGGATCAAGTGCTTGACTACAAAGTACTCCACGGCGAATTGATGCGCACACTATTCAATCAAAACGACCATAAGAGCGCGTATTACTTCGCTCTCAAGCTAGAGTATCCTCGCGAAGAATGGCCGGCAAAGTTCGTCAAATACGTCGACAGTCTGCCGCCCGGATCCTCTCCTCTCGAGGAGCCGGAAAACAACAATGGCCTGACGAACTGTCTGTCTGTCGAGCTACGGTCGGACCAAATACAGACCATCTGCACCGCGAGCGAATTCGAGGCGGCTGCGATCGAATTGGCGGTTAGTCTATTTTTCTCTTTCTAAAACTGCGCGGTGATCGAAGATGATGATATCTTTATCCGGACATCGACGATTTCCCAGTTTCAATTCGATTCTCCATTCGCAGGCGGCGCCGGTCATTGGGGTCGATGCAGAATGGAAGCCGGCGATGGGCTTACTACAAAAGACGCGCTTGTCGCTGATCCAAATGGCTACAAGGCAAAAAGTGTACCTGTTCGACGTTTTGAAGCTCTCGGAGACGATTTCCCCTGAAGACTGGGCGAGCTTCTACGAGTGAGTGACAGCTCCTTCGCAGCATATCCGCAAAATTACAGTGGATGAGAATTCCCTGAAGACCCGGCTAAATGTTCTGCGTTTTATCCTTAGACGCGTTTTCGACAATCCCACCGGATGTATCCTCGGCTTCGGTATTGCAGAAGATATCCGAAAGTTGGAAGCGCTCTCCGGAACTTCACTCTACATGACCTACTTCAAGGATTTGATGATCGTACGCGATGCGCTGTTCACTCACCGTCCTGATCTCATGGAGAGCGTGGTCGACCAGAAAATTTTGAAAAATCATAATGGTCTCAGTAGACTGACCTGCAGACTCCTCGGCTACCCGCTCGACAAATCAGAACAATGTAGCGATTGGGAGAATAGACCTCTGCGTCCGAGCCAAGTACACTACGCTGGTAATGATCCCGCATCAATTTCTCGTTGGAGATCCGAGAACGCACTCGGATTCTGCGCCAACTGTTCGTGTTCGAACGATATGACTATTTCAATTCATTTTCCCTGTCTTTCCAGCTTTGGACGCTCACTGTCTCATAAGGTGCTGGGACGAGCTTGCCCGGAGATGTGGAGACGAAGACATTAAGACCGTCGTCGAAGACGCAATTCAGTCGAGCAAGGAACAGTCAGGTTCGTGCAGCGGAAAGTCCACCGATGTCGGTGAGTGATCTTGTCGCTTTCATTCCCCTCGTCAGTTCCCCTCGTGGCTCCTTGGTTGTCCATGACATTCGAACGATTCGATCTCTTCCAGGATTTAGCACCAATCGACGAGGACGTAAATACGCGAACAGCACCGCCGGTCAGGTGGATAAACATCACCTCGTCTCGAGTCTGGGAATCGGGTACCACAAAAATCATTCAGGTTTAGAAACACCCTCGCTGCCAGAGAGCGGCTATTCTAGTGGGTCGAAACCTGGAAACCCTCGCTGGGATAGAGCCTCTTCATCCGAGACCGGGAGCAGGGCTCCGAAGACTCCGAGTGGAATGAATGGACATCACTCTGCGGCAACGGCTCCGCGTGCTTGGAGAGGAGCGGACTCGCAGAATTATGCATCGGCTTCGAATGAAACTTGGCGACGTCCGCAGTCAGAGACACCTCCAACGGCTTCGAATAGAGCTTGGCGAGCACCGCGGTCGCAACTCGAAGCACGAACTCGGGAAAATGCTTGGCGAACGAGCTCGCAAGTCCAGGCACCAACTTCGCATGAGGTCGGGCGAGCGATGCGCTCGCAATTCCAGCCACCGGCTTCGAATGATGTTCGGCGACGACCGGGGCCCCAGACACAACCAACGGCTTCGAATGGAGGTTGGCGAACCGCGCACCCGCAAGTCCCTGTTCCGACTCCGAATGGAATCGGGAGAGCGAGGCGCGCGCAAGTCCACCCGCCGGCTCCGAATAATGTTCGGCGACGGTAGGGGCTTTAAAAATGGCCGAAGGATGCCGTCGTCGCGGGACCGGTACCGAGCTGCCATGAGGACGACTGCTAGAACCGAGCCTCTCGGACTCCGAGCCGGTCATCGCGGTGATAGCCCTAATCCGATGAGGTCAGTTGGATTCGAAACATTCGCGGGCAAACTTGATGTGAGATGAGAGTTTCGCTTCGCTCCCCAAATGGCGCCCTCGACGATCTACAATTTTCCCTTCCAGTGAACTGGCGCGACGACAATGCTCATCGATCCCGACAACGCTGTAAGAGTATGAGTTCAATAGGACAGAATGAACGATTTGAACGGACCGAGAACCTCAGATATGTTCCCGCGTGGCTTCCTTGACGTTCAGCAAACCCCGAGATCGAAGAGGAGTAAGTCTGCCAGATAATTCCCGGTTTTATTCTTGCAGAAAACAGAACTTGGAAAATCGTAGGAATGAACACATTCTAGTATGCAGGGGCCCTTGGGTGTATCAATTACGAGCTCCAAGGGAACAGAGCCGCCCTCGTCGATATCCCCATCCATAATAATATTCATGGAATATCATCCTAACCCCCTCATCCGAATCTTGCAGGTAAGGAGAAGTTTGTGCAAGGTGTCACCGGGGTCAGCGATCCGATAGGAAATCGATCCACCAGCGATTGGAAGTCCGCGGTTCTCCGGAAGACAAACTGATGAGTGCAAAGAAAACATCGCTGTTCAATGATATTCCCATCTTCGAGCGAACAGAGCTCTCTAGCTCTAAGAGGGTATATCTTGTTTTTTCTGATGTTTCCACGTTTTACCTGAGATCGAAAAGTGCAAGTAGCTTGGCCGACGAGCCAGAAAGCAAGATGATAAGCAATGGCCGGAGTTGGTGTCAGTCGTCAGTCATAGTGTAAGTTCGTCTGAAACATGTGATTCATTCCCATCGTTCACGGGGTTTCGGATTTCATTCCGCCCCCAAGAGCGAGAACTGTGAGCCGGAGCGGAGACCTCTGGGGAGGACGATTTTCTGTTTTTACTTTATAGCTCCAGCTTACTCTAGAAGCTCACTGAATCCGACGAAAACTCCGAAAAAAAGCGGTAACGAGTCTCAGAGGTCCCTCCAGACTTCCCTGTGCTTGCGGCCTCGATATCCACCTCGAATCCTTCCCCATGGTTATTCCTCTCATATTCAGCTCAGTCTGCGATGTCGTACGAGGTGGGATGGACCTGAGAAGATGTTAGTGTGATTGATTCTTTTCCGAGTAATTACACCATCTACGACGAGGAGTCGATTCACAAGCGAAGCCGACAGTCCAGAAGCAGGTTCAACTATTCGATCTGAATATCTATTTGGAATCCGGCATTTCTTAGCCATTAATATTCTTATCTGGACTGATCGGAGGTCTTGGACGAGCGGAGTTATTGAGACTCGTTCTCGATGTTGGGTGATTGTGCGATTTTTAAAAAAAAAATTATCCTTGTCTTTTAATGCTATCGACTTCCCCCAATCGATGTTAAAATAATAAAGCTGCTCCATGAAACGATATTGTTCAGTGATCTTCCAACCTCCTTTGCCCACATGAGCATGTATTCCAGCCGTTTTTGAATACGTTCATATTCCCTTATCGCAAAAGATCGGACTTCGATCCGTAGCTATAGGGGCCTTTTGAACCAAGACCCTGACCCTGGGAATACTTTCTGAAAAAGCAATGACCGACGATCGAAATGTCGCTTGTGGATTTTTTATTCGAAGGGCGGGACTCGCAGATTGAGGTAGATCGGAACATTTACAGGAATCGATAGCACTGTGGACTTTTTGCCGGGGAGCTGAACTTTCCCACGGAGAGTTTATCTCCTATGCTTGGGCTGCTCATCTCGACGGGCGTCTTCCTCCGGGCACGCTCCTGGCGTGACCTGGCAGCTCTTCTGACAATTCATAGGGGGATCTAGACGTAATATGATCGAGTTCAAAACAGGGGATACAGTATAAAAAGCGTTTGTGCTCTTCGCAGGCGATAAGTTTATGCTCTCAAAAGCTTGAAATCTGGTTCAGAAAAGGTAAACTACGTCCTCGAGGGACTAGTTTAAGGATCGAAACTAGAAAGATTGGTCTTCGTGATGCGAAGTTCCTGGGGGCGGTCGGTAGGTCGCGGGGATGTGGACAGGACTCTGCTGGCTGGCGAGGTACTCTTCTAACGAAGCAGTCTGCGAGCCTCGACGCTGTCTGTAACGAATTTTGGGCAATGAGTGAGGACCTCCAGCGAAAATGGGGCCGCGCCGGCTCTGCCGCGGCAGAGTAGTTATCAAGCGTGAATCACCGGCCACGGCAGCGGATTATCTGCATGTTTCTGCGTGTTGACTATTTCTGAGTGGGTGTCGGAGCTATTGGGCGGGAAACTGATGGAACGGATACGAGTGGTCGGGAATGTGTGGTGAGCGATGGCTGATTGAATGAATACCCCGGCTCGAAGAAGGGTGCTTGTTCACTGGTCGGACTCGGTGGCGGCCAGACAACCTTACGCCTCCCGACCTGGGGCGAGCGGGCGAATGGCGGCGGGGTTGTCATCCTCTCGCGTTCCAAGTCTTGCTGATTCCACTGAATATCGTGTTTCAGGTCGCCCATGGGCGTCGACGGTCGTTCGCGGTCGACAGACGATGCCCTCGGTGGAGGCCACTGATAAACCTTTCTTGAACTGCCGTGGAAAGAGTCTGTAACACGGTCGCTGATGAAATCATGTGTTGTCATGAATTATCATCACACCATAGGCACGTCACGCAACACCAACGAATCACTATGGAATGCGAAGCACGAGAAAGAAACAAAAGCAAACGCCGGCTTCTTCCGAGCAGATACCGATGACAACCGTAAAGCATGGAACAGAGATGATTATTCCGCCAACTCCGGCATCTTGGGACCGACTGAGCCGTTGGCATCCGGCTGAAGTGCCACGGTAAAATGATGATAACAAGCGCGGCAACCGCCCAGTATCTTAATCAAAGCACCTTTGAGATCACAGCACCGCTTCTCCGAACTTCCTTCTGCCTGAATGGCAACGGTAGGAGCGAGTTCCGCGAATCTATGCGTGCACAAGCAGCATGTCGAGCTAGTCGCAGTCCTCATGCTCAACCCGTGCTCCATTCATTATCGAGCTCGGAGCGCGAGTCCGCCGGATGTGAACTTACTTTCACGAGAGAAAGCGGGTCGGACCAGGACTCCGTCCTCGCGCTGGAAAAAAAAGTCGGTCACGCATACGATTCTCGGCCCTGGATCGGAAGAATTCGAGTTGTGGTCTTCAATACCTTCGGCGGCCAGCAAGCGTCCAAATTCTTCCTCTGTATCTTCGGAGACGGAGGCACCTGGGGCGCGCCCATCTTGGCTCGCTCACTGTCAGCGATTTTCTCCCAGTGACTCGCCTGGCTCCCGACCCTGGAAAGGAATATACTTGGTTGGATATCCGGTTTGGATATCTTTGGCTACTAATTCCTCTTTTCCCCTCAATCGATGAACTTCCTCTTTCGCACTCCGGCCCGTGTCAATGGAGACACGATGCCGAAATGAATGGCGGAACGGTTTCGCGAGAAAAAGAAAATTCGAGTCGCCACAATACAAGACTTGTAGGAAGTCAGATGTCGCCTCGGGCCTGGAATGTATGCAGTCACATCCAGCTGTCTTCCCGAAGGTCCGCGCGGGTGGCAGAACCAGACAGGCCGCAAGCGAAACTCTCAGATTAATCATCCTCTGGAAACCGCCAGAGCCAGAACCTCGAGCGAAACTCGGGGAGGAACCCGAACGGGCAACGCGGAACTCGGGCCTGCCGGCTCAGCTCTCTGTAAGCTCTGTTGAGTCAGAGCGTCGATCATCCGCTGGCAGCGATTCGACTTTTGTTCGAGGATACCCACCTCTCGGGCCTTAGCTCGGTCGGTCTCGTGACGAGATGCTCTTTCTTCTGCATATCCTTCTGGAGTTGTTGGGTATAGAGCTCCTTGCTTCGGCTGATGTGTTCCCGCTGTCTGCTCTGTTCCTCCAGATAACGTCTTCGTTCTTCCTCCTGCTCCTGTTCGAGTGTTTGCTTGCGACGGAGCTCTTCTTCGTAAAACCTTCACAGTATGAGAGGATTTAGAAATTGGCGAAATTATGGAAATCTTCGTTCAATTTGGGATGCCTAAGTCATAAGAGAATGCGTAGGATCTGAACCTTTTGTATTCTTCCTGTGTCCTGGTCTGCCCCCTCTCGAAGCGACCCTCGGCCCTCTGTTTGTCGAGTTCTTCCTTCTTCTTGAGAGTCTCCTCGTACATGCGGATGTATTCGGTATTGGCTCCGGGAGGTGGTGGTGGAACAGATCCAGATCCTCTGGAACCAGGAAGGATTTCGGTTAGCAGGAGTATTTTTTTCCGAGGAAATAAGAAGAGTTGACACAAATCTTCATCACAACTAAGATGTTCCCGATCTGTTGCGAACCTTCTGAGAGATTCTTCGTATTGTTTTCTGTAGTCCTCGATCGAGCCCGGTTGATGACCTCCTTGGGAGGGACGTCTCTTTAAGAGCTGCTCCTGGTACTTGCTCACATAGTCGGCGTTCGATTTCGGACCTTGCGGCGGAGGGCCTTGCTCTTCACGTTGGCGGAGATATTCCTCGAACTCCCTACGCTGCTGTTCCTCCCAGTTCCTGTCCACCTGGAATGAAGAGAACTCAAAGTGATTCAGAGAATGAATTCTGAATTTCCGACAAGGCGCCGTGAAGTGCTCTCTGTATATCAGGTCACTATCGATTTCTTCCCACCGTCAACGGCTTCTTCATCTTGTTCCGAAGCGAGCGACGCCGCGACCCGAACCGAGCAACTCCCGCGTTCGATGTGACAGACGCCTTCTCTCTTCGGAAGCATTTATGAACTCCCGAACTGAGAGAGTGGGCCATGACTCATAGACAGGTAAGAAATTCCCGTTCAGCGGAGAGGGAAACTCCGACCGCACGTGACCTCTTAGGTGACGTAAGACAGAACCGTCTCGAAATCAACCGCCGGACTAATCGATCAAAATCGAGTGATGGCCGTTTCCGTCTCCGAGTCTCATTGGCTCAGAGCTCTCGATCATTCCTCGGCAAATGAGTTCTACGGCACTCGGAACTTCTGCCGGTATCTTGTCATCTCGCTGAAGAATCGCGCTGTCACGTTTACCGCTGCGACGGTATCGTCATGAGCACTTGACTCGTTCGGCTATTTTAGGACTCTTTGAGTCATATGCTGGTGAGGAATTCCTCCCGACCAGCGAAGCCTCGAGCCCTGCACGCTTCTCAGGGATATTCGATTTAGAAGTGTTTTTTTCCCTTCACAGTCATTCTTCTTCGTATTCTACCTATTCGCAAGCCGAATGTATTGACCCCTCGATGACACGTGGATCGTAGGTCATCCCTGACAAAATTGTGGGGGACAACGGTGAACACTTGAAAAATCTTACGAACCTTCCTTTGAGCCCTAGGGGTCGGCGGCGGTCTCTGCATGGCCGCGACCGGCTGTCTCGGCGGCGCGTTGGACGGCGACGGAACCTGCTGTTCTGGCTCCGACGAAGGGACCTGTGCAGCTTGTTCCGGAACAAGTTTCGGGGCCTGCTGCTGAGGCCTCGGTTGCTGTTGCTGGGGCTTCGGTTGCTGTTGCGGGGGTGGAGCCTGCCTTGGTTCGGGTGCCTGATTCAAGGGACGGGGTGGAGGCGATCTGGACTTTGTTTGCGGACGTATCGCCTCAGGAGCAGGCTGGAGAGGTCTCGGGGGAGGAGATCGGCTCCTCGGCGGGGGAGAGCGGCTCTTGGTCGGGACCTTGACACGTCAATGAAATCGCTCTGTTAAGCCATGCTGACCGCTTCTGAATCCGAACCATTGAGGACTTCTAGAACCTAAGTCAGTCTACAACTAGGTAGGTAGAAAGCATGAGGGACGCGACTGACGGGGGAGGTCTCGTCTCTGAGATTTGAGTACCTTTTGCTGAGACGTTTCGTGCCGGATTTGATGAACTTGTTCTTGGTGTTCTCGTTGTTCGACGACTCGTGTGTGTTCTTCGACCTGTCGGTGCTCGTGATGCTCTTGTACCTGAGTGCGTGCAACTCGAAATGGTTATGTGTACAGTGCTCATCTTCCTAACCGCAAGCTCGTCCTCCTCGACGACTCACCGACCCATAGGTGGTACACTCGCCCACCGCCCGCCACAGACTCAAATGACACCAGGCGATGTGCATGGTCGGGATACAACAATCCCGGGCTCATACGATTTCTTCATCTACAACTAGCACGTGATTCAAAAACGGGTATCTAGCCACGGTGCGACGGAGTTCCGACTCCACTAGAGAGGATTCCCCAATCTGTCCCAAGGATCGACAGAGAGACGGTTCATGCCCATGTCAGGTTAATGTCTGGATTGTAAATCGGGGCGAAATCCACTGCCGTGGTGGTCAGCTGGACCGCGGGAGGTACGACATGCCGTTTGTGTGAGGCGGTTTTCGGGAGTGCAGCAGAAGAGTATGGAACGTTTATATACCTCATGTGTAACTTGGCGCACCTCCCGTCGCTCGATCTGTGAGCGGATGAATAATTAGAGAGGAATAGGTGGAAAGGCTGCCAAGACTTGGAGTTGGCAGCGAGGTCGGAAAATCCTGCTGCCAGGGGAATCGTGAGAGGAAGCTGATAGATAATCTAGGTCGGCCCTTCGAAACATCTTGCGCGTCATCCTACTCTTGTACCTGTTGGATGTGTTCGGCCCTCTGTTGTTGTATCTGTTGGGTTTGCTGGATTTGTTCCACCCTTTGCATCTGATAGGTCCAAGCATGAGTGAGGTTAGCTCAAGATTAGTCAAATCGTCCGTGGAAACGTGATTGAGATCAGATTAGCTCCGGACGAGTGAGTGTCAGGGCCAGCGAGCCCCAAAAGCTGAGAGAGCGTGGGCGCGTTCGTTTGAGCAGCATACGATGAGTGATTCAGTTCGGTTCAACTCGCTTCCTCCGATGTATTGCGGATTTTATCGGAGGGAACTGAAAATAGACTGGTTCGTCCATGACGCGGAAAAAATCAAGCTCACCTGCTGGGTTTGCTGGATCTTTTGAACCATTGTCTGCTGACCCCCGGGCTGCTGGCGGATCTCCTGAATTTGCTTGAGTTGCTGTTCGTCGAGTTGGGTCATCTTTCGCTGCTGATCGCCGTCAGTCTATAGAAACGGAAGAGGTCGAAGCGGAATCGAGTTAGATGATGATTCTCGGATGATGCTCCACTCTCCTAGGGGGAGCAGAAGCAATCGATCTCGATGGCGGAAAGGATTCTCGCAAGCCCCCTCCCTCTCAGAATCGTGATGTATCCCGCTCTCGGCACGGAGCATTTCCCCTGAACTTCGAAAAACTCCCCGACCGGGCTCAGGTGAGCGGCCGTCCAGGTGTGAGGAATTAAGGAAAGATCGAAGAATACTAAAGATGAAGCTCTGTACCTGCTCGGAGTTTTGTTGCTGAACTTGTTTCTTGACAGTGCGATAAGTGCGAAGTACTTTCCTCCCGTCGGGTAACGTCTCCTCCACCTGACGGATCTGTCCCACCCGAAAGAGCACGTTTCCAAAATATTAGAGGAAGCAGCAATCGACGAAGTCGAACATTCACAATTTATCTATTCTATTCGAAGCTTAGCAGCCTTTTGTTAGCGACACGCCGATAGCTACAAGAAGGCTCGGACATAGCGGTCTGCAAGAAAGTCAAGCGAAGTGAGCGGGATCGAAGGTATACTCACGCTAACGTTTTCGTCGTTCTGTTGCTGAACCTCTTGTTGGGCAGGTTTCTTGGTGCGAATGACCCGTCGGATGACCTTCGTTCCATCCGGGAGAGTATCCTCGAATTCTTGTACTTCACGATCTCCATCAGGAACGGCGACGGGGGCGGCGCCAGCTTTCTTAGTTATGATCCTCCTGATGATCTTTCTTCCGTCTGGAAGTGTTTCCTCGATGGTCCTGACGTTCTCTTGCTCAGACATCCTGTTCCTTCGATCGTCGGTGGCTCGTTGACGTTCAAGTTCTTCGTTCTGACGACGTTCTTCTTCGTACCTCTCTTGACGACGGGCAGCTTCGCGTTGATGCCACTCGTCAACTTCGCTTCTCTCAGAGGGCAGGAAACCAGGCTTGGGTCGGGTGGGTTCGAATCCCGCTTGATCGGGATGCTCCCAATATTCAGAGAGAGCTCTGACGGGCACCGAGGGAACGATTTCTACGGAAAATTAACATCATTGAGCCTTGCGAATAAAGAAATTCTCCGCGACGATTGAAGCTCCGCATGGAACCCCCGGATCTCCGAGTCGTCGTGAAGCGTCCGGCTCTCGACTCTGACTAGCGCCGAGCGTGATTGGGGCCGCGCCGTCCCATAGCCACCCGGCTTCATCCGGTTGATACCGTCTCTGCCCTTAATCGAGTGACAATGAGTTCTTCTTGTCAATCTCGAATCGTCTAATACCGCGAATCCGCCTTCCGCGACCTGCATTTATCGAGGCGCGAACACGATCTTCCTCGCCAGCAACCTTCAACATAGTTGTAACGTCTCAAGGACGTCGGTAGCGAAACGTGAGCAAGGTCTCCCGCCGAGACGATTCTCCAAACGTGACTCAACCGCACGCGCGACACTTCTTTTAGCTTGTCGCTCATCCATCCGGCTGCGGTCGCCCACGAGCTATAGCCCTATAGGACGAGGAAGAAGACGATCGTCTCTCACTCGACAGTCACTTCGAGGATGGTGGCCCCGATGTTTCCCGTTGTGACGGGAAGGTCCGTCGAGAATCGACCAGCTTTGTGGTATCGCTATGAGCTACTCGAATCGAGTCTAACCCGCTCGACGACGGGCGACCGTATCGTGAAGGGAGGATTTTTTCGAATCGTCTTTAGGAAGCCAAGAGCTGCTGGGGGGAAGCACGGATTCTCTATCAGTATCCTGGAGGTATCGTGCATCCTCCAGGCTCGAGAATCATTTGGAGTCCGAAAATTCGCCGCTGTCTCCGCTGGCTCTTCCGGCAGGTCGGCGACTCCGCTAGGGGCGCCCGGAGTGCTTTCCATCTGCAGTCAAAGATCACAGTCATCACGTTGTTCATATTTATGCTTTTTGTTTGGAACTACTCGGCCGCGCGGCACGAGTGTTTGTCACATGCTCGGAGAACTTCTCTTATGGAGTGTAGCCTGATTCCAATATATTCCTGACCAGATTGGCGTGATGGCAAATCTAGCCGTCAGTGACTCAGAGAAGACTTTCATCATTCACGGAGTGGAGGACAATCTCCGGTGCGACGGACGGGGTTGTCTCGACTACCGGCACATCGAGTTAGAGCTCGGTGCTGCGCCAAATTGCAGTGGTTCATCGCATGTGAGGATCGCGAATACCGATGTACTGGTTGGTATAAAAGCGGAAATCGCGGCCCCGGATCACGCCGCGCCTGATAGGGGTCGCATAGAATTTTTCGTCGATCTGACGGCTAACGCGGATCCGGAATTCGAGGGTACCGGTGGTGATGAACTCGGCCAGCAGATCGCTGGAGCACTGGCAGAGGCCTACGTATCGAAGCGCTTCCTCGACCTGAGCTCGCTGTGCATAGTGAAAAACCAACAAGTTTGGGTTCTGTTCGTCGACATTCTGATCCTTGAACTCGGCGGGAGTCTATACGATGCCGTTTCGATCGCGGTTAAAGCCGCGCTTTACGATCTGCGCATTCCGAAGCTGACTGTGTCAATCGGAGAAGACGGTAAACCGGAGATCGAAGTATCTGATGATCCCCACACACAAGAGCCTCTAGCCATCGCAAACGTGCCGTGCTTCGTGACTCTATCGAAAATCGGATCCCAGTTCGTCGTTGACGTCAGTCAGGAGGAGGCCGAGTGTTCCACGGTGAACATGTGCTGTGCAATTGCTCCGAACGGTCGTATGGCGACAACGATGAAGACCGGCGTGGGAAGTCTTCATCCAGACAGTCTGATAGAAGCTCTGCAATTGGCTCAAGAGATCGGAGTCGCCCTGCACAAAGCACTTCATAAACAGTTCGTCAAAGCCCAAGAACTCAGTGGACGAACTAATGGTTTCTTGTTATAGGTCGAACCTTTGTCGTATCGACAATGGTCGACATTTTCGGACTCATGATGACCTTGTAAATTAAATCAATAAACATTTCATGGCCCGATTATCATCGAACTGATTCTTCGATCCCGCTCCGGATCCCAACCCGGCACTAGAAGCGCACGACATTGCCGCCCGCCGTGGGTTTGAGCTAGTTAATTAGTCTGTTTGACTGTCTGACGAAAATCTTTTGATTCGATCCGACTGTTTTCCTGTCTGCCTGTTCGGTTTGACCAAGTCAACCGTCGCTCGCTTACCCTCGTCGTCCTCGTCGGCTGATTCGTCGTCTTCGCTTTGGTTTCGAGGTAGCGGGTGGAATCTGAAACATCGACTCATTTTTAACAAGCTCTGATTGTTGTCCGCTCGGTGCGAGCTCCCCTTTTGGACAGTCGAGCTCTCCGAGCAACTATTTCAAGAAACAGAGGGGCATCAGATACTCGAGTGCTGCTCGCAGATTGGGAAACAAATTCGCAAGTTCGCTCGGAATTCCGGGATACTCTCGATGTCCGAAGAGGTCATTGCAGAAGGTATGAGCGCGAATCTCGGGGGAAAATAAGACCATCGAGTCCGGGAATCCATTGGAGATGAGCCTCCGAACCGGGAGGGATTTTCATTTCAAGCGGAGGCGATCCCGTCAGAATGAGAGCATTTCTGCCCTCCGTCTCAAGGCGTGAAGCACAGTCCCCTGCAGGGAAGGAACTACAGTGACCAAAAAACTTACTCTTGTAATTTCCTTTTGGGAATGTCTGGACCGAGATTCCGATCGAGGAAATCGTCCCTGGGAAAAAATCCAACTTAGGTGAGATAAGACCGCGATGATGTCGGTAAAGTCGAAGTTTCAGATCAGTTTTCCTGGAGCGCGCCGTTCGGCCAAGCTCCCCGACACCCCACAAAAAACCTCTCTGGTGAAACAGGTATCTCCTTGCAGAAATAGGAACCGCTCCCCTTCCCCACAGTATTTACTTCGTTTTCGACTTGCATACATTACTCAACAATGCGTCTCGGCGCAGTCCCTGAGCCTGTAGCTCGGGAATATCCGAGCATTAAGCAGCGGTCTTGTTGAGCTCCCGTCGCTGTCGTCGTCGTCTTGAACAAGTTCGCCCCGAGAGCGGGTGGACCGCTGTGATCAACATTGTCACAGAGTGTTTTCAGTCTTGTTCAGGGACCGGCTACGGACCTAACCATAATGAGCAACGGCGTAAGACACCGCGGGGAATAGTTTCCTCGTTCCTGACAGTGAAGGCTTCGAAGCTCGTTCTCGGGACCGAATCTTTTCTGGCACACCCACTCGCTACTCGATTTGATCTTGAAAACTGGTTTTACTGTACGTGGAGAATCAAGCGAGTCTTTTCGCTCTTCACGAGAGCGCAAACGGACCTTGAGGTTGTATCTGAATTTCCCGGCGATGGGTCGCCCGGATTACCAGTCCGGCTGCACTCTCTAGCCGGAGCTCACAGGTCGCGAGAGATATCCGGATGCTTCGAGACGCAGAATCGACCTCTGAGCAGTCGACCGATCGTGAAGCCTGAGATGTTCGATACCGGAGAATATATGAGTTCAAGTCACAAATCACAAGACGGAATTCCGCGCCTTCAATACCATTGGGAAGTTGAAGTTCCTCGCAGGAGGGAAAAACCTCGCGAGGCGAGCCGGCCACCCCGGCCTTCTCGCCGTGGGCGAATTCCCGAGTCTTCGCGGCGGCGGCGGCCGATAGCAAAAGCGCTTTTCACAGGCCGAAACAAACTCGGGACTGTCCCGTCTATCGATCAGACTGTGAATCTTTCTAATGAGAAACCGGTGTGCTAACCTGGAGGACAAGCACAGCTGATGATGATTTGCGAACGTTAAATCCGCACGCTGCGCGAGGAACCTGACCACAAACACACAGTCCACTAACCAGAGACTCACGGGAGCAAGAGGCTAGAGGCGAGGAAGGGTGATGTGTGCACGCGCGGCGTACCACCACCGCTCTTAACCCTGGCTCGCTCACAGCCTGCCAGAAGCGACGACGACTGACTGGCAGACCCACAAAGAGGGTGAACGGAGTTCCTATATTTAAACTAAGCGAGCAAAAGGGCCGCGCGTGATTCTGGCGGAACATCAATGGAGTGCGGGTGTGTTCTGCGGGAGTTCCAATCGGAGCGTTTTTTCTGTCCGGAACAAGGCAGTCACATAGAGTCGGAGCGGGAGCCGTTTCGATCGGAACGAGCTCCGAAGTTCCCGTTATCATCTTGCGAAGGAAACATCCACGGAGAGCCCGTCAAATATATTTAGACTGGAAGAGGACGAGATGAAAAGCGAGCGATCTCGAGCCCACACGCCACATGAAGACGAACTCGAGATTCGCTGGCACCAAGTGAATCACTGGACAATTTGAGAATATTGTTGTAAGCGTGATTAATGCTCGCACGGCCGCAGAGGAACACTGAGCGTGTGCCGTTTCTGATATGATAAGGATGATTTATGTTTATTATTGGAATGCAGCCTGTGATCAGAACGGGTTCATCAGCGAACACGTCTCCGACATGAAATCGACGTCTCAAGATGGATCGAGTGCCACGGCTTGGTATAGATAGAGCGAGAACGTTGCCCGAACTGAAATTTATGATAGCGGATCGTCGACGGCACGGGCGACGTCAACGTGCTTCTCGTTCCCGGGAACACTCCGATTCCGATACTCGCGTGGGAGACTGAAGCACAGCCGATAGCTCCGCGAAAGATGACGGCGATACGCGATGCTTTGTATCAACCGTGGGAATCGGGAAACGGTGGTGTTCAGATTCCCTGATTTTCCGCAGTGTCCAAATAATTCCTAATTGATGTGGACTTGCCTCAGTACCACGATCTCCAGTTGAGGTGTAGGCATTCTCAGAAGCATGTTGATGTTGTTCAGGTTGAGGCCATCACGGGGATCAACTTTCATCCGTCCGACTTGGAGAACACGATCGCCATCGCAGAGTCCAAATTCTTCGGCCAGACTCCCTGGTTCAACCTGAACCAAGAAAAACACAGGATGCTTCAACCAGGAAAAGTGTAAAGTCTGATCGGCGCCCGAATTCATCCTCCATGTCAAGCAGTCAGATGGTGTCATTTCCTCCACAAATATCGATGATATGATTGAAAACTCATCCGGTTCATTCGATGATTTTACGCGGCTACAGCTTCGGCACAGGTCCAGAGGAGGCTCACCTGCGTGATCCGTGCAACTCCATCGGGGCAGGGGACCACGTTGAAACCCCACGGAATCTCGTGCTCTTCCCGCTCCAAGACCACCAGCTGAGCGCCGTCTCCCATATCCACGAAAAGAACAATCACGGTTTTCAGCGGCTGGACGGCTCGGTCAACTCAAACTCGAATAGCAAAGACGCCCGCTTTTGAACGTCTAGCTCTAAACGCTAGTCAGCAAACTGACTGGCTGGCCGTCTCACCGACTGACGTCTACGCCGAAGGAAGGCTGTGGCCTATGAGTCTCTGTCGATATTTTGGGTTGGACACTACTCACCTCGGAGAGGGCGGCCCTGACACACGTATGACTCATTAGCCGTACTCAGTTTTCGGTAATCGTATCCCCTGGTGCACTGTCGGGCGACTGCATGGTCTCGTAGGGACAGGAGCACAGCATTCGTCAGACCCGAGAGCACGCAGATCGCCTCGAAGTAGGTCCGTTGATGTCACTTAAAATATAGATGATTGCCTCGCGGTAGCGACAAACATCAAGGAGCGCGATCCTTCCTATGTCCAGAACTCCGATCCGAATGCGGAGCCCTACATGGTGAGGAAGTTTCCCATATACCGGGCAATCTCGGAAACGCTTACAGTTTCAGGGTTACTCGATCGAATTCACTCACATTGCCGCAATCTCTCTAGACACTCATCCCACGCGCATCTCCCGGGGTCTCTTGATATTTGACGAAAATTCCCGTTTTCGTTCACGGATTTCCAAGAGCTGCGTCAGTGAGAAGCATTATGGTTTTTCGCATCTACGATCCAATTATTCGTCGATTTATTCATAGTGAAATAATGAATAATTAGGATCAAGTCGGAGTGGGCGTCTGACCGATTGCATCGATGACGTTCTCGACGTACTTATTCCCTCGATTTCGGAGCATGATGTACTCTTCCGCAGCCCATGCCCCGGAGGCTCATCACGGAGTCTTTGGAATAAAGTCGGAGCGAGATTTCTTACTTCCGACTCCACCTCCGCAAACTCTTCATTTGCTGTGTTCCAATTCCGCCCCGCTACCGTCGGAGACAGTCAGTCGACCGGCCAATCGAAGAGGAATTCAGTTCTGGGTGAACAAGTTGATTACCGAGCAGAAGCTCCACCGACTCTTCCGTCTCCGAGTCTCTTCTATGCAATCAACGGCTATTCACTCGGAAGGATGCAGAAGATGCAAGCGAGTGAGCTTCGCTTCGTCAGTCAGTCCGCCCGCCCGCCCGCCCGTCCTGCCACACGCGGGGCTGTCAGCCAACGGTAAGCCGTCGACTTCGTGCGGCGGGAGCTCGACGTTACAGCCGCAGAGAAACGCAAACGTACAAATTTCGAGTGCGAACGGAGCGACGAAACGTTAATGGAAAACCGAGAGCAATTCTAGAGAAGGTGTTCGAATGAATAGACGAGCGGACGCGAGAGAACACGGGCGGAGCCCGAGAAACGCGCCGCTTCAGTCTGCCTTCCTCATACGAGCTCTTCCCATCTCACCGTCGCCTCTCATCCGCACACCTGTACTTTCTTAATTTCGCGAGACCCCGTTCCGTTTTTACTCCGTTGGCTTTCGATCAGTTTCCACCGCCCCTTCCGGCATCGTTGCCTTCTCCTTGAGCTCGACGGAGCCGAGAGCGATGAGCCGCTTTCGGGTCCGTAGAGTATAGTATATTATGTGTTCTTAGAATTCGCGAATTCTCTACTTCCAACGGCGGTCGCAGCGTCGGAATTGATTATCATTTACCCAACAGAGCGAGCTCCACCGCATTTCCAGTCTAGAGCTGTCAACTTGGGTTATCCAATCGCATCTGTGTCAGTCTGCGATCTTCTTCAGGGGTCACCGAGAATGACGACTCATTTCAATGAGGGTTCCCAGGCCAATGAATGAGAGAAGCCCAATTCCGAGATTATATACTGGCTTCTCGATAAGAAAGTTGACAGAAGAGATCGAGAGCTGCATTCGCCAACGGCACCTAGATCCGCGAGGGTCGTGTAATCGGAACTGTACCTAATGATGAGACTCCCGACAAGAAGAAACCGAGATAAAGCCCCGTGTACGATCGAGAGGCGGAGCGAGTTGGAGAATCAAAAAGGTGTCGCGCGGAGCGAAGACGGAATTCTGAGACATCGACTCACTCATTCTCGAACTTGAGGCTCGGTCTTAATAAGTTTCTCTTGTTTGCAGTCTCGACGGAAACGCGGGTATTTACCTCCAGCTTATCGATATTCCATTTCCGGATCGAGCCGTAGCGTTCCCAATTGTTCCGCTGGTTGTCGCGGGATCGCGCGTGAGACGTCGATTTTCCGCTGCAGCAAAGCGGGAAACATCTATATGGAAGAGGACATCGAGCGAGAGGGAGAGCAGGTATGGACACTCGGTGCGCGATGGATGTTTCATTTTTTCATTCTATGGATGTGCGGAATTGTAGAGCTCGCTGCTTTTGTGTCTGCCGCTTGCCTGACTGAAGCTCTCACGTCATCGCGGGAGGATTGGTCTCGTGTGTGGGGGCATGGCATCGGCTCCGGCAAGCTAGTACTTCCTCCCATCCGAATTTTTCTCCTGGTCAGCGCGGTCAGACACGCGGCCCCTCACGGGAAAAAGGGGAACTGTGGCACCAGTTGCCTGATGGGGATTCATTCCGGTTATCACTTTATAATAATGGTTCCGCGCTCAGCTACAGTAGGACTTCAGACGTTCACGGGGACAGAATGCCGAGGGCGATATGGCAGCGAGCACAGACACGGTTACACGGAAAACACCAGTCCCGGAATAAAGGAAACTGAATAACGCCATTTCTCGCCTTCTGGGGTTGAACAAGTGCATCATGGCTCCCCATGAAGGAAACTCCGGGAGGACGATATCTGTGATCCCCAGCGCTCGTCCGTAAGCGTAGCTTCACCCCGATGGAATCATCTCGAGAAATCAATCAATTCGAAAGCCGTTCCCGAGCGGATGTTGCGATAGAGGTTCGGCCTGGGGCGCTCCGATGGCCACCCGGCAGGAGAGAGGATGGAGGTCTCCCCCAGAAGAGGATTCCGTGAGACTTACTTGGAAGAAGCTCCTGGGATGAACCCTGATTATCCGCATCGACTCCTCGCGCTCCTCGAAGTCATCTTGTCGGTAAGTATCGAATGATTTGGAGTTCGCGGAGCGTCTGTTCGAGAGTATCCGCCAGCTTCTACGTTATCTCACTAATCACGACTGAATCCAATAAGATTGGAGAAGACGACGGAAAATGGGCGGCTCGGTTAGCTGCATGGGCCTTCGAGATGAGATTCTGGGAAGCTCAGTCGAGATGCTTTTTGTTGAAATCCTCGTGAATTCAGGAATCTCAACGCTGACCCCGGGAGCGCTCTGACTGAAATCAGGAGGAGAATCCCGATTTCACGCTTTGAAATGGAATTAGCTCAGAGTCACTCCTCCTTAAATAGAAGAAAATCCACGGGCGTGAAACACACTGTGACCCGTCTTTTCCTCCTCAGGTTCACACATAGAGTTCAGGTTGGAGCGCCTTAAACGAGTCCCAGGGTTCGGATCTTTCGAACGTTAGACGCCGATGGAAACTTGAACCTTTCCTTCATAACCTCTCTCAATGCCCTGAAGCCTGTCGGCGGACTCAACTGTTCGGAGTAGGAATCGGCCGAATGAAAACGCGGAATTGAAGGTCAAAAGTCTGTTTTCGAGTGAGGTTGCTCTCGCAAAAAGGGATTTTCTACCAAACTCGCAGCCGTGTTTCGATCGCCGGTGAGCTCGGAGCGAGTTGCGAAGTTGGGGAAGATCGCCAACTCCTATTTCGGCGAGCTTAGTTGTACTCGCATTTTGATTGCGGGTATCGCAGACGTCATCCTGGCCCCGATGAGTTTCTTCCTGAAGCTGGAACGATAGAAGGCCTCGCCATATACCTTACCGTCTATCTATTTCTGTGATGAGACTTCCCTCTTCCGCACAACTCCTGTTCGAAATAGATGATGACCCCCACAAGGACTGAGCGGGGAGCGACCGACGCGACGGGGGAAGGGGAAGGAAAGGTCCCGCCGTTCGCTAACGGGATCCGAGGTGACGACGAAAAGAAAGCCGAGCTATTAGCGATAATGCACGCTTCCTCCAATGAATAAACAACTGTGAATGCTGCTCCAGCCGTTCCAACGGTCGCCAACACTTCTTCACCTTCTACGAGCCTGCAATTAGCTAACTGTCGCCCCCAGCTGCAAACTGCACGAGCCCTTCCACATCATCGCGGTAGTTGTCCGCGGTCCGGGCATTGGCGTCAAGTTTTCCATCGAGAGCAGTCGCTGTAGAATGAATGATCGAACCACAGTGAGTGGTATGAGCAGCAGCGCACCCGAATCGATATGCGCGGGGCGAAGGGGTCAGTGTATTGGAAGACTGGAGGCGAGGACTCAATCAAGGGGAGGAGGAAGCTGAAGTCATTCGAAGTCTGAGTATCGCGGGCGGAATTATGATTTAACCCGCGGGAACTCATGGATCATGAGGCCCTTCGTCAGAAAAATTGAATGCGCTAAATGGCATCATAGATGATGAGTGGCTCCTGCTCAGAACCACGAAAAACGAATGCTCGTCACTTCGTCAATTGCTCGGTCGAAGAACCGACGTGATGTTCCGTGAATGTCGCACGTGGTCGCGATTCGTGATGTTGCCGATCGCCCACCGACTCGTTCGGTCGACCCAGGTTCCGGGACCCTCTTCGTCGTCGCGTGCTGAACTGTTTAACGGAGACTCCAATCCAGTCTTACGCTACAATCCGCTATTATTTTCCGGAGCTCGTTCGTTCCAGCTCCATTGAAAGCCGAAATCCATTGAAAGGGTTTCCTTTGAGTGGACGGATCTGGAGAGCAAAGGGGATCGGGTTGGAACAAGCTCGGGCCCCGCACGCTTGTGTCGGCGCGGTGGTCGCAACGGGACCGGCTAGTGGAGCTCATCCTCCGGACCTACAAGCGTCATGCGTCGCTCTCCGCCGCGGGATGCAGGTCAACCAGATGGATTTCGGCACGCCACCCGGTAAAAGTCTATATAAATGACTTGAATGATTCAATACGATATCGAGGCGGAAGTTCCGGGTCGACCGACAGACCTCGACCGGCGACCGCACTCGACTCCAAAGTTTCAGAAGCTTTTGTAGTAGTTGCTCTGTGTCAATGTTCATTTTCCGCTTGCCTTCACCTTTGTCGACTGGCTTGTCAAGTTCGCCGAGCCTTCTCCAGCGCTTCTCGGTTCGGCTGCCGCCGCCGTCGTCGACGCTTCCGCGGCCGCCTTGCGAACTTTTCTCGTCGCGCCCCCGAGCGCAATGCGGGCTCGATGCGAGCGAGAAAAGACTGCGGGGCAGTGTGGGGATGGAATGGAGGGTGGAAGGACAAGGGTACGGCAACGATATTTATATTGATCTTGCCTTGGGCGGTGTAATTTTATTTTCAATAATCTTGTCGTCGCTGAACGGAGCCGTTGCCCGCAAGCCAGGCAATGTGTCGAATTTTCGATGTTCAACGTTGATGTTTCCTGACCTTCCGCTGATTCGCTTCGGCGCTCGACATGGTGTTCCGCACAGACTAGTGCGCGATCTCCAATGTCGAGTCGATCGCTGTCTACGCACATTTTTTGTTTATTCTCTGACATATTCCCTGGGGGTGACGGACAGGGGCAAGCGCAGATTAGCTTCCGAGTACACAAATCCGATGGAAGAGCGTTTTATTAGACAGCCGTTGTTTTTTTGATCAATACTAATTAGTCGAAAAGAACGAGCGACAGGCTACAGCGACCGGAATTCCCAACGGTACGACACCGCGAGGACTCTCATACCGTATTCACTCGGATGATCGCTCATTCCTGGTGGGCTTAAGAATGTCCCCAGACTTTCAGCGTAACGACGGTGTCATCAGAGCCTAGGTAGGTAATTGAAAAGAAATGATCGAATAATGAAGCATAAATAATTTGGAGTCTCTCGATGCGAGATCATCGGTCTCATCAGGACTTTCGCAGGAATGGGACGTCAATGAGCATTCCCATGCAGTTGCTGATCCGTGCATCAGTGCCAAACCCATGCTGATTTCCATGCTCCGAGTGTCGCTTGACGGTATTCGGGATCTCCTCGCATCCATGACTGAAGAATCACTGGAGGCTCGACGTGGAACTCCACCACGATTGTATCAAAGAGGTCACATCGACAGGGGGAACCTGAGGGATAGCGAACCAGCAAGGGAGAACTCTCGTCCGTGACATTCATGCCGTCAGCACCGCCCCAGCCAGGATGCGCTCCTCTGCACCGAGAATTCCCAGGAAAAAGGCCATCGGGGAAAACTATACGCGGATATCGTATCCGGGGGTATAGGAATGCCCGAAGGAGGAGGCCCTAAGGAGAGGATTCCGTTCGACGAGTGCTCTGTATCTACTTGAACTCGTCCCCGAACGGCTGACATTATTCTGGTGAGAATGAACGGTGGAAACAGACTCAGCGGGCGAGAATATGATCAGCCGCCGAAAAATGCGATTTTGACATGAGGGGCATTCTCTTCACACAATAGCCGTGGTCTCATTCTCAATAATTATTCTTTCGTTTGATTCCAATCAGGTACTTTCCAAGTCCCAGCGAACGGCCATACCGATGGGCCTGCCCTGGTCGCGCCGGAATCGGTTGTCGGCTTCATTCTCAGAATTTATCCGTATCAAAATTGAGTCCGGCCTCTCGCTGAAAGCACGATGTCGTATATCGGCGTTCCCCATCGCTAGAGCCGAATTCGAGCGAGCGCGCGCATCTTGATTGCATCCGAAGATGTACGATTCTGTCACATATTCATACAGGATGATCTGGAATCAATGTAATCTCTCTTCAGAGGACGACCTGCGCGAGGTCGTCTCCAATCATCTCACAGTCCATCGTCGAAATAAGGTCCTATGAGCGAGGCATTGAAGTATCAGCGTCACTCGAGACTCCCTCTCTTCATTCCGCCTGATGTCAACATTATCGTAAGCCCGTATGTTCGGGGTAATGTAACTTTTTATGGACCATTAAGGTTTACTTGCCTCGACTTGTTGCTGCTACCGCCTACGGTGCCGCGAACGCCGCGGGTCCCTGCTGTGGGCAGGGCTGTACCACAGGGTTCCGCGGTCCCTCATGCTTGACTCACCTTATCGTTCCTTTAAAGACTGCTGCCAGCTACTTTGAGTTTTTTCCACGAGTCTGTGATGCTTGACAGAGTTCCTAGATGGGAGTATGGCGGGATCTCAGGGAGCAAGTCTCCTGCGACCTTCGCGATTTTCCTCATCGGAACTCAGTCACAAGCCGCACATCAACATGTCGGGAGCTCTGTACATTGGAGGCAATGCTCATTTGATTGGTTCGGAAACAATGGGACATCAGACCAGTCGATAGACTCGTCAAGAGGCCGAATACTCACAGGGGAGGGCTGCATCCGAGAAGCTGATAAGCTTACGCGAATGGACACCCGGAGATTTCCTGACGATGGTTTGATCTCAAGAAGAATAAGGCTTCTCACTAAACAGATAGGTTCCGAGGCGGGGTCAGATAGAGGGATAGTAATCGGGAGGGGGAAGGGGGCGAAGCAGACGGCAGGGGAGCGCGGACGTAAGAAATCCGGACAAGAGGATGCGAGAGCCTGCCTTGCTGCTTCTGTGTGGAATTCGCAGCCGGAGAGAATGGAGGCATTGAAAAATGCCCGCTCTCCGGTGAACGAAGTGATTAGTGGTGTAGGGAAGCATCACACATTCTTCTTGCTTTTTGACATTATCTCTCGATATCGGGGTCAGAGGTGCAGCTTGGAGAAAAATGCCCTCGATGATCAAATCATACTAACTCGCGTCGAGACCCGCGGGACAATGAATCCGTCGAGCGACCCGCGGTCAGAGCAGACGGTCCTCGGAGCGAGACGCCATTTCGACGGCTTGGTCAAGACTGGAAGCCGGGCCCGGGACACTCCGGCGAACGGCGCGAAATAGAGGGGAGTCACTAGCGAGGAAAATCCACAAATTGATAGAGTTCAGCGAGAGTAATCTTTGGAATAAATCCGATAGTGATGCTCGGTCTCGCATTACTCTTCAACGCAGAGCCGGCGAGGAGCGGAGGCGAAAGACGTCGTCTCGCCCAGTCTCGTGGTGTTATCGGCTACTGCGGTGACGACGACCGTATCCCCTCTGCTCGTGTAGAGTTTCCGTGACACACAGCCGTGTGGCTTCATCGGAATCGTCTACGATGGACGGCCGAGTGCATCTGGATAATCCTCATCTCAACAAGGAAGGTCAGAACGACATCCTCTACCATATTGGTCTGTCGAAGTCGCACGGCCTCAAAAAACTCTTCTCGGATTTACGCTTCGTCTGCATGGGTGGCACCCCTGCTCGCATGGAAGCCTTTGCGAGATACATCAAAACTGAATTGGGTATCGAGTTGCCCACTGGGGCGGATATTTACGACATCGCTGGTCTGGGACAGCGCTACGCCATGTTCAAGGTGGGCCCTGTCCTGTCGGTGAGTCATGGCATGGGAGCTCCCTCGGCATCGATTCTGCTGCACGAAGTTCTAAAACTTCTGATGTATGCGGAATGCGAAAATGTGATCGTGATACGGATCGGAACCAGCGGAGGAATCGGAGTCGAGCCCGGCTCGGTCGTAGTCAGCAGTGGGATCCTGACGGACTTACTCGAGGAAACTCATGAGTTCCACGTTCTCGGCAAAGTCGTCAAACGGCCAATGACTCTGGATCGAAACCTCGCCGAGAGTATCCGCGCAGCCGGTCATGATGCGCATCCTTCATTCAATACAGTTCTTGGTAAAACCATGTGCGCCAACGACTTCTACGAGGCGCAAGCTCGTGTTGATGGTGCTATCTGCGAGTACACATTGGACGACAAGATGGATTTTGTGAAGAAATTGCGAGATATGGGTGTAGTTAACATCGAAATGGAATCATCTGTGTTCGCGGCTCTCTGCGCTCATACGAAAGTGAAATTCGCCATGGTGTGTGTGACGTTGGTCGACCGACTAGAAGGAGACCAAATTCTGGCTCCCAAGGCCCTTTTGGAGGAGTTCCAGGATCGTCCTCAGAAGATAGTGTCCGCCTTCATCAAGCGACAGCTCGGATTGATTTGAGGGTTCCGTGAACTAAAGCAGCTTCTTGTCTATTCGATCCTCGCCCGCAGTTCTACAATACCCACGGCCCGCACTCCATTTTCGCTCAACTCTCCACGTGACGAGTTTCACCTGTGTAACCAAGTTTTAGCCATTCCTTTTGTATACTGATACCGGGACGTCGCCGTGAATAAACTCGCGGCACGATTCCTCGAGGATTCGATCTGATGTAAGCGTGAGAGACCGCAAGTTTTGATTTGAAGGCGAAAGCGCTGGACAAGTGCATGCTTGAAACCGGAATAATTGCGACGATTCGCGCGACCAGACCCCGTGGGGGACCTCCGGCAAGACTCTAGAAGAGTCCAGTGAGATTGGCGGCGGAGCTTCGGAGCATCGTACACTCACTTTGAAAACTCATGATCTCGCATTATTTGAAGATCACGAGTCCGTTTTCTCAAGAAGGAGGTGTGAGTCCGAGGGATGTGACTCTACTCAAGCAAGGCTTAGGCACCGCAAGATACCGTTCATATCATGGACACAACGAGTAGCAGGGATCGACACATAGGCTCAGATGAAACTAGAGCTAGGTGCCTCAATTTCAATTAGCAGCATAGGCCATCAAAGCGTCGCTCCGAATCCGAAGGGTGCAGACTTGGAGAATTTGTTGACACCAGCATATAATGAGCGATCATCCGATCCGATCGATATGTCCTCTGATAAGATGAGTCGCGAGGGTTCAGAAAGTACCGAGTCGGACGCGACCCGAATGGATACTTCGAGCTCCGTTTTGGATCTGATAGAGAAAGATCGATGGAAATCGATTCGATTGCAAAGTGCAGAGAAGGAAAGTGCGGGAAAATCTCGAGCCCGTTGATCCATTCGTGCATCAAATATGTCACTTGAGCGTTTATGATTACCCCAGCGACGGTTCGTGAGTGTTTGGCGCGTTCGTGGCCTGTCGTGCGTACGAATTCTTCACGGAACAGCAGGAATCACATGACATCACTCAATCCCTCACCGTCCGGCACGGGGAAGATGAATAAGGAACACCCAAGTGAAAGGAAGGCTGATCGCTCTTAATAGACGATGCCGAGCTCCCCTGATGCCATAATAAATTTTATGAGCTGAGACTTCCGATGTACGCTAGGAGCCATACCATGAGGCCCAGTGACCAGCAGCGGAGCTTCGTAAGAATTGTTCACAGAATTCCAAGTGAAGTCTCTGGCTCTTCTGCAGAATCCTGGTTTATGAAGTGCTCGGGCCGATATACAATGATTGGTCCTCCATCGACCTCGCTTCTGGAGTGCTGCAATCTCTCGTGTGGTCGATTGTAGCCGCTGGGAGGACAACTCAGCAAGGCCGGGGCGGACTATGGAAGGTGTTCGTTGTTCTCACGTTCTGCAAGCCGCGCCAAGGAACCCAAGACAGATGGAGGTAATCCTACACCGTGCGGCTACCGTGGCCGCTCGTTCCTCCGTTTGTTCCTTGCCCTGCCGTTGAGAGACCGAGCGCGAGCCCTTTCCCCCCCCCCCCCTTTCACTTCGCCCCGTGTGCTCTCGTGGCTGACTTGTGTGCTACAGGAGAGCGTGCTTAGGTACGTTACTGGGTTTCATTGCCCGCTTCGGCGTCATGGCGCGCGAAGCCCCCAGCACCAGTCTTGTGCCTCGACCAGGGACCTCAGGTCGCCGGGCAGCGCGCACCGAGCCCCCAGCTCGTTCGTCCTTGCCGCTGCCCCGAGTGGATACCGGAGACCTCCCAGCTCGGCGAAAGGGAATCTGCGGAATCATTTGTCACCGCTTGATGTTCAGGTGTCGATTGCAACTCGTTGGAAGCTGTGCCGGCCGCGTGTACTGCGCGAGTGTCTTGTCAGCGAGTAATTTCATCGGGACCAACGATAGCAGCCTCGGAACGATATCGGATCCCCGGTAAGGGTCACTGCGCCGAGCTCGTTTCCCCCATCTTTTGTCTCGCTGTAGCCGGAATCTGTTGCGGGATGTACGCATCCGAACTCGAAAAATCCAGCATGGATCAGAAGCGATTTTTTCCCGGAACTCTCCCTTGTTCATCGACGACCAGGAGATGCAAGTTCGGCAATACCAGCGGTTCGAGTGAAGTTTCCTTCCTTCCTGGAACTCGGTCGAGTGCGACCGACTGGATCCTCGATCACGACCATGCCAACTTTTAAAGACGTTTCGACTCGCTGCTCCTGCCATCGCGTGTCTCTTCTCCAGGTGGACGGGTTGGTGAGCCCCTACCTAGCCGTCTGCTGCCGGAGATGTTGGCGAGTACTTGCCAGCCTACGGCGCACACAGGGAGCGGGCCGAACGCGAGGAAACGAACGAGGCCACCGACGGGAAACGAACGGAAGATTGCTGACGAGGGACTTCAAAGTGTGAAACTCTCTCGTGCGGAACCCCTGCACCCTTGCCTGCACTCAATGTTTCTCTTGACCCGGTACGGAGCTAATCCGACCCGATATCGCCCGAGAGCGCCCTCTCTCAGACTACGGAGTTGGAAGTTGGACTAGAACTTGGAAGAGCGAGACAGCGAAGTTTCTTCCCATGTGCCAGGCATCAGAAGCAGGACGGAATTGCCAAGCTCTTCGGTCGACTAGAAGGGGTGATGTTCTAATATGGAAGGGCGTCTGATACAGGACGTCCTAATTTTGCTGGAATCGTGGAAGAATCTCAAGGAACCACGACTACCGATCGAAATTCAGAATCGTTCTGAATGCCCACGATGAGAACCCGGAAGGATATCGATGGCTCTGAGATGGAATTTCGAAGATCATCCGGGCTCTCCTCCTTGTCTGTCCAAGAAGACGTCATACATTGGTTAAACCGATGAATATCCGGAAACTCGCTTTGTCTCCAGCCTGAGGAAATTGATTGAGCTTCACTGGCAGGATTTCCTCGCGAGCTGAAAGCCAGCGACGGGAGTCCTTGTCCTCGGAACACTCAGTACCCTCAGACAGGACGGCACTACGGTCGCATTACTTCCGTTGGAATTTTTCTGTGTTGATCTGGGACACAGTGCTCATGCCGAAAATAGAGGCACATCCCCCCACGACACCGACTTCGCCACTGTCTGCTTACCGATCGATTTTCAGGTCCCAATGCTGTCGGAGAGAATCTCGAATACCAAGAGTCAGTAAGGGACGGATATTTGTCTTGTCATGCGTCCTCTCCGCTCAAACTCACAACATTCGACAAGCCAGGGAAATGAGTTTTCGGACGGTCAACAGTTTCAGGGGTCGCTCCTGTTCGGCGATTGACGTGGGCGTTGGCGCACCTATTCGATGAAGAGCAAAACGCACACGAGTGAGCCGGCAGCTACGGGCGCGGCTTCATTTCCGGAGGCCCGAGCCCTCGATAGAGGATCTTTCTCGTCGCGCTCCTCAAAGAGCCGGCCGTGCTGAAAGAATCACGCTCAAAGACATCGATATCGGGAACAGGTTCGTAGGGAGCATTTTACCCACAAGCGAGATGATTCAGTGCGGCGAAATCGACGCGAATTTAGCGAAGCCCGAACATCTCCCGTTGAGATGCTCTCATTTCACGTGACCCGTAGCCCTTCCTCTAGAAAATCCCCAGTGACACGGTAAGATGGAGCGAATCTGGGTCGATTATCCCGGGGTCTTGGATGAAGCCATTGATGAAGAATCAAGGGTTCAAGGATGAAAAATGCACCTCTCACGCAATGTCACCGCATGGCATCTCTAACAATCAATAGCAGCATTGGAGAAGGAGCGCAGGATACTCTATCTTTGCTTCCACCGACGCCTCCGTCGCCTGTAATTAATTTCTGTTTTGCTTCATCGCCCTCCGGAGGGGAAGAAATGGAACTACTTTCCAGCCGCGTGCCGCCACTGCTGCGCCGTAGAACGGCTCCAGAGGAGACCGGAGAGAGAGAGGAGAGACGAGGCGAACGTGAAAGCCTTGAAAAGGCAGCGCTTCGGAATGGGCTGCGAAGGCGGAATATTTATATGGCGAACGCCCATGCTCGAATCAATCATGACCTTCATCAATAATTTTTAACCGAACAGCACGAAGACGACGCGGAGCAGGCTCTTCTGCTCGCTCCTTCGTTCGCCGTCGGCGCCACCTCTCGCAAATCGCCTGTTTCCCCTAAATTGTACACGCTGTTGCCACCGACAAGATAATTCGCTGGACTCACACAAAATGCTTCAGCGTCCATCCAGACTTCTATTGTTTTGACATTGGGTAGACCTTCTTCGGAGAGACAAGAGTTCGCCAGAATTCACTCCAATCCAAAAGCAAAAATAAAACGATTTTCCAGACGGAGCACGCTCCATTCTGAGCTGAACGGAAACGTAGACGGGCACATCGAGCTTTCCCGAGCGGGTGATTGTTGCTTGCAGCTTGGTGATTCGTATAATGGTCGGGGCCGTTGTTGCGCTCGTTGGCAAGCTACAACCACTTGCCCTAATCGAAGAAACATTCAAAAGCTTTCTCCCGTCCGGCCCTCAATGCGTTGAGAGCGCTAGAGTAAAGCCTCGGGGGAGACAATCGGATTCCCTCACACCAGCCCGCGCGTGGTTCGGAACGTCGCGTCGGTGGTGAGCATAAAATGTCATTTCGGTGCTGAGAACTCATCATTGATTAATGGTCTTGTCTCCCTGCAGCCCCAAGCACTTGCATATTAAACATTAATGGAATTCGAAATAAGTATTCTGAGCGTCACTGGCGAATGTTAGCCATGCATTTCCCATTTTTCTTCCCGTAAGTCGGCTGTTGCAGAAAGGAGAGCTTGTGAATTCTCGGGGCCTGCTCTGCTCGATAATAACTGCGGCGGTGCGACGATGCGCAGTCCGTGGCTAATGTAGACTCTGTGAAATTATCCATTTCGAGAATCGATTATCTATGCGGAAAATCGATTTTTCGAGGAGAACTTCACCGGTAGCTCAAGGGAAGGTGCGTCGAAAGTCATTTTTTACGCTGCATCGGATGCCAGACCTGCGTTGGAAATCGGGTCGATCGCCTGTCGCCTGTTCTCGGAACATTGGTCGCTGCTCGAACGATGATTCGCCGATTCTCCGAATGTCGCTGCTGATGTGGAGGGCTCCAGTCATCAGGAAAGATTTAGCGATTCAGGTCGGGAGCATTCAAAGAATCAGAGGAAAGGAACGGAATTACTGCGACTTACCGCGAGCCCAAGACTTCGCTTACCATTGGTTCTTCCATCGAGCGAAGTCGTTAAGGTCGGCTCGTGGAAGGGGACGATTTCGAGAGGATGAGAGAAAATGAGATACCGAAGGCATGAGGATGAAGACGGAAATTTTGGAGGGCGATGCCTTGCGAACGATTAGGTCTGTCGCATTCCTAGCCCGGGCTCAGATTTGAGGTGTAGATTGACTCATGTCAGACGCTCTCAGTCTATCGCCTTTCGGTCTATTGTAGAAGCGAGAGCAATCGTCACCGAACCACATCGACGTACTCTGGACATTCCTCATTCCAGCCTGCAAAACTTTGACTTCCGGCGCGCGGAGGCGGTCATACGGGCTTCGAGTGGCCAATCCATGGACGACGGTCGACACCGGAGTCTTGATCCACATCAAAGTTACTTCATTTCCAATCATTTTCTTCGACTGCTCGCTGAGTGAAGTCGACCGGGTGCAACTTCCTCCCACCCTAGACTTCCTCCATTCGGGCGAGCCCCGGCATTCAATTCTCATCGATTCATGGAAAGAAAAGAACCATGGTAGCTAAGGCGAAAGCGAGAGTGACTAGATGTCAAAGATTTTCAGTGACAAACCATCGGAGGTCATTCAACATAATCCTTTATTTACAAAGCGAGCTTAGCTATCCATCAGTGGTCATTTTCACGGTGATCCGTGTACGGATATCAATAATTCCATCCTCTTCCGCCCCCTCTCAGCATTGCGAATCTTCCTGGGTAATCATCTTGGTGCCAGGTAGAGTCATTCGTCTTTAATACTGGGTTACTGTCTCTAATCCTCCCTCTCATCAGGAGGCGGATCGGTGTCTATTCTTCCAGTCCGGCATCGATATAATACAACTTAGTCCTCGATAGGTGACCCCAAGCTCCCGCTCAACGAGTCGGGATGCTTGCTCGCGACTCCCGAGGCTAAGGAGGAGAAGTTCCGGTCTGAAACATGTTTATTTGGTTCATGATAGGTACATTCGATGAATTCTGAATTCCAGACGCAACATTGTGAACCTACGTGACTTGTTCGAACGGAGTGAAGTATCCGTACCGGGGGAGCCCGTCGCTATTCTCGCATGCTCCGTGAACGAATTCCCCGTCCGCTCTCTGAGGAATGCGACCATCGGAGAATGTTCAGAAAAACGCCAAAAAATCAAGGCCACACGCGACGATCAAAAGTTCAAGTCGTCCCGGAGAATTCTACGCCGAGGGGCTGGTGGAAATCATCACGACTCTCGGTGCGACTACGATAAGTCAGACGCAAACCCTCAACGAATCATCGGAAGTGCTTCCGACTCCTCGAGAGGATCGAAGCTGAACTCGTCGAGAGGACTTCAGGTTACGTCCCTCATACAAGCTGAGCTACGCTCAATTGATTTCCCACCGGAATCGCCCGTCCGCTTCGGTCCGTTCTTTCAACTGTTCCTCGTTTTCTTTGCGAATCGAAATGATGAGTCAGTCAACCAATCAATCAATCATCAATCAGGCTGAGATATGTTGAATGGGATCTCAAGATGAAAAGGCACTGCGACACATCGTTCTTTGCTTCACACCAACTTCTGTTTGTAGTAAAATATTGATTCATCGACCAACTGTGCCTTCCTCGAGGTTGGTGAACGCTGAGATGTATAACTCTGTACACTGTTGATAGATATGAAAAAAGGGGGATCCGGTGCCTGTGTGAGATCGCGGTGTAGCCCCCGCCCCGACTCGATCGGCACCGTTCCTTCCACCGCTGAAAATTCCGGGAATGCAACTCGCGAACGAGTTCAATCAGTTCATCCCTTCGTTGTGACATCAGGATTTTGGTTCATCTTAGCTTCCTAGTCCCTTCGTCCAGCCGTCGTCCCAGTCGACTGCATCGCATCAACGAGCGCGCTTGGAGATTGCCCAGCAGATGCCGCCGCGGTGTCGATGCACTGGGGGACCTGCGCCGACCATTGGCCTCTGGCAACACATTTGATGACAGATGCGCCCCGGAGCACTTTACCTTGCGGACACTCAAATGTGACCGTCTCGTTAATGCGATAGAAGTAACTCACTCGGGAAACGATTCGGGCGCCGCTGTCACCCACGGGAGGGTACTGGCACGCCGGAACACCTGCAAACAACAATCTCCCAGGTTTAAGGCCGAGTCCAGCCGTGCTGCTCCGCAGTCAAGGGGGACTCATTCGAACAGCGCCGAGTAGAGTCAGGCAAGGTTAAGTGTACAGCTAAAGAGGCAGGCAGGCAGGCAGGCGGAAAGGGTCGAGACCCGGCTCAGAAACCGAGCACATAGCACGGATGGTCAGTAGTGTGCGAACTACGTGCTAGTCACGCATCGCGAGACGGTACCTTATCGCCGACTCCCATGCATACATGAGATACTCAGCTCCGGCAGAATTTCGGCTGCCGCCGCCGCCAAAACGTTATACGGCTTCAGCTATGAACATCCTGTCTGACCCCCCATACCATCTGAATACGTGGTTCAGATGGAGAGGATACGAGAAACGATACGCTAACGACGTATAAAAGCGCAGGAGCATTCTCGCCACGCTCCGAGTCAGGAGAGGGATTTCGGGCCCGGAGGAAGGAAAAACGCGGAATTCATATTCAAAGCTATTGAGAGCATGGACTCTGACTGCCTGAACTACATGAACGTGGCATCTACCCAGCTGTTGTTAATTCTATTTTGCTCGAAATCAAATTCCTACGACTGCGGGCGAATCTTCAAACATATGGAGCACGCGAAGACGGTCGAGATGCCCCATAGGCACCAAGGCTAAGAAGCAGCCCACTGGGTGATTTTTGAAGCGACGGATCATCGGATTCCCCAACGATCCACCGCCAGACCCAGATTCGGTTTTAGCCCAGAATCGAAAAACGTGACCCGATGTCGAGGAACCAAATAATGTCTGAGGCGGCCCGAGCCTCGCGTCCGGGCTCGCTTGGCCAGGTTGAGATTAAACTCGAGCGAGAGACCGCGAGAAGACACGAGCCGGCCATTTCTTTCGGGTACCGCACGCAGTCCGCCGAACAAGGTGCTCCCGCCGGACGCCGCATGATCCCGGTCCCGCAGCGCAGTTTCGAGGAACCCCCTTGCGGTCGATACCCTCGGCAGTCGAGAGCGTCGATGAAACATGCAGACGCTCATGCCCGGGCTGAGGATTCACGTATACGCCGTCAGGGATCAAAGAAAACTCTACTCACACTTAGGAACCGGCGCGCTCCAGCGCTCGTTTTCTTGGCAGACGACGATGCCGGTGCCGATCATCATGAAGTCGGCATTGCAGGAAAACTGTATGAGGTCTCCACCACGATATACTTTGACCTCGCCTTCCACCCCCGCTCCGAGAATGTAGCCGTCGTCTGGGGGCTCGAGGGCGTTGCACGATACCGGCTTACAATGCGGAATCTCGGCCGACCAGAAACCGCTCTCTAAACACTCGGCTTCAAACTCGCCTCGGAGCCCGTAGCCTTGAGGACAACTGAAGCTCGCTTTGGCCCCTACGGAGCTGCTCAGAACATCAATGATGAGCAGATCGGATTCCATTTTACTCAGATCACGGCACTCCGTCACTGTACAGGGAAAATCTACATGTTGGTTATTCATCATCACTTGCGCTCAGCTCATCTACGATACATGCATACAATACGTATATCATATGTGACAGGTGTGATCGCAGCCCTCATTGTGCGAGTTTCGCGTTAGGAATTGCAGTCGGGGTCGGAGACCTGATGCATGACTCGCTGATAGGAGGGCTTGCGAACGACCTTCAGACGTTAACGTAATTCTAATTACCTCGGCAACGCGGTGAAACGGCCGACCAGTGGCCAGATGGCAAGCACTCGATCTCGGCTTCACCGATTAGGTTTTGGCCGTCTGGACAGCTGAACGCTATGATCGATCCCATTCTCGTATCGTTCTGACTGACGACGAGGCTCGGATCAGAGACGTTCACAGGGGAACAAGTGACCGCTGCAATCAAAATCACTGTAGTCGAACATATGGGATTCGCCAGTCAGTCACCGCGAGTAGCTCTATATTTGCTCATACGTCGCTCATCCACGACGCATTCCCCAACAGGCGGGCAATTTGAGACGAGCGAGCGACTTCAAAAAGATATCCTGCTCCACCTCCGACAGTTTCGGTCCGAACAGCTTCAATGCCCGATTACTTGGGTACACTCACATTTCACAACGATCTCCACGGTGTGCTTATGACCCATGGGGGTGATGCATGTGTAGCGTCCAGAGTCATCGTCCTTTGCGTGATAAATACTCAAACGGTATTCCAATTGAGAGTCCCGCCCAGGTTCCGTCGTCCAACCCTCGGCGTAACGACGATTCTGATGGCTTATCTGCGACGCGATAATCGAGTAAAATTATGTTGACTATCACCGAGGGCATGAAGAATAATTCTCGTCGCGGAGGTTGGCTTCGAAACCTTTCATGGGAACGGAAATTCTACCATCGATTTTGAAATTCTCACCTCCCATTTAGGCGTTCCATATTTTCTCAACCATAAGCATTCTAGGTGTAGGATGGTCCCTTCCCAGACGATGAGTTTACCGTCGTTACTTTGGGCTACTGGGCCTAGCTGATGTCTGAACAAAATTGTGGGCGGCTTCTCCACTTGATAGGGATGCGAGTATAAGAGTCATTAGATTTCAGAATCTATCTCCGTTTCGTGGAGACTTCAAGGAACAAATTGACGAGGCTAAATATTCCGGGCACTCACAAGCGTAGTCATGTTCTTGGCTCAGTCCGATGCATGAGGTCTTGACTCCAGTCCAGTCACCGAATTCGCAGGTTCGGATGCCACTGCCGATGAGGGCGTACTTGCCTATGTCCTTGCAGCGGAAAGTCAGAGAGGTCCCCGGCTGGAAATCGGGCGTTTCGTCTGCGCCAATGACACGATCACCCTCGAACGCCAGCAAGTTGGGCTCACTGAGCTGGTAGTGGCAAGTCATGTTAGCCCGCAGCTCCTTCGGGATCTGAGAGCTGCTCAGATCTGTAACAAGAGGATCAGAGAACGTTTTCAGGATTGGCTCCGAGGGTTCTCTATCTCACACATCCCCTCGGGTCATTGTTCATCCGCTCGCCGAGCGTGTGTCGGCGCTTCACAGGCGGCGCTTTGTGCTCATTCGCACTTATTTGTGTCTGCTCCTGCCGTCGATCATCCCATCTCAGATTTAGCACCCCTTGAGATTCTGTCTAGGACTGACTCTAAAGCCGGGAAAGTGTTCTCTCCTTCTTCTCTGAGTTTTCACGCTTAGGAGGAAAGCTGATTGCCGACTGAGAGGCCGCCGAGGGAGTCCCTGAGGGAGCATCGGAAAGCGAATTTCTTCTCACCGCATTTCTCGGGACGACCGATCCAGTTGCCGTCTTCGCAAAGGAGCTTCCACGTATTTCGTTCTCCGCCGGGCGTCGATTCGATGCAGTCAAAAACCACTTCGGTGCCGTGAGGGAACTGCAGTGTCCCGACATAGTCAGGGGACTCCGTCTTCTGCATCTATAATGAAATCCTTGCCTTAGCCTCTCTGGCGTCCGTAGATTTCGCAGATCCGAGAATGCATCGATCCGAGAAAGATAATTATTGTGGACCGGCAGGAGTCGGGGGCTTCGTGATTTTGCGGAAATTCGAAGGTCGAAATTTACACAGGTATTTGTCGAACCGTCGGATGATCCAAGGCTCAATAACCTCAGAAAAAAAGTCCAAAGTCGCCGGTAAGATCTTCGATTTTTATTCTTCCCTCGGTGAGGTCACTGCTGGATACAATATGAGCAGAGGGGGACGCAAGGAGTTCTTTTGTTGGTCTAGTTTTCCAGCTGGGCTTGTTGAGGATGAACTGTGCGACCGTGGGTGGAGATTGAGGGGGCGGGGGACGGATGGAGGAGACGGTGGCTCCGACAACAAAGCCAACAAAAAGAAGCTTTCGGCTAAAAGGGGTTGGGACTCGAAAAAGCTTATCCCGGCTGGGAATATGGAGAGGAATCGGCACATGGGACACACACTGTCTCCAAAGCATGCCCGAACCCACCTTTGTGAGACTTTCCCTTGCTGACTTTTCAAGATTTTGCTCGGAAGGAAATACGAGACTCTGGTGAATCCTTTCAGGAGTCGAGCAACTTCTTCTTCCACTCGTGTCCGGATTCCAGTCCCGACGACGGAGCAGCTCGTCTGTAATAGACTCTGGAATTCAGTTCATGCGGGGCGGAGGACAGGGTCTGGACAACGACAACACGGGCAACAGCAGAAGGTCTGAACGAGAATTCTAAGAGCCAGGAGCTTCCCAATCGCACGGGAGCCCTCCCTTGTATGTTCGCCGTGAGAGGCCTCGCACGAGAAATTCAGAGTTATGCATTCCGTTCGCTTTCAAGTCCGACAGGCCTGCAACGATCGCTCGAGAAATAATCTCGGGTCCAGGGGAACTTTCAGCGGAAAATCTCTCCCGAGCCCCTACACCCAGAGAAAAAGCTGTAGCGGATGCTTTCGAGAGAGTTGACGGCCGATTCGATTCTGTCGATACAGGTGCCAATCCATGGGCAGGACCGCGCCTCGACGTCTGATTCCCGGCTACCGACCGTGAGTAGACTCCGACCGGAACCCACGGTACTCGATCTTATCCAAGTCGGTGTAGCCATCAAAAACAGACTTGTATTTCTGTGGTAGCGGCTCGAACGAATTTAAAACGGAGGCAACCCACACAAGCTAGGTGCGCTAATCGTTCGAACTGACATCGACAAGGAGCGGAACAAGCGTACCTGCTGATGATCCGTTTCCGTTCTTTGTTTCCCCCTATCGAGAACTCTCCCGCCAAGGACGTACCTTTATTGAAATTGCCCAGATGGAGACACACGGGTGGGGCTGGAACCAGTTGGCCTTCGGAACACTTAATCGGTTTGCTGGGATTGTTCTTCAAGTACTCGATCTCACAATCGAACTCAACCGAAGATCCATGCGAAAGACTTTCTCCTTGTCGAAGCCCCCCTAGATAATATCCGTTCTCCAACACTGGCAGCTCGCAAGGTTCTGGAAGATGTCGATCAACAGTAAATTAATAACTTCGAAGTTCAGCGGACGGCCGTCGAGCAGCCGAGATGCACATCCTACCCGCGATCAAACGCGCCGAATTCATTCAAGCAAAAGTCAGGGCTGCCCGTATCGACGCTCCAAGCGACTGATAAGGAACGCCATGAATTCATCTCGGCTTGACCTACGCACCTGGGACGCACTCCGGGAACACGACCGCGTCCCAGAGTCCGAAAGAGCACTGTAGATCGTGCTGTCCCTCAAGCTGGTAGCCTTGCGCGCAATGGACGCTAACGATGACGTCGTGCTCGACCGAAGTGAGATGCAACTCCTCGTCGGTCTCCGATTCTTTGAAGCTCATGTGCAATTTTTTAGGTAGCTCGCACGGTACTGAAATGGATGAGGGGTCAGTGAAGAATAGGCTCGACATAACTGGCTCGAACCTAAGGCTCGGGCCGTAACGCCTCGCTTCATCGGCCGAGGAAGGTTAGAGACGGAATCGGCTACGGAGGATATGATTGAGTCTGGCTGACGCCGGGAAGCTGAGTTTCTGACTCGAATGAGCTCCGAAATAAGCGGAATATACATGGAGCGGTCCCCCCTCGATGGCGGAAGACCACGATCGTTTGAGGCGTTCCATGTCCGCTCCGATATTGATACGGAAAGCAGAATCCGAGATTTTTCCCCTTCATCTCGATGAATAAAGCGTAGTATCGGCGAAGCGATATTCACAGCATTCAAATAGCTCCGAAATGACTGACGCCTCCGATACCCCGGCCGCTCTATCACGACCACGGACCCCATGCTGTATGAACATATGTCCATGTCTCGAGACACGCAGGCACCGAACCGTCACTCTTGGCGTCGACGACGGCGACGATTGCGATCGAAGAGCGAGTTCGAAGAGTTCTCCCGATACTAGAGAAGCTCTGACCACCACAGTCTCCGTCCCAGCTAGAAGCAAAATTCTCCGGACAGGCAGCTCGTTCAAAATGTCCTCACTGTGAACAAACCGAGGAACGAGCTTGGATGTATGCCTGCATTCACGACCGATGTTTTCCGCCGTCCATGCTTTCCGGACACGTACCGCGTATGGTCATGTCCTATAGCGGAAGCAGTCGACAGGAATGACCGGAGGAATGTTTCGAGACAGACTGCGCGAAGTCGAGAAATCAATTCTCCGAATATTCCAGCCCTATTCCGCTGAATAACGGCCGAACACATCGGCGAACCTGAGGCTCGGAGAGCTCGAGGCAGTTGTCGCATTCGGAGTCTCTAGTTCTTCCCATATTTTTCCGATGATGAGCTCCGACGGAGAAATGGAATCATCGCGAGTGATTGTCAAGCTCGACAACGGGCCCCTCGAAACAAGTTTTGAAGTTTCGCTCGAGCTCGCGAGCATAGGCGTCAACATTCGTTAATGATGTCTGAGCGTGCAAAAGGGTCGAATTTCGCCGGAGTGTTCCGCCAACAGCCAGGTCAGACGAGTACTTCTATTTAGCGCGAAATTTTTCACCGACGACCGGCTTTCCGGAGGCTATCCGGAAATAACGCACTGCTAGGGGGCTTGGGCCATGTGGGAATAGTAGACCTGCACTCACGAATTACGTCTTCTAAGCGCCGAACAGCGTGACACGGTCCCTGAATTGTTGAGGGAAGGAATACAGCCCTCCCCCTTGGAATAGAGGAATAGCTCGCCTCCGGCATTCCTTATGCGAGGACGCTCGCTTATACGTTTTCCAGTCTACATCTATTATGCAAGACTTTCACATTCGCGATTTCAGGAGCTTTAGCCAGCCAGCAGACCGGCTTGCAGCCCGAGCCGGCGGGATGTATCCCTGCGACAGCGAAATGCTCCCCAAGTCGAGTATTGTGGGATGTAGGGGCGAGCTGATATAACAGCCGCATTGGTTATTCCAATGAAGAGCCAGGTAGGAGCGAAATTGAGTTTTTTGCTAGCCGTCACGCTCGCCCGGGAGCGTTGTCCGATCTGGCGAGTATCGGACGATTGTAACATCTGATCAATCGATTAGGAAGCGCACGGATAACCACGAATTCAGATCCAATATCTACCTCGGTGCCCATATTGGCAGGCGGCGACCATTCTGCGCTTCTTAGTCCGTATGAGTGAATGTGTCATACACCGAGTCTGTATCTGTATTAGTGAGTGAGGAGGTTGCTTGGCGGGCGGGCGAGCGGCGCTCGGTCGCTGTGGAGCGAGCAAGCGGGCGGGCGAGCTGGCGGATGAGCCATGTCGACGGAAAGAGCTCCTTCTCGCAGCCGGTCGAATCATCCTCATGGTAGCAATGTCTCCGCCGCAGCCGGCAGCTATCAATATCCGGAAGCCCCTTCAGGTGGGCGTAGGGGTGGCCGGCCATCCGGATCGCTGTCAGGTGGCTTGTGTACGCGGAACAAACGCTACTAACTCGTCTCGTCCCACGACGGTAAAGCCGGCTAAAGCTGCGAAGCCGAACTTCTGCGAAAGTCTGTCACGGAGAGTCTGTCTCGGACTAAACCCTATGATCCGGATCGGGAGTACAATACGAGATGTATCCTAGCTTGTCTTCTCTGCTGCATATTATGGTGACGAGTCACGTATGGACACGCCTCAAACCTTTTAATACGGCTGTTTAAGACAACCAATGCTTTACTACCGGTGAGCTGTATTCGTTGACGTAGATGCCGACGATTACTGCTGCTGCTGCTGCTGTTAGCGGTACTACAACTCTTTGTAGCGTATTTATGTTTATAGCTTCAGCGAGGAGGCACACCGCCGGCACCCTCATCATCATCATCATCATCGCTGCTGCCATACGATGTTGATTCCTCTTCTCTTGGTTTTTTTGGTCGTCGCCAGGGGTATTGATAGTTTACGATATATCCTCTTTTTCCTCCTCATGGTCCTCCTCGGCCAGTTGTCCTAAACCTTGTGTGTCCTGGCTTTGAGGACATGTTGCGTCAAGCTCCGAGCGTAAGCAGCGAGCAGTATCAGCGGAGTTATAACTTGTCGGTCGCCTTCCCCATAGAACCGGAAGATGAACGGAAGGACCTAAGCAGGCCTCAGCAGCCTCTGCAGGGACCCATCGCGTCCGCCTTGGCCGGATTGGCGGCTCCAGTGGTCTCACCAGCGGGAGATCTGGGAATTCTCGTGAGTTGAACGTGGCTCGAATGGAGCGTGGCTCCAAAACGCAGTGCTTAAGAAGGCTGCACAGAACAGAGAGGATCGGTGTGTTTTCAGCCGGTATCTCCCTGTCTTTCTTTTTCTCGTGCTGGACGCGCTCCGTTAGCCTCCTGTTTTAATAGCCATCATAAATCTGGACCCACCTCTTCGCGGGCCGGCAGCTAGTCTAGGGACCGCTTACAGTTCCGGCTGCCGGTCGGTCGGTCGGTCGACCAGTCGGTCGAAGAGAAAGTTTGCGGCAGTGTTGCTCCCTGTTGCTGGTACCGTTCAGTTTTTCCACGACTTCCGGAGAAGCCTATTATTTCTCAGCAAGGCAGGGCTTGCAACTCCCTTGCACCAGGCCCGAACAGAGCTTTCGTCTGCCTGGATTAACCTTCGTCTCGCTCATCCGATAAACAGTACTATCTCTCGTCGACCGAAGTTCTTCGTTTCGTTCTTATAGTCGGCTTCTCGGAATAGGAGATTATCCCTGACTTCCGACTCCGTCAGACTCTGTCTGCCGCAGGCCCGCTCGCTCCCCGCGGAGGATATAGCGTCCCTCCCGATATCTCGAGCGGGCAGTGTGTTCGAGGTATGCGAATCTAGGCCAGTGCTGCCACATGGTAATGCATGATATAAATGTATCGACTTGATTGACGCTCCCCCATGGAGCATCGGGATCATGACGGCAAAACCACGGTATTGATCATGAAAAAAAGCGAGATAGTCCTGCGAGCCTCTTCTATTTTCTGAACTTCCCTCTCTGGCCTGAGGGAGATAAATCCCAGGAACAGCCGAAGATGGGATGGAGTTTCGACCGATTGCTTTTCGTCCTACCTCCCACGCAGAGACGCTCTCCTGAACAATCGAGTTGCTTATGGAATAGAGCTGCGTCCGATTACATTCTATGCGCATAGATTACTTGATTCCTGACTAATGTAGTTTTACGTACGGGGGCGGCAAAAAGGCTCCTTGGGATCCCAGTTCCCCTCGACGCACTTTGCAGTTCCAGTGACTGCTTCGTATCCTTCTTTGCAGGAAATGCGAATTTGAACTCCGTGGGGAAAACCTTCCGTCGTCACTTCGCGAATCTCTCCCACGCCGATGAGATCCTCGGCGATCGGGCTGCGACAGCGTCCTGGAATCGCTCAGTTTCAATTTGGACAAATAGATACGACGAACGAGCACGACAAGACAAACGGCGCGTTCTCGGAACTAGCGGCCTTACCCGATTTGCGTCTGTGACGTCTGTGGCGAACTTTCTTCGTCATCACCACTAACGCTTCCTTGATGCCTGCCTTATGCTCCTGGAGGCGCTCGCGAAGTCCAGCGTCTCCCTTCATCAGAACCAGCTGGTCAGGAACGCTGCGTACCTGCCGCACAGAAGGATGGGATCCTGGAAATGAACGACGGGACGAAAGTAGAAGAAAAAACTGCGGAAAGACGTTAGTTACCTCGGCGTCGTCCCCTCATCATCCATTTAAAGTTTGCTCTTTCGGACTCTCGAAAGACCCATAGGTCCTTTGGAGAGCAGGTACTACGAAGACGCCCAGGAGTAGTTCTTCGTCTGAACGAGAGAGGAAAGTCTCCCGCGACAGATGAATGATTCAGCAATCTACCCTTTTCCGCTCTAATTCGCTCTCTCCCGCTTTCTCTTAACCTAAATCAGTCCCGATAGATAAGCTGACGTAACGGGAGTGGGGAGTTTTGCAAGTTAACTTTCTTCCCATCCCTTGAAGACTCTCGACGACATTTACGTATAGGGCTTGATATCGGCTTCTCCTTCTCGCCATCCTCAGGTAACCGCTCGCCGTCTCGGAGCTCTCAGTCAGGGAGATCGTGCCAACTCAGAGAAAGATGGACACGGACTTGCCAGCAGGGCTACCTACTTCGGAACAGAGAATGCTCTCGGGAACAACCGTGAATCACTTTAGCAGCCACGGCGGCAGCTTATCCGAGAGTCGGCTTAGAGGGACGGGGAGCCGGGGGACAATAAGTCGAGGAGAACTTACCGGGTGTGCACTGCGGCAATTGGCTGGGACTCCATTGGCCGTCAACACAAGTAGCCCCGACTGGTGCGTTGTGCTCGAGAACATAGCCTCGTTTGCATTCGTAAGTAATCTGCCGGTTATTCCGTACCCGTCTGACATAGGGCCTGTAGTCGTACATACCCATGTTGCCGACCAGAAGTACACGGCCGTGCTCGATAGCACCAGGATAAGGGCAATAGACTGTGTAGAATGAGAATATCCCTTTAGCCAATCGATTGTGTGCGATTCGTCACCCGACATTCGGCTCGTCACGAAATATCAATCAAGCATCCGGAGAAGGCCAATCTTCCGGTGGAGCGATGCCTCCCGAGAGTTTTTCTTACGATCCGTTCGGGACTATGGATATCGCCGAAGTAACAACTTCCTTCTCAGACCTTCGTTCATAGCAATGGGAGAATCGTCAGTAGCGAAGCGAATACTTTTTTCCTCACCTTCTTTACATAAAGGTGTCGGATCTGTCCAGTTTCCGAAATTGCATGTGGTCATATTCGGCCCTTGCAAATCGAAGCCGTCGTCACATTGGAACAAAGCTTTCATGCTGTGGTCTGTCTTCGGTGCAATTACAATGCCGTTTGCGGGGCGGGCAGGAAGGTCTTTGCACCTGCGGGGCAAAAAGAAAAAACGTAATAGGGAGCGTCTTCCACCAGAGGTGAGCTCGAAGGGAGAATCTCGCTCTGCCTCTTCAAGACGCGCTGGGAGCCGGGAGTTTAGCGAGCTCACTCCGAGATTCCGCCCCGCTAATGTTGCGCAGAGCTCATATTGGTGATCGCTTATTTGTTCACGCTCGGCGAGTTTCATCCGCCGACGTTCCGTTAGGCAGAGCCCAGAGCTCGAATGATTCAGAGTGCAATTTTATTGCTCAACCCGGGAGAAAGAGGAGGCGACGACGACGACAACGAAAGACGCTGCCAGAGGACGCAGAATGTCAACAGAAGACTTGTTGAAGGGAACGAAAGTCCTAAGTGTCGCGAATACAAATATTTACCCTGCGGCCTGATTCGCGAGTTTGCTCCTGAACCAATGACGGACTGTCTGATTGATTTGGGGCGCATGCTCTTCGCAAGCATTGTTCCCGCTGGGAATCATCAAAATTACTGAACTTTTTCCCTTACTTAGACGGCGGAACCGGAGGAACTCCCAACTCTTCCGACGATCATTCACCCCTACAGTTCGATTGTTCACATCCGAATATGGAAGTAGAGGGGCCGAGTCCGCACACGCTCGTTGGTCACGCAACGAATGAACGAGCACGACTGTGTATAATCTCTCAGATACGGTTGCAAGAATCTACATGCATTCATCGGATTCCTTCGAATTCTTTTTCGAGTCCATGCCGACTTTCCGCTAAAGACGCTCCCGCGACATCGTTGCGTCCATGAGCTTTCAATCTCTCCTTCTCAACTTTTCCGCAGAGACCTGAGAGCGGTCGACCAACGATCGAGGATGAGCGACGAGCGTTCCGTAAGCCTTCGGGGGCCACACGCAAGTTTGGTCACAATCTCCCGCGGAGCAGTCGAAGATAAAGAAGCAACGCGTCAGGGGAAACTGTGTTGACTGCTAGGGAATCCCTAGTCCGATCCGAAAAGCTTCTTGAATATCAATGAATTGATCCCGCACGTCGGCAAGCCGTTCCCTCTAGGTAGGTTCGTTCGAGTGGATTAGAGATTCAGGAGAAGCAAGGAAAACTTTGTCCCGTGCATCAAGACGTGCTCACCTGGCCGGATTGCACTTAGGCATGTGGGTCCATGTTCCGTTGTTGCATGTAGGCTGCGAGTTATTGTTGCTGAGTTCGTAGTTCTCAATACAAGTCACATTGAGCATCTGCCCGTGCTCTTGCAGAGAGGATGGTCCGAGGGAGACGACTTCTCCGAATTCGATTTCGGGCATTTTGCATGGAGCTGAAATCAGAAACCCAAATGTCAGGAATCGAGACCGGAGCAAGACGAGGGATCAGGGATCTCTGCAATGACGTCACAGCTTCATTGGATCGAGTCTTTCTCGATCCGATCGCTTAAGGCTTGGCGAGTCGCACAAAGCAGCGTGGAACTGATTCACAAAAAGTCGAGTTGGGGTACCCGTAGCTGTTAACTAGACGCCGGAAAGCGTTGCGACATAAGAACGGAGGTCTTAGCCCGACTCCTATAAAAATCTCATTCGTTACCCACTCCTAAAGCGGCTCCCAATGCCTGCCCGCTTTCCCAGGCCACATTTCCTGTTCGACACGTCGGTAAGCCGGTCGACCGACTGACCGACCGGCTTTCTCGGACGGACAGAGGGACGCGCTGTCTCGATGATGATCTTTTCTGACGTCGAAGCCGCCACCGAATGGCTTCGTATCGCGAGAGTTCTGTCTGGCTCGGCAGGACAGATAGCTTTCATGAGATTTCTTTCACATCGGGCGCTCCTTTTGGAAAAAAAGTATTTCGCGCTGCTCAAACGAGAGGAATCATTGGAGCCCGGCAATGGGGGACGGGAGGAGGGAGCAGAGACGTTTATTCAACAGCGCGAGGCGCCATGAAGAGCGGGATCACACGATGACTGCTCCTTGTCTGCCTGCTTGCCCTCCTCTGAGCCTCCCACTGTGTCAGTAGGCACGCTGGAGTAGAGCCGCATTTTTCATCAAAGTTTGCTAGCCCGTCGGAGGATTCACTTAGGCTTATGAGGCAAAGGGGTGGAAGGCAAAATGAGTGCAGTCGAAAAATGACGCGGAATAGCGCCCGACCGCGATGGGACATGTGGACGGCAATTCGTGCAGCTCGACGAATTATCGCTCTGACTGCCACTCCTTTCATGACTTGTGCAAGCGCTGCCCGAACGATCCGTGCTGGCTTCCGTGCCGGCTGGAGATGCCGCTGGCAACGGTTGCCCACGCCAAGGATTCGCGGAGTCGTTTTCTGCCACATTAGACGACACCATTTCAGCTTGTGAGGGATATTCGCTGCAGAAGTCTATAATCTTCCCACCACTCATCGTTCCGCCCTGACACCGAGCTCCACTGAGGAGAGTCGAGGAAGATTGACAGAGTCGATGAAGTGCATTCCGCTCCGCATCGTCTTCATTCGCTCTATCGCGCCGACCCCCCCCCCCCCCGATTTCGCGCCGATCCTTTCCCGATTTCGCGCCCACTGGGCAACAAGTGTCATGCGGATCGAGCAGAGAGTGATTGCAGGGGAGAGCGGGCGGACCCATCGGCTAACGTGAGGGATACAAGGAAGCGGTCGACGCACTTCCGAAAGGTTTTGAACGCTTGTTGCCTCAGATCCCAGAGAAACCGTCTTGCGAGATTGATGGGGTCAGAGACGCTTTATATCCGATCCCCAAAAGCGAACATCGCAGTCCCTCCTAACAAGACGCGGAGAGTCGTAGAGCCCGTCGGGGATAATTTCCTCCGTAACAGCTCGTTGCAGGTGCTCAGCAATCATCGATCAATTCCTAGGAGATCTGTCGAGCTCGATTTGACGTAAATTGTAGGAATTTGTTCGATTCAGTTTCATTTCGGAGCGGAATAATATTTCGACGTCTCCGCCTGAAGCCCAAGGAAGCCAATATTTCGAGAGCGCGGCTCCTCGTCAAGCGACAAAAGGACAAAACGGAATGCTTGTCGACGAAGCTGGCATTCCCGTTTCTGTATCGTGTATGTATATTCAAATTGCATTGTGACAACTTTTCGCGAGTGTCAGGCTGGAGCAACGCGCGGACGTTCGTAAAGTGCAAGATGACTGATGGTCGAGGAAGTTCGCACCACCACTCTCGTGTTGCTGCTTCGTTGTAATGGCGCGAAGATGTCGCTCCGAGACACATTCCGAGACATCGCTGATTCCCCAGTTGGCTGGCGGACAATGCGGACGGGGTCAGGGGCTTCAGTGAGTCAACTTCAAGGAACTCAACCGCTCCGACAGCCTTAATATACCGCTCAATGTCCATACGTCGATGGGAGCGTCATCAGGGACGCGACGAACAGCGGGATCAGTTTTTATTTTTGAAAGGCCGAACTCACCTAGGCACCGCGGGAGCGGATGCGACCAGTTGCCCGTCTCCATACAAATGGCGAAAGTCGAGTCTCCCTCGAACTTCATCCCGTTGTGGCAGTGGAATGTGGCTTTTGCATTGAGATTCGTTCCTCTCAGCTCGACGAAGCCGTTGTACAGTGTGCCAGGATTGTTGCAGTTGATCTCTGGAAAAATTGAGTTTTTCTTCAGGCATTAGCCGTCTCCCAAGCAGCGCCGAAAGTCTGATTCAATGCGGGTGTGGACCCGTCGAACGGAATTCAGTGTTCGTCTCATAGATCCTTCTCGTGCTTATTATTCCCTCGAGCCGGCTTGTATCAGCTTCCCATGAGTTCTAATCCACGAGGCCAGAGGAGCGTGCAACCGGGACACTTCGGAAAAATATGGAATCCGGACAAAGTTCCCGCCATGATTCCGAGGCTTCGATCGCGATGAGAGGGAATATCGCCGTCGATAAGGGAAAATCTCATGCAGAATGATTTCGGGTAGGGGGTAGGAGGAACGCGAGCACGGGGCGCTCCCCGTCGTCGGTGGCAGGATCCCAGCCGGACGACTACTGCTGTCCCGTCGTGGAATCCATCCTCGTTGCCATCGTCCTTCGTTTCTCCCGTTTTCCATCCTCTAGTCTTCCAATGGTTCCCCGAGGACGTAGGTAATCAGCTTATCAGCTCATCCTAAGGCAGCCAACCTCGTCGCGCGTAATTATGTCGAGTTTTATTTTTAGTGTAGGAAGAATCAACCGATCGGTCGCTACCTCCTCCCGGAGCTCCCTCCCGGTAAGAAATGGTCCACTCGCCGCCTCGTTTCATCGTCCATTCCTGTGATTCGGTATTCCCGAAAACTCCGCAAATCATGGCTCCGTCGGAACGAGAGACGATTGAATTCCCGCTCGTCAAGCGCGAGAGGCACAAAGTTCTTAACCTTCCGTCGAGCGGGAGGACACTCCTGAGAGGATCGCTCCCCCGCTTTCCCCGCGTCTGAGAGGATCGTTCCTCGAAAAAAATTTCTGACTGTTCAGGACGATGTATGCGGTCTTTTTCCCCCGAACATCCCACCCTGAGCTCCCTCGCGGGGAAATCGAACATCTCCTCCGAGCGTCCTCTTCTTCGTCCTCGCGTGATCGACGAGCAATGAATTGAGCATCTTGCCGAGCCACAAGTCCTCATTCCGATACAGTAGTACTGGTGGAGGTCGGACGCTCATGGCGAGTGATGCAATTATGAGCTAACTTCGGGTGACTCACGAACAGATCGAGGAAACGATTTCCGACAACGCTATTCTTCCCCGATCCGACAAAGGGCTTCCGTCCCTAGGGAAAACGGAGCCCAAACGGTCGGCTTGCTGGATTCGACTGCCTGAATTAGTAGAAGACACACTCGACCGGCATCTACAGCTGCTTCACCGAATGCTCTTCGGAGACAGGACAAGCGGCAGCTTGAAAGAGAGCCATTCTTCTTTTCGGAAACAGGCGGACCCCGAGAGCTTGTACATCCTTGCTCTAAGCCGACACCGCGGACAGAATCATGCGATCAGCCGAGACCCAGACTACATATACATAAAACGAACTGGATGACGGACTCACCGACGCAAGAAGAAGGACCTCCTTGCCACTCTCGTTTGGCGTTGCATTTCGCGCTCGCTGGACCTTTGACAGTGAAGCCGTGATGACACTCGTAGGTGACACTGGATCCGTATGTCAATGATGTGAATATGGCCCGACCGTTATCCGGATTTGTCGGCTTAGGGCACACCACCGCTGGAAACGTTGAATACGAACGGGATTACACGATTGGGCAGCGAAGCGCCAGGTGAATTGACAAGGAAGCGTGTCAATCATGAACAAGATAGCGGAGACAAATGGGACTGCTCCACTCCATGTGTAGAATCGCGGCCTATCGATGTCGTGGTGACCAAAGACGCTGTTCTCATTCTTGTCCTCCGGTTATGCATCATTCACATATTGCTCACGCGGTGGGCCTCCGCTCCTATTTTGGAGCGTGTTTCGTTGATATCTTATTCACTTAGGGCAGAGAAGACGGCGCTAATGTGCTTCGAAAGTGTACATAAGCGGACGAGTGAGCGTCGCGAAATCAATGGAGCAATTTCGCAGTAAAATCGTGCTCCGAGTGGTTTACGAGCCCAATAGACAGCCGAAACTCCGAACTTCCAGCGCTTAGTGACATGTGTGAGGCCAGGTATGATTCCGAGAATTCCTCTGCCTTTTCTGGCCTGCTACGAAGCATCCGGTATGCCGATCGGTCAATCTAGACTCTCGACCGGCGGCTAGGATCCTAAGCCCAGGGTTTAGTCCGGAAGAGGAATGAGTTCCGGGATAGCAAAGCTCTAGGATATTGAGATATTTGAAGGCTGATCATCTTCGTCATCACCGAATAGGAAAATGACGCCAGCCCCTCGGCCTCCGCAGGACTCCTCTCCGGCCTGCTTCCGATCAACCGCGGACAGGCCTCGATAAGTATGGGGTGGCTGAATCTCTCTTGGAACTGTATGTCGCGGCAACTTGAGCAGGGCTGATCTGGAGAATCTCCAAGGAGAGGAATTATTATTTCCAAGGTGCAGTGGACGATGGATGAAAAAATATTCCGGAGACGAGACCGAGGTGCCGGGGAGCAAGGACAGCGTGGGAGCTTCCCAGTCGACGTGCTTCAGGTGTCGGGAAAAACGTCTTTATTTCAATTTCTTGTCCCCTATAGGCTCGCTGCTAGACAGAGAATCGTTATCTACTAGCGGCACCGGGCAGATATCGAAACGTATCGTGATTTGCTCCACCGAGCATCGATGATATCCTCAGAGGGAATCGTCCATCGACTTACCACCGTTGCGACAAGACGGATGTTTCATACGGTCGCGACGGAGAGCGGATCCCTCAAGGTAACTCTTAGCAAGTCAAGTCATTAAAACCACTTACGCCTGCACTCGGGGGCTGAACCACTCCACGAGGCTCCGGATGTGCAATATCTGTGGGCCCTTCCGATGAGTTCGTATCCTTCATTGCACTCGTATTTGATCGAGCTCGTGAATTTGTTGCTCGCGCCGACGATTTTCCCGTTTTCAATCTTCTCTGGTGTGACGCAGCTGATTGCTGGAGGTCGGAGGACGGATAGGAATGGTTAAGACGCAATACGTTCTCCGACTATGAGCATGCGAGGGAATAAGCTTGTGATTTCCATTCGAGCTCCGACTCTGGTGGAATAAGGTCCGCGACTCAAGGTCCTGAATCATTACTTACGTTCACATTTTAGGTCCGGACCGAACCATTGTGCCGAGTTGTTGTAGAATATGCATTTGGCGATGTCGAAGCCTCGCGCTTCGTATCCGGGGAAGCAGCCGAATCGCACAGTTGAGTTAATTGGGAAATCGTTCGGATCTTCTTGAGTCGAGTTGATCCGGGAATGCGGTACTTTCGGCGGTTCGCTGCAAGCCGCTGAAAGGAGCAGAGCAGAATTCCTCAAAGATAAGCTCATCGGAGTCGTCGACGCCGGCGAATCGGTGCGATTTATATTCATACGGAGGTACATTCAGCTTCCGGATCCAGCTCGATGACTCGAGCCAAATTTATTGAAGGTCCCATTCCCCAATCTGAGATATTTTGAACTTTCCCTGTGCGCATTGCATGCGATATTCATTGACGGGACTCCATGAGGTCCACCCGTTGCCCCGTCCTGTAGAGTCAGCTCCCAGCTCATCGAAGGCTCGAAGGATTCGGGGTCTAAAACTCCCGTAGGGCTATCACTAGGGAGGTGAGGGGGAAATGCCCAAACCTGCTCTACCATTTCCGGATCATGTACCCGTAATATCCATTTCGTATAGGATGCAAGGGACATCGGGCTCTGAAGAATGGTAAGCCGAAGCTTTGACCGCTGGAAGTCGGATATCAGTTGGAGCGTCCAGTTCGGATCGAATCGCCGAACGAGGGCAAAGCTGTTCAGAGCTCGGGGGCGAACAGATCTTTCAGCGAGTATCCGCTCACTTCATTTCCTAATATCGATGGATATGGACAGCTCGTTCGGGTGGAGAGCCATTTCCAGAGGGATCAGGGCACTTGGCGTAATAACATGGGAGACTCGAATTCAGGGATTACCTGAAGGGACGGAAGTGATTTGGCCGCCAGTCAGGAATATCCCCACCGAGTCAATCGGGTCGACGGACGATTCGTCCCACATCGATTGCAATTCCCGAGAGCTTTATTAACGATGTGTCTAAACAGGATCGATATTGCGGGAGCCGAGTCAGGAATGGGAGGTTCGTCGGCTTCACCCGCCGCTCTTCGAGACTCCCTCCGTGAGATTCGCTTGCGTTCGAAAAACACGATATCGCGGGGAGTATTCCGATGCGGGATGACTCGGTGATTTGGGCGAGAGATCCCAGAAGCAATGACGATAAGAAGAATAGCACCAATGCGACAGATAGTTCGAGAACGGATACGCAGCGAAAGAATCTTCCAGGATAGCTCCATGCGTAGCGGGAGGAGGAACAGGAGTCCGACCGAAAAGCGGCGGCTTGCAGAAAATCGCATTTGCTGCTGCATATATCTCCTCTTCTTCGTTTCCGTCTCCAGAGTCGCGTGTGTTCCCTTCTGTGTTCGCAGGGAACGTTGGGTCGCTCTTCAAATGGCTCTGGTGTCTCGCCTGGTTTTCTCCCATTGAGTTTACCGAGCCCACACCGACGGGGCTAGTTCGTGGATTTCGCAGTTGGAGTGTTCATTTATATGCGAAAGATGCCTCCAGTACTACGTGGAGAATCCAAGGCGCAATCCAACCGACCATAATCTCGGCACGGGCATACGTGAGCTGCGCTCGAGTCAAGCAAATTGGAACATTGTTCTTCGTCGGTCGAATAAACTCAAAATGCAAATAATTTCTTCGGACGACCACACTCCATTGTCCTCGGACAATACGAATGTGGCGGTTCCTCGCTCTGAAGTTTCCCTCTTGACATTCTGGTTGGACGATTCCGAGTTCATTCTTCTCGCTAGGTCTCCCTCCCTATGTTAGGCCCTACTCCGGGGCTTCCCGTCCTCTCGTCGCGCTTATTCCTCGTCAACCAGCATCGCCAGTGTATTCATCCATAACCTGATCGGCGTTTTATTCGTGGCGCGAGCCGTGCTCGTTGTTGCTCGCAGGTACGCTCCGATCTTGGGCAGCGAAGGAGCCGGCTAACCGATACGGTCACGCGCTCCTTTCCAACTTATCATAAGTTATTTTCGTCCTCCAGTTGACGCGGCTCGGAACGCGGCGGGACACACAAGATGGTCTTCCTCGGAGGATTCGTTTTTCTTCGCTCATGCAGGAAGGCAGAAAGGCGGGCCGTCACGCACGCGAACGTCCATTCGATACGAAGCTTGAGGCGAGCAAAAAACCCCCGTGATCATGATTTATGTTCTAATCTTGACTGAGTTCGGTGCGTTCCGTGTCGATGTCGAGAACTCAGTCGATTAACGGGAAGGGCAACAACGGCGCTCGTTCGACGCACCGATTCATTTGCAAGCATATTAGAACGAAATTCCACTGACTGAGCTCCGCTCGAAGAATGCGGGGAACCGGTACCTGGAAAACGATCAATGAACTCCCGCGGGGCTACAAACTCCACTCATAGGAACAGTGTGCACCGTCGCGTTGCAGCTCGAAGCTTGGTAGGCTGGGAATTTGTCAGAAGACGGGGAATTTCGACAGCACTGTCAATTTCTACAAAACTCCTCCAGTAGAGATCCTTGAGCGCTGTAATGACCATCACTGCCTCCGATGTCGTCGTCTCCATCATCATCATTGTCGTCGTCGTCGTCGTCGTCGTCGTCGTCGTCGTCATCGTCATCATCATCGTCGAGTCATAACGAGACACGGCCTGCGGGGACATCTGCCAGACAGCGAGCTCCGGATGAGACGGTTCGATAGAGACCTTATGACGGCGCGGTGGTCGTAGCGTCATCTATAAGCAAATCAGTCCCTTGTGTGCGGTCCACCTCGGCTCTCTCCAATGTCCGGCTGAGCATCTAATCAGCGGCGATGTTACCTCCGAACTAGCCAGGTACAGATCAGAATTTACCATTTAGTTATTCAGTTGGTGAGCAACGGGCCGAGAGAGTGGTTTCGATCGCGACGAGGCTGCGAGATAGGATCGACGGGTCTTCGCTCCCAAACTCCCGAGGCCAGCGGGCAATGGCGAAGTCCGATCTCGGCGAGCTCGACGCGAGAACCCTCGGCCACCAATACCGAATTCTTTGTCACAGGAGACATCGGATCCGCTCAGAGAATCAGGGATAATCACCGATGGAGAAACGTCGCCGAGAACGATATGAAACACTCAAGAGCCACATTATTATATCACGGAGTTCGCAAAACTCGACGAGCGGGACTTTTGCATTCATTCCGCTTGATTGACTAATTACTGCTCGATAGCACGGCGGCGCTCGCGGGCTCCTCGCCGCGTTTCCCGCGCTTCCTGCTCGGTTGGCCGGACGGCCCCTCGACCGCCCCTGTGACAGACGGCAGCTGAAGTGACTCGGATACTCACGTCGCATTCGTTCACGAAAATTGCTCGGTAACGATCTTCGGAATGGAGGCACATGCAACTTTCAAGGAGCTATCGACGGGCGACCCAGGGCTGGGAATGCATCGTTCCCGTGTCGAGGTCAGCAGTATCTCCCTCGGCTGCATCGCTTCCCTCATTAAACGGAGGAGGTCTTCGAGCCCCGCGTGAGGATTTTCTCCGAAAGATTGCTCCGATCGATTCCAGAGGGTTTTGACATTTTTCCTGGCCGGCCCGAATACCGAGACATGGACTGATTCACTGGCGAGGCCGTGGCTAACGGGCACCGACTCATCGATGCAGTTAGCTGTTTAGTTCTCATCGAATTACCCACAACAAGACCCTTGTTATCTGCGAGTAATCCGATCAGAGGGGAATACTGTCACTCCACGTCAGATGCCTGAACGGAGCTCCCGTTGTAAGTTCGCGGGGAAACAATCCTGATGGACATTGGTTTCTTCCTCGCGTTGTGCTTCGCGGCTGTGTCAGGGGAAGGAATGCCTCCGACTCGGCGTTGAGGACCGAAGTCGCTGAAATATTGAGCGGCCGGTTCTTGTTTCTCGTTATGTCTCTCATTTTCTCTCCCGGACTCCTTGTTCGCTATGTCGAATCGCTCTCGTTCCTTATTTCACTGTTCCTATGCAAGCGATGGCGACGGTGGCAGCAGCCCCAGCAGAACTGGTGGTGGATAGCGGTGGCTCCTTCGTATTTGAATAATTGGTTCTCTTCCCGTCGACGTTGTCGACGGAGTCCTTCCAATTCCTGATACAGCCGTCAGCCGAATTTCGTCTTCCCTGTTCTCTATGGACGACGGCGAGAACAGACTTCTCGTTTCCTCCCCCTCCGAACACAATGTGGCTTGGTTTCTCTTCTGGTTGAGACGGCGCCGGCGGTGGAGCCACCGAAGGGAACAGGAGAAGAAAAGCTGGCAGAGAGAAGAGGGGCTCCGAGCAGAACGGGGAACAGCAGCCGGTACCGCGAGTAGAGCTGACGGAAAAGTTTTTCCTCCGTAGTTCTTCTTCAATTTGAAATTAGCGCCTCGTTTGGCATTCGACTTCTCTGGCCTGGATTCACATTTCCGTTCCTTTGATCCCCGGTTCTTCCAGAGCGGACTCTCTCTCTCCTCGATTGAAGCTTTCTGGAGTGCCGCTCTACCGCTCGCAGATCCCCAAGTCACGATTCACGAGGGGGGCGACCGAGTTTCCGAGACCTCGTTTCGGGATTCAAGAAGCGGAGAGTCTCAATTTTAGCGGAAAATCGACGAGACCATCAAGCAATAATGACTGAAAGGTAATGTCTCGCTTGATGACGGCCTTCTAGTGGCGAATAGTCGCCAGTGCTGAAGAGAGGCGCAATCGAAGAGAGGGTGCGCATCCGCCGATCCCCTCGCGCATTGACCCAGAGCTATGCTTCCACTCTATGGCTACATGGAGATGAATCTCGTTTGTTTGATGTATTGTCGATCCGAGTAAACCGGGCCTGGGCCATGGATCACAGGCGAGTCGAAGCCAAGAGTTTCCGCTCGAGACGAGGAAAGCCAGCCTGAGCGAATAACAGTTCTGGCCTTGCACCATGCCGTGACTTTTTGCACTGATTACAAAGTGATGAAAAAGGTATGAGATAGGGATCCGCGGCGAGTATAGGGAAAAATCTTGCCTGATCCCCTAGCCTGATTTGATGCCGAAGAGACCTCGTCACCCGGCCGCTCCCCATGGGATCTCCTCCACCGTCGAGAGCAGAGGGAAAAAGATGAACCGCTCCACCTGTTCAAGCCGTCGCCATATCGGCAACGCCAAGATGGAAAGCTACATCGGAAATCCTTCTGACATTATCTCCTCGGAGCCTGGTTTACCCGTCCCAGGCTCTTCCCCGACTGTTCCGTGGGCTCGGCCGAAGTGCTGTGCCGAGAAGAGTGCTTCTCAAGGGCTGAAGAGAATAAGCGAGAGTTTGCTTATCAGCTTGCAAGTTCACTAAACGAGGCGAGCTCGGTGCCTGAGACTAATAGAGATACTACGAGGGAGACGTCTCAACAGCTGGGGGAGCGATGGATTATCATACGGATCGCGATTGTTTCCGACGCGGGATTCGCGTCGCATTCGGCAGTGGTCAACCGTTTGTGAGCTCAACCTCGTTCAATGCGGACCAGCAGTGGTCGGGGTCTACCCTACAGGACTACCTGGAAGGAATCGGGGACGAACGGAAATCGCCTAAATCAGACCCGGACGCTCTAGGAAGTCCTGATCGAGGACCTTGGCAGTACCGTCCCGATTGAGGTACATTGTCGTCGGTTCACCACCGTACAATGTCTCAGGTCGTAGACTCGATAGCCAGAAGGCTGACCGGGGGGAAATCTTAGCTCGACGGAGAGTCACTTCTTTGACCGGAAAAAGCGGACTCCTCTCCTTTTCCCCCAACCTACGAGGTTGGGCAGGCGAGAAACGTAGAACTTTGATAGTGACGAGCTCTGATGTCATGGTGGTCGCCGCCGACAGGGAGGTTCGGGCCCAACCTCAACAAGTTGACAAGTGTGATGTTGCTGGAGGCCGGGGTTGGACTTCCGCTCCAGTGGCCTCGAGGTGGAACCAAAGATCCGTTGGAGAGCGCATTGGTCGACCGATAGTTCTCGTCATTTCGGTCTACGCAACCATCCGACTTTCTATCCTTGCTTCGTTCTAGGGGGGATCGGACGGCGTGAAGAAAATAAGACTCCCGTCAAGTAACATGGGGAAGAAATCAGATGCCTCCTCGATCGGAAGACTATCGCCATGCCGAGATTTGATGTTCTAGCGCTCCGGAGTTCGTGACGAATCAACTCGCGGTCGCAGCAAAGCCTCTTCCACAACGATGGAATCGAGGGTTTTCATCCCAACTCAATATTTTTCTTCAATTCGGAACGGAGATAATCAATGGGCTTCAACCGCTGCCGTGCAGTGCGGATGCGATGCGATTTGAAGATGTGTAGCGTGCCGACGGAAGTGCGAAGGATATAATCGAGGGAGCCTTCCCTGCATGCAGGTACATATGAAGATCGCAGGTTTGCTTTTCTTGGAGAATGCGAAGGAGGGGTGGGGGCGTACCCCCAAGAGCAAAGCCCCCGAATTCTTCGAGTTTCGCCCTTGCGAGGCATCATCATGGCTTAATGTCGCTCCCGCAGGCTCGGGGAGCACTGCAGCGAGCGGCACGAACCCCTAAGGAGCCAATGGTCCGCTTGAATGGAAAGTCACGGCTCGGATTTCATCTCTGAGGCGCCTCTTTCGAGTTCCCCTCGAAGCATACGTCCAAGTCGATAAGAGACGATAACGGTGTATGGATCGCAACCAGGTCCGCGTGGATGACGTGGTCAGTGTCTCTCGCCAGAGGTCGCCGGCTTGAAATTTTTAGAATCGGCTCCTACGGAAGTCCTTCGAAGACCCAGGGAAACCGAGGATGCTCATCGTTTTCTGAGGGTGAAGGCTGACTAGGAACGCTTCGATCATCGCCGTCTGATTATCATCGATGCCCGACCCCGAATCGCATACCGAAGGCGATTCTCGCGGGTAGACCGAGTGAGAGCAATGAAGAAAGATTCGGACCACAGGGAAATCGGAATTTCAGACTCTGATGCCCCTGGACTTTGAAAATACTACAACGAATCACGGGATGGAAATGAGTTCGGTTCGAAGACGGTTCAAGTCGATCTCAAACGTCGTCGAGCTTACTATATCCTGACATTCGGCTCTGGAGAGAACTCTCGCTATGACTCACGTTGTTTCTTGCACTCGGGTGGCTTGTCGCTCCATTTTCCGTCCCCTTGACACATTCGCTCCTTGGGTCCGGACATCCAAAAATCTTCCAGACAGTCGTAGTAGACCCGTGCGCCGAAATAATCCCCTGTGACTTTGTAGCTTCCGTTGGGAATGGGCTCCAGCTCATCGCAGTTCAAATCTGAAACGGGGTGAATTTTCAAAGCTGAACGTAGAAGCGGATTTTCATATCGAAGTCTTTCATCTATTGCGATTCTGGCGATATATTCAATTTAAAGCTTGAGCTAAGATCCGGACTCAACGCGGGGAATCGTTTAATCGGAAGAGGGAGGACTCGATGCGGTCACTTGAGTTGTGAGGGGTTTTCAATGAACGTCCCGGCTAGACTAGTGTTCTCGCGGCATTTGTTTGAAATATTCTGCCGAGAGGGACGGAGAGACTCTCCGAGTCCGAGGAGAATCTTGTATCGAAGGATTTCCACAGAATCGAGAGCCGCTCGTTCAGGTGAACAACAACAGGGCTTGAAAGATCTATCCGAAACGTGCGGGAGAGCGATTTCTCGATCGGATTTGAATCTCAACAGGCGGGCGAAAATGGCACACTGAAAACTGCAAAGTGCTATTCTCGGTGCGTTGCTTCTTCTGCCTTGTCCGGTCGCAATTCGAAAAAGGCCGCTGCGGGATTCCGGAGCGCTTGTTTCCTCCTGTTACTCAATCGACAAAGAACTGCCGCAGCCTTGTCCTCTGGGCGAGTGACTATTGGTTTGTTTATTCATCTGTTCCTCCTTTCGTCTGACCATACGCAGGGGGGGATGACGACCCCCCCTCCGAAATGGGTGAAGCAATCTGATGACAAGTGTTCAGCTCAGCTTGAGCGGTGCTCTCGAGCTCCGCCAGAAGATCACCGGATCGGGAATGGAACTTCTCGACTCGTTATTGGGACGAAAAAAACTCATCTAAGCCGATTCCGGTATCACCGAGGGATGCTGATTCACAATCAGGAGCTCCACGATTTGTGAAGCCACTAATTATTGTGAAGCACAGGTCGATGACAGAGGCGGAGAACATCCAAGTACCTAATTCAGCGCTCGCCACCATTCGGCGCGGCGTTTGACCCCAAATCGAAATTGAGACACCAGAATCCTCAGAACCTTTTGTCGCATTGCCATCTGCGATCCTGACGGCTGCAGTAAGGGCTCGAACCGCTGAACCCGAGAGAGAATGAGAGTCCGGAGCTCAGAGGAAATTCGCCGCCAGTCGAAATAAGTCGCCTTTCAAGTGCAAATTCAAGACGTCGACGCGTCGTCACAGCGCTCATCGAACTGCCTTCATTGCTCTGAGCTGGAGACGGATTCCTTTCGCTGAATCAACTAGGCCCCGATTGGGGCCCGGCGGCTGCCCCGTGACCGTTCCCAGGACCGTTGCTGCCACCGTCTCTGCGGTTTTCTCTGCGACTGTCCTCCGGTCCATTCTGCGCTCCTCTCCCCTCGATCCCCCGGCTTCGCTAAGTCGCTGCTGCCGCGGTGTTGCCTCCTCCGCGCGGACAGAGTCTTTCACTTGGATTCGGGGCGACCTTCTAGTTTATCCGGTGCGAGCCATGACCGTGCGCGAGCTCCTTCCATCCGGAAGAAGAAAGGAGCGACGAACAAAAATTACGATTGCTTCTGCTCCGAGGGTTTCTGAACGATTCAAAGGAATATTTTCAGGGGACGAGCGGACTAGTGGACGGGATCCTTTTCAAGAGCTATTGCAACTAGACGGCCGGGGAATCCAGAGGCGAAGGGAGCCGTGGACGGCGTCCCCGTATATGTTCCATGAATTCTCTCGCACCATGCAGCTTTGGGAGATGAATTTCGGACCGGGTCATTCGATCCTAATGCCGTCTATGCCTCACCGAACGTACGTAGGTGGAAGTTCTGAATTGTCGGAGATCCCCACAACTCTCGTCAAATCCTCCGGAGGGGACGAAGCAGCAATGAGAGATCTGGGGAGTCGAGGCTGGGGTGTGGGAAAATCTTCAAAGAATCGACGCTAGAGATGCGCGATTCGAACGGGAAGGTTCGAATCCCCGAGGAGCTGATCATCCGACTGAGCGGATTCTGGGTTCTCTCATTTTTTCCCGTCGAGGAAGAGACATGCTTCTTCGATCGGAAATCTCGGAGCTATTCCGAGAAAATCAACCACCTCGATAATGGGTCCACAGTGCACAGTCGGCGCTATCGGCACAACGACGATGACGGTCATGGCAAGACATCCTCCATACTACTCGTGCCTTCAGAAATGAGGACAGCGACGTCGAAGACACCGAGAACGGCGGCCGAAGGACGCAGACAGACCGTAAGAAAGAGACGATCGCCCTGCTGCTCCCACTGACTTGCTAACGAAACCATTCTCGTCTCTCGAAACGCGCCTCGAGATAGCAAGTCGAAGATAGCAAAACCGTCGACAGGGGTGATCATATCGGAGTCAACGGCTGCCTGCCTCGATGCACGTTCGTTCGACGAAGTGTTCCGTCGTCGCGGCGAGGGACTTGCGCCGAAATGCGGCGTCAAACGATTCCGGAGCCATGCTCCCAAGCGTGATTCTCTTTCTGAAACTCCGATGCAGTGAGACGTCGTTTCTTCTCGAATTGGCTTCATAGAGCAAAATAGCAACCGGCGTTCGATCGGAACTCGGGTTCATCCCGCATCGCGAGCAGATAGGGATAGGGCCAGCAATTAGCCGTGCTCGGAGTTCCGCCTTTCGGACAGCGTTCAAGATCCATCAGGATAGCGAATTTTTTTGAGGCGACAAGCTGCTATCGGACGCATCCAAACCGCCCTGGATCGAGCAGCCATGGGTGTGGGTGACGAGTGATGAGTCATCACTGAAGACGTATCATCATCAATTCGAAAATTGACCACCGAATGGCAGAAACTCTCATGGAAAGCACCGACAAGAACTCCCGTCGTCGCGCGAGGTGAGTCTCAGCAGTGGAGGCTCGAGGCAATCTGGAGTTCTTAGAGTGAAGCCGCGCAGGAGCAGCTCAGGATCCCGGATCGATTCGCGTGAATTGAGACGAAATCCTCCCGGAAAACTCTACGGACTTCATCAGATACTGGATGAAATCCAAGCTAAGTTCAGACCGATCGGAGCTCCAACGAGCGCGCTCCTACATTTCTTTGGAGTTCCTGTTGTGGACGATGTCTCTTTCGCCGTTATCATCACTACTTGTTGTCGTTTCCGCTCCTCGTTGTCGGCACGGATGTTGCTGCTCTTGCGATGGCAGCGGCAGCTGCATGTTCTTGGCGGCGCCGCGTGTCGTTCTCGGCGATACCGATTCCGTTCTTGTCGAGGACTCGTAGAAGATCAAAAAATTTGCGATGCTCTCTTCGAGCGAAAAAAAAGAACCCGCGTGTGAGAAGACTCTTCACGAGGAGCATTGCCGGCGACAGCAGCGAATGATCCGGGGCAGAGCAGACCGGATGAGTTGACGGAGCGCAGGGCACGCAGTGAGGCCGAGGAACGGTCGGACCGACGGATGCAGGGTCGGGCTGGAATGGCGGCAATTTATTTCACGCGAGCTGTCAATCATCGACTTGTTGGAGCCGCTGCCACTTGACCGATCGCGACAAGCCGAAGCCAATAAGCAACTCCTCGTTGTTGTCGTCTTCTCGCCGTTCCTCTCGACGGGATCCCTGTGTCGTTTTTTCCTCTCCTTTTGTTCTCAAAGTTGCGCCTGAAGAGCGGCAACGACACGGGGCGACTTCCGCGTGGGACCGAGAGCGTACCTGCTCCGTTCCCTCCACGTCAAGTCACCCCTTCGTCACTGAGTGTGAGTACGACTCTGCGAACTCACGCACGTACAAACGAGCGTTAGTCAATCTAGTCGCGCGTACGTCTGCCCGTCGCCCCGTCCAGCCGACTGCCCGTCCTTTCGCTCGGCCCTCGACTCATACGGAGCGTGAGCGAGCGACATCGCGAAGAAAGTGATTGACGTACAATCAGTTCCCACTCAGGGCTCCATGCCCCTTAAGTCTTTCGCTTTTCCGCAAGGCTGGCTGTTGAGCACTTGCCTCTCCTTCTGGTGAACAGAGCCATCGATACGCTGAGGGATTCGCGAAACACTCGCGCGCACCTCAGAGTTCTCGCTCCCATCGATTGTCTCTCGAACGGTTCGGACTCGATTGGGAGAACCACGAAAACTCTCCGATGCTCCAATCGAGCGATTCAATAGACGCCACTGAGATTCCTGCTCGTCGGTGAGACACGTTTTCCCGGCATGAGTCTCGCTGTAGATGTGACACTGTGATGGACTGACAAGAAGGCTCGCGGGAAGTCGTTCATAATTGCTCGACGCAGAACATCCCGCTGCGAGTCAGCTTGGAAATGAATTGCAGGGAGAACACCGGGAATCATGCGAGTCAGAATCAAGGCGAATGGGTCGCGGTGCAGGAACTTGATAAAATTTCACTGTTCTTGTCTCACAGCGCTCATAGTGTTTCTCAACGGTATGCCTCGCCTCTCTTAATGAGTTCTAGCGTTGGAGCGCCCCCTATGCTATTCCCAGATTGAAATGTCCATGAGAGGAATAATAGGTTTTTCCTTAATCTCATCATCTTCCCTATCGAGGTGGACTCTCAATAATACGTGTAATATCGGGAAGGTTTTGTCAACCAGATCAATCTTACTCAGATTTCCCTGGTGATTCGGCTCCGAGTAGGGTCCGTTCGGGGATGACAATTATTATTAGGTATATTCGATTCCATCGCTGCGATGGGCGGATGAATGGTCGGTATGTTCGGAAAGTCGGTGGCCTCGGTCTTCAGGGCCGCGATACGATTCGGCTCTTTCTCTTACACCGCCCTTTATGCGTTCCTGGCTGAAGGAACGGAGGAGGCAGTTCCCCGAGCGTTCGGAGGTCCCGATAGCGAAAGAACTCACCGTTCATCGGGCGGAGCTCGAGGGTAAACAAATCAGAATACTGACAGTTGTCGTAATGAGAAAACCACAGGTCTCCGAGAAGCTGGGCGATGTATTAGGATCGAGATCATTCCGACGACCACAATAGTCTGGGAGATGACAGACAAATTATTTGCTCTCCTTGGAGGTTTCGGCAGCTCCGTTTCTCGATTCTCATATCTTGGCCCGGGGAAGTACAGTCGCTCCGTCGATGAGCTCGGAGTCGAAGGCTCTTTCTTCCTGGCGGCCAGGTGGCTCACACCGGGTTGGTTTCAGGTCATCAAATCCATCGAAAAAAGTCCGACGTTGATGCTCCTGTTTCTACGACCCTCTGAACCCTCTCCTCTCGAAAGCCGCTCCGGGTGAACGGCCCGCTGCTTGTTCGAGCGTTTTCTCGTATGTGGCTGACTCTGGGCCAAATGAGTCCACCGTTGTGAACTCCTACTTCGGCTGATTCTTCGCTTCGCCCTTTCGGGCCTCATAACTGGAATGAAACCTCAGATGGCGATGGAGGTGATCATCTCCGCCGTGGCCCCTCTCAGGAGCGCATCCAGAACATCAAACGAAGAGTTTTCGGAATGAAAAACCCGTTCGAGAACAGATCAAGAAACAAACATCTTGGAGCGGGTCGGACGTCGCACCGGTGTTCGGACCCTCTGGCCTACTCCTCTGACGATAAGCTCTGACTGAGAGAAATCATCAGCGGGGGTAACGAGAACTCCTTAATCAGATCAGAGCTCGAAGGATGTTCATCCTCGACTCTTGCGACCGCAGACTCCATGTGCGGCGTAGGTTCGACTTGGAGAGCTTTGGGACGAAGGTTTCGGGCTCTCATTCAAAGTTGGCCAAGTTCCGAATCACCTCGGATCCGGCTGCACGAATCTCGATTAATTCCCTTTTTCCAGCTCATTGGGTGAGCGACAGACTCTACGGCCGTGTGCCGAAGAGTTCTGTCTCGGTCGGGTCGAGTCTCTCTCCGATTTCTCCAAGCGAACTCAGGGTTGGCTTCTCGCTCCAGTTTCCTCGCTCCCTGTCCTGACTATTGAAGTGCTGCCTCAGCTATTCACACACAGAGCAAACAAACCGCGCGATTAAGCTCAGCGACTTTATTGCTCCAATGGAAAAGGGCAAAAAGAGGATGGTCGAGGAATCGCTCGCTCTTTGCCAGTAATTCGCGCGCCAGCTGGCTGCTCGCAGGGTCATATTCCGAAAATTTCCCTTGCAGAAGTCAAGACTCGAGTCGATGGGGGGAATGCTCGCGACGGGGAGAATCGACGTGGTCGCTCATAAAACCCCCAGGTCCTCCTTCATCCATCGGATCCAGGCATCTAGATAAACTCTGTGGAAGACAATCATGATGAGCCGGGACCGGACGCAATCCCCAGACGTCAGCACGATATGATCGAGCTGAGCCATCTGAGCTGCGATGTGTTCTAACAGATGACCGCTCATTGAAAGACGGAGAAGAGCTCCGAGACAGGGAAGGGCGCCTTCAGGAATGCTCCGTGGCGGTAAGGCTTGGAGCGTGTTCTGACGGGAGCCGAGCAGCCCAGCGTATTTCCAGTCTACGCCGTGCCGTGAACTCCCTCCGTCGAGAGCGGGATCTTGAAGACGCTTGATGATTCCTCATCATGAGATGGCTCGCGAAAAGCGAAATCGATCTCTCCGGATACAACGGTGGCGACGGAGTAGAAGAACTCCCCGGAATTTTCTGCCGGAAACAGTGACGTAGCTTCCGCTCTCGCACGTACAGGGGATAGTGCATCCAGACGACAATCGGCCCCCTTTAAAATTCTCACCGAGATAGGTTCATCCCTCCTCTGTCTTCGTGCTAATGCCCGTCAACGAAGGGGCTCACAGCTGCTTTCGCTGCTATATGGCGGTCTCGGTGGTCGAAATAGAGGATTAAAAGTTGGCCCCGGCACGCACATCATTTCCCTCCCGTGGCTCCGACAGGGTCCGTCCTTCCCGTCTCGCCCAAAGTCTGTCGAGCGGCCACTGCGGATCGCGTCAAGTCGCGATACTAAAGGAGTTTGTCTCCTTCCTCTGAGTCATCAATTTAGTCCCGGCAGTATCCTCATCAAAGAGGACGAACATCTCGAAGAAGACCTCCGCCGTCCGCCGTTCCGCGAGATCGGCCTACGAAAGGAAGCCAATGTTTGCAGCGCGGGTCAGGTGGGGAGGGAAGAAACCACCAGCTGGAATGAGTGGAATCTTACGATCGCTCGAGCGACCAGGTCGAAGAATGAGGCAATTCCATGAGTTTCCGTGGGGTCTTCGAGGGAATCCTTTCAAAAAGTCAACACAGGATGAATATTGCGTTTCAGAGAAAGGAAAACATTCAGGGGACCATTTCGAGCCGACGGACTCCTTCTAGCAAGAGAGCGATTGGATTCTTGTTATTCTTCGAGGGAAAGTCTTCTCTTGAGCACAATTTCGCTCGACAAAGCAACAAAACTGGGTTCCCGGTGTTTCTGCTCCCCAGGAGAGTTTGATGAAGCAAATCTCCGGGCGGCAGCCTGCGCGGCAAAGGCTCAACCTATGAATGAACATTGGGCTTCAAAATTAATCCACGCTCCTACTACTTCACGGCATTGGGTGACCAGCTCCGATTTGAGGTGACAATCGTTCTCGACTGATCGAGAATCGGAATTCTGCTCCCTATGGGATCCGGAATTATTCTCTCGCGATCCGAGCGTATTCCCACTAATCGGATCGTTCCTTGCGCTTTGAAAACATCGATACTGCTCCGCCCCGATCCTCAAGCAGAGGATCCGAGGTGGGAACAGGTTTTGATAAGTATACGACAACGACGGCTCAATAAATCACCTACTCTAGAACTACAGCTGATTCCAACCCTGTGTGAACGAGTCGAGCCCCATTTCCGTAATGAAAGATCAAAGAACTCTCACCCGGCCGTACGCAACTCCATCCGCAAAGACCGTCGCAGAGACATTTTTTCTTCGAAGAAATGCAGTCTTCATCGCTCTTGCATTTTCGAAGGCAGGACCTTCCGAGGGCCGCCGCTTCTTCTCTGTTCTGGGGACAACCTTCGCGTTGGTCTTCATCTGGAACGAAAGTGAAACAAATGTGTTAGGCTCTGTTTCCTTCTCGTTGGGCGCCTGATCCTTGTCAGAAACGATTTCCCTCTGAGATGGGATTTTCCCTCTCAAAAACAATAAGCTCTTTAGTTATTCCGCTTTGAGCTCGCGTATCGTGGCTCCACGCAGAATTCTTCAGAAAGGGGATCAAATTCGAAATTGAGGTAAGATTACATGGGCGTCGGCGTCGTAGGCTACGACGCCGCAAAGAAACAAGCAATCTCACTGGCGGAGATTGAAATGCTCGGTCGAGATTCAGGGTGAATTTCGGCGACTTCGACCGACCGGTTACATACATATGTATGTAACATGTATCTATGTCGGTGGGAGTCCCATACGGTGGGAACTTGACGTGGGAGGCTCAAGGCCCAAATTTTGGCGGAGGATAATGGGACTTTCCGAATAGATATCTGATGCGCGGCTGGACGACCGCGTTCGAGTGATTGAGCTTCATATCGTTTCCCAAGTGAACTGAGATTACGCACATCTCTCAACAATCGTCTTCGCCTCATGAACCTCGATGCATGTAGAGCGTCCAGGCCTTCGACGCATCAGACTGTTGCGACCTCGAACCCTATTACAGCAGTGAGGCTCGGCTGAAGTGATCACAATTCGGAATGGAGAACGACGGAATGCTCCCTCGGGGAGAGTTTTTTGTGAAGTAGGTACGTAATATTCAGCCAGCCGAAATCTGTCGAGCACGGCTCGTTTCGCGGGAAAAATCGCTCGCCCACCCCCATACGTCTGATTATACGAGACTGAGTCTTCCACTCGATGGCCTACGTGTTGAAGTGTGGCGATTAAGAGCAGTGCCGGGAAGATGTGGCCGGTCGATTCCCTCTTCGATCTGTAAGCGGGATCACTGCCAGCATCGACGTGTGTAATTCAGATTAATACGATGCTCCTATGGCAGCCATATAATACACAAAAGCCACGCTCCCAATCGTTGCCATGAGACCACTATTGCTCGTCCCCTTAGACCTCGGAGATAAAACGTCTCGGGGTTACCTCCGTTCCGGAAGGTCCTGACCCCGGGTTCGACATGAGCAAGGATCTCGGAACCCCGAACGCCTCGATCATTAGCACGATCTCTGACAGTGGAGAACACCCTTGGACATGTCCCGTTCTGCGAAGCAAGCCAATTAGCTAGAGAATCTATTCATTTGAAGCCAGCCGTGAAGTTCTCGGTCACCTCCCGAGACATGAGGCGATCCGATTAGACCGTCGCGAGGGACTAATGGGCTCGAATCGGATAACGAGCGACTAGTTAATTTCTGCTCGTGTATTTTGACATTCTGAGATCGGCAGGCCGGAATGATCTTTCTATCACCTGTTGGTGCTTTTTTTCTCGGCTCTCGCGATCCGCCGTTGACAGCCTCGTGGATGGGCGAATTAGATGGGGCGAGAGCTCTCAGCATAATTTCTTTCTGTCAAGATACGTCGTGCGCTGGGATCCGTCTAATGCGAGACGGCTTCCGACCGGTCCGCAGGCGAGCTCGCTTACGAAGCCGACCTCGGAGAACGACAGAGTGAATCAGTGTCCCGACACTGTTGAGCTTCCCTCTGTGTACAGTACGTGGCCTCCGACTCTTGCGAGCTGAACACTGCCACCTGACACTTCGCAAATTGTATCTAGACTCCCACCGGAACAGAGAAGAGGGTAGTATCCAGGCGAGGCATGCTCCCAACTTGACTCGCATCCGAGCCGAAAGCGAACGAGGGCCATTCCCTGCACGATCCGAGTTCAGAAGAATTTTCAAACTCTAGGGATGGCAGAATTCTCCAGCAGGAATCACGCACGTTAACCTCTGTCTTCGGAAACATCGCCCAAAGAGCTCAACCCGGGACTTACTAACTGCATATTGATAACGTCGCTCTCTACCCGAATCACGGTACGGGCGAGCAAACTGATTTCTGTTGGAGACCTCCGTGAGATTTTTCCGAATTCCCGAAGCATGAGAATCCCTGTTGAATTCATTCCTATTGAAATCATCGCTGCCTTTCTATGTCGCAGCGTTTATCTCGATGATGGTTCACAATCATCAACTCGAGAGTCCGTTCGTCGATAACGAATCAGAAGCTGGCCGATCGGCCCTGAAGTCAGAATATTTTACGTCTGATTTCGAATTTCGGTTGCCGCTCAATCGAATTGCCTGTCCATTCTCCTCTAGTTTGCACACGTCGGGGAGCTCTCGAAGAGCTCTACAGCATGAACTACTCCGATGGGCCTCAGCGTGCACGTGTAAGCGCGTGCGAGCGTGCGTGCGTTAATGCGGGTCTGACTCCTTGCCTGGAGGAACTCGCGCAGAGCTGCGAGCATTCGTGCATACACGCAAACATTCGTACATGCACGCTTGCTTGACCTGGCCGGCAGCGGGCTGACTTCATGCATGCTCGCGGTCAATCCACACTCCACGGGTGTGCGCGCAATTTAAAACATAATTGAGGGCATCCGAGCAAAGGCTCCGGGGGGTGACAAGGCTTTGGCACGTTTGCTCACGATCGTTCTCCTTATGGCGAAGTTCTTCGTTTGCCCGTGGCGTTCGCGCTGACTTCGGCCCAGTCGCGCTCGCGTACATCGTCATCGAGACCGCGTGACTGTGACCGCTAGATAAAAGAGCGCGCGCGATTTAATTTAGTGAGATGACTTGACTGCTGTTTTCCGCCACATTAGCGCCATTACCACCATCACCGCCGCCACCAACATCGTCAGGCGCAACAACAGAAGCGGCAGGGAGAGCGTTTCCAGTGACCGTATCAAGGTCGCCCGTTCAGTCTCGACGAGATGTCGGTGAGGAGCTCGCTCGGTTTTTTTCTCTCGTGCACGTCCGCGAAACCGTTCGCTCCCCGCTAGCCGCCCCTATTCTGAATTTCCGTCGAAAGTCGGCTCGCGACGCGGAGGGGCCAGCAGCCCACCGACCCACTCAATGTCGAAGCGACTCTCCTGAGTCTCCGGATGACGACTTTGTGCGAGAGGACGAAACCGGTTGGCCATCAGGAATCTTTCCCGAAGTCACGGCTTCGCCCACGCATCGGCCATGATCCTCGCCACTAAGACCCAGCCAGGTGCTCGGGTGAAGCGCGCAGCCGATGCGGTAAGTCGGAGTTCGGAGTGACTCGGCGCGGAGGGAGGAAGGCAATTTGTCACGAAACGAGGCCGAGTTCCTTCGGAAATGTTCTTCCGTAAAAAAGAGAGCGAATCCAAACGCAAATTCCTCCCCACTGCATTCCCAGGGCTGCCGCTGCTACTACCGTCGTTTTGCTGCCGCTCCCGCTCTCTATCCGCCCTTTTTTTTCTGTCGTTCGCGTGGTCGTTGCCACCGCAGGGGTAAGAGCAGGTTTATTGAATCACAGCTCCGTGGAATGGCAATAATGGCAAGGTGTTGTTCTTGATTTGCGTCACTTCTCCTTTCTCCGAGGGAGAGAGCGACTCGAAAACCAGTGTGCCCCGATCGAGGAACTGGGAAGTGGTTGCGGCCCCACCAAAAGCTGAGCCGATCCCGCAAGCGAGGATAGGGGCTGGACCGGGGGAGAGTGGATGAGGAGAAAAAATGAGAGACCCGGCATGTTTCTGTCGCAGTGAGTCGCTTTCAAACACCACTCTCGAACATGTTTCAGAGAGGTTTTGCGATTGCAGCAGCCCGACATCGAACAAAGACTAAATGTAATTCCCACTGATTTATGAAGCCACTCGCGAGTAGGTAGGTAGCTGAAAGTGGGCTTTTCTTTCTCGGAGCTGCCATGGCGGCGGCGGCGTCGTCGTCGTCGAAACGGGCACGCACCGTCACAGCCGGGAACCGCTCGCATTTGACGGAATGGTCAAACCAGCCGGCGCAGGTAGGTGACCGAGTCACCCACAAAGCTATCGTTGGGTCGGTCGGACTGTTGGTCACAAGCGTTGTGTTTTGTCGTCCACGAAACCAAATCGTAAAAATTGTGCAAACCCTCCCTGACCATGGGCTTGTTCTGTAGGCTTGCTGTGGCCGGTAGATCTGAACGCTGGAGGTGGTACTGGCCTCAACAGATCCGGGCGTCTGCAGCCGTACTCCGATCCCAACACGGGACCGCGGTACGGATCGCTGAACAATATCGCAATAAGCCTCAACCCAGAAACACTCATAGCCCCGTGCGTCGTCGTCGTCGTCGCGGAGTGAGGCGAGTAGGCACTCAGGCGGGCAGGAGCAGCCAGTGGACTGGAGCCGTACGGCAAGAAACTGTGTATGTGAGTGTTTGTGAGATCAGAGCAACTTCCAACGCGCGCCATCGAACGATGTCAAAAGTCAGCCGAATCGCGTTACCGTGCTTGACCTGACAGGGGCAGCGGCGGAAGAAACTTCGGTCCGAACTGTACTGGATCAAAACGTGCGGAGAGAGGAAGAAGCAGCGCCGCGCCGTACTAACTCATGTAGACAGAGAGAAGTCGGAAGTAGAGAGCCGTAGCCCCGTGAAGAGAATGCCATAAGGTGTTCAAAAGCACGCGGAACGGCTCCTTATTGCGCTCGTCGTAACGCACGCCATCGAGGTGCCACGATTACCCCTGACTGGAAATCGGGCAGGTACCGCGCCCTACGACCCGGTGGCATTCGCCATAAGAGTCCGCAGAAGGAACCCGGGCCAGTGGCCTTATAGAGAAGAGACAGGAGTCGGGGTGGGGAGAGAGAGTTCACGCAGAAAATGTGCAAAATAAATCAAACGGAAGATCAGGGGGGGATGAGGGGATGGTGAAATGATGGCGAAGAAAATAAATAAAGGATGATACTTTCTCGCTGCTACGGGACCGGCTCAAGAACTGTATGGTTGGCGGGGTAGGCGGATTCTTTGGTGTTCTCCGTCCGCTGCTACCGCAGCCGTCGTCTCCGCTAGCTAATAAATGGATAGTAATGAAGACTCCTGAACATTGGTCGTCGTTGTCGTTCTCCCTTCCGACCGTCCGCTCGCCTGTCTGCTTGTTCGCCCGCCAGTCTCTCTGTCTGTTTGTCGCTCTCTCGCGAAAAGGAACGTCGGAGTATTTTGTAAACTTTGCGGGCGAGAGTCTATCTCCTCATGTTCGTTTGCTCCTCCTGCCTCAACTAGCTTGTCTTGCGTCGATGGTCGGACGCGTTCCTCTCTCGGCCGGTCCCGAGGAAGTCTACCTCGCTCTATTGCTTCTCGGAGTTGTCATCGATGTCGTCTGCACCCCGCCCGGTCCCATTTACTTTTTCGCCGCCGGCTGGAGAGTCGGGACAAAGGCAAACATCGATTACCTACCGTTCTTCCCATAGCAGGCGGCATGGTTTGAAGGGAAAGTCGTTTTTCGGCTTCTCTCGTTCCATTCAAAGAATCGAGGTTAAGGAGTCAAGTCGTGGGCAGCTGAACAAAAGTGAATGAGACCGAAACTTTGACTTCGTCGGCGGCGTTCCCTGACTATCGGATAATTTACCCTGAGGATCGCTCCCTTAACTCCGTTAGCGATCTCCACCGGCCCAAGATTGGGATATACGAAGCGGAATCGATTTGTATCTTATCTAGTCCTCAATCCCATCCGCTATTCCTCTCCCATTTGGTCTGAATCAGTAATAATTGGGGGAGGATAATGACGGCGTTCTGAGTGAGTTTCGCCTGGAAAACCCGCTCGTCGTATTGAATTGGGTTCTCGAATGGAATATTATTCGACGAAGCGGTCCCATGAACGAGATCCGAAATCAATCATTAATGCCATCTCGGGAATTTCGTCCAGCGTGATTCGAGCGCTAAAACAAATCATACGCCTGTCTACAGCAACAGCCAATAGGGACCTCCTATTTTGATCTTTGGGACTTGTCCCCTGCTCTAGAAGGCTTGCTCAGAGAGAGGATGTTCGAGCTCCCGAGCCCGGATATGTCATGCGTAGGTATATGTTGACGATGGACCGGCAAAATCTCAGGAGGACCAGTGCGAGGAAGAGATTATCGGAAATTCCGGAGCCATCCCCATGCAGGAACATGAAGATTGGCTCCATCGAGTGAAATTGAGTTTGCGGTCCACTAATCAGCAAGCGAATGGGTCGCTCACAAGCGACTCCTGTTCTCTATGGTCCGAAAATGAGGCGCACTACCAGAATATTCAATACAGAGACTCCGCTGTAATTGCCCTCAGTCGCCAGGGTCGAAGACGCCTATTACCGATTACATCACCTAGCGTCATCATTTTGTGAAGGTCCGCAGGAACTTGTCCGCCGGTCCTTCCGACAAATCAATCCGCGGACCGATTGATTAACTTAGGCTTATTAGGCAACTTGACATCGGTGACTGACATTATGAGAGCTAGAATCTCTCTATTTCCCCTCAGATAACCAGTCCTAGCGCGCGCTCGCCCGAATTCTCCGGCAGCTCGCCTGCTCTTCGTGTGCCTCGCAAACATCAGCCAATTCATTTATCTAAGCAATAGACCGTCTCCGATTCCACTTACTGTCGTCCCCACTTTCAATGTTGATGTTGCATTTCCCACTGAGACAGCGCTGTCTGATTTGACCGGCAGCAGCTAGAAGGAATAAAGAAAGATTCGTAGGTGTGGGTGCCGGAATTCCAGTGGCTAAAGGCAGTCTTCAGACTGCAATCATTAGAAAGGAAAAAAAATGCATCAAGATCCTAGGCTAGCAGCGAACGACGGAGAAAACGGACAGGTCGGTGGATGTCGAGAGCTGTGGGAGTGGCGGGCAGCTTGCAGGTCGATGATGAGGTCGGCTCACGGCAAGGGCAACGCAACACAATACGGACCTCCAACAACGAGATCTGACTTTCCCACCAGTTCTTCCCGCAGGAGTGAAGAGCACCAAGATCTGACTGTGTCCTCTGCTGCGCGAACCGGTTCCCGCGAGACTCTTGGACACATTGCAAGGATCCCGAGCAACAAATGAGTGGTTCTAAGTGTTCCCTAAGACTCTGAGCCGAAGTTCGTGCTCGAATACCTATGGTTGAAAATGATCCCGGAGCGGAAAACTGACTTTTCGCTCGCTCGGCACTCTCGCTCTCTTTGGGGCAATAGGGCTCGGAACTTTTCCGACGTTCGATATCAACTTGCCAAGTCAAGTGAAAGTTCCGGAGTAACTTTTTTTAATCGACTCGGTGGTCAATCGAATCCTAACAGCGGACTTGTTGGATTGAATCGTAAATATCTCAAGCGAGCGACAGGGCTGGCAAGCGAGAAACTTCAAAGTAGGCGGCAGTATAGGCTTCGGAGGCGGCATACCAGCCTCTTCTCGGTCTTGTTCCAGAGCTTTATCGTTTTTAATATAGGCCCTCTTCGGATAGCCGTATTCGTTCACAGCTTAATTCTCTCAGAGCTCGCTCTATCCTGGATCCCCGGTAGTCGACACCCAACGTTGAACAGCCGATGGAAATCCTACGAACTCAGAACCCGGTTGCGAGTTTGAGAAAGTTCCGTGGCGTTTGGTCTTGCCAGCGAGCTTGAGCAGAACGACATTCCTCTCCAGTCAGCAAGAAACCATTTGTTCCAGCGCGTCGCGCGGAGTCGAAATCCTTTGTGCTCAGTCCGCGCATGTGTCCGGAGTTCTGTCCCGTGGAACTGAGGAGAGGTACATAATGTAATCCTGTACGGCAAAAACCTCTCACAGCCGAGGTTTTGAGATATCGCTATGTTTTATGGCAGGCGCAGGCAGGAACGGGAGACGGACGTCGTTCCTAGCTAGGCTTCAGGCCCGGAGCTTGTCACAAGATGACGGTGTTTGCTCAACTAAATGGGTGCCCGCTCGTCCGCGCGAAGTCCCCCGCCCTAGTTCGGGCGCCAGCCAGCCCGTTCGCCCGCCCGCTCGCCGTCACAACCGCTCCCTCTCCGCCCCGGTCGCTTCTAGGCGTGCGCTCCGCGGGGACGGCAAGCTTTGATACCATCTCGTCAATGTCAGCGATGAGGGGCGGCCGGCGGCGGTCGCGGTGGCGTCGGCAACAGACGAGAGTCACTCTGCGGTTTTTGAGTGATGCCCGGGGAGCGTTTACACGAACAAAAAAGATTGAATCACGTTCCCTTCGGACGGACAATTGACCATGAGGAATCCGGTCGGGGGAGAATTTCAATGTTTCCGTCGGAATTCGACTTTCGATGGATTGCGGTCTCTGCCGATTCGTTTGGCCCCCGAAAACCGTCCTTTCCCCCAGATTTGCACGAGGTCGTCTTCGCTCAGAACGTATTGAAAAGATCGTGTCGAGTTCGGATCGAAAGGCGCGGGAGACTAATCACATATTGTTCTCCCATCGCGAAGTGTCACTTTTTACCAGCATGACCCTCCCGGAGAGTCGACTGACAGCAAGTCATTCGCTGCGCGGCGGAAATCGTCCCGTCTTCCTGTCTCTCGACAGCTCGGTCCCTCGGAAGCCATACCACATTTTCCGAAATTTCTAATTACTCGCTTCGACAAGGGACGTTCGCAGCACGACCGTCTGCGAGAACTTCGCCGGGTTGACGCGAACGGCGAACGGGATGGCTCGGAGACGCGAAGTTCAAACTCATGGAGCTGCTTGTGCTCGAAAACTTCGGTGTCGAATTTCTCCTCTGAACCGGTCGACAGGAATTCGCCACTGCCGAAAACTGAATGGCGTCTGCTTCTGGTGCGCATGGGAGCCCGATTCGAACTCGCCAGCATCGGACGCGAGCTCACAAAAGCTCACATGACAAAAAGACCAGCGACAAGGAAGACCACGAGCGATGGCTGCGGCACAATGACCACAGCTTTCGGCGGGGAGGCGCGACGGAGCTTTGATCGCTTTGTACATTTACTAGAACAAGTTCGTTGTCGCGTTTTCGGCGGCGGCGTTGTTACGTTGGTCGCTGTCCGAGTTGTCTTCTTTTTGTCGACCCTATTTCATGCTGGCCGGAAAACTTTTCCATTTTCATTGAGAGCAGAGCGTCGACAAAGGAGCTGACCGGCGGACGCACAAGCTTCTCGGCCGCTGTCCGCCGTGGTCATAAAACCAACCGTCCTGAGCTCACTGAATCTGCGGTAGATTTCTTCTGGGAAGGATTCCGCGGAGAGCGGCCCCCAAGCTTCTGGCTATATCAAGAAAACGTCTCCCGGAGTCCGTGTTTCCGGACAAAGCGCCTCAGCGTGAACAGCTGGATCGACGCTTCTCCCCTTCCTACCGTGCTCCCGATCTTGCCCCGATCCGTCCCGACTCAGCCGGCTCTCCACTGTGCTCGACGACGTCGCTGACCAATAGACTCTTAAATGACTGGGCGAAGAACAGAGAGTCGAGGAGAACGGTGCGAGGGAAAAAGCAGAATATTAGCTTGATGAAAACGTGCAGCCCACCAAATTATGATAAATGGAACTAATGGAAGGGTGAAGATAGAGTCAATGAACGGACAAGGAGTTCTCCTCGGTCAACTTCGCTGCTTCCTTCGACGTTCCCCGGCCACGGCGGCGGCGAGCACTCGGCGCTGAAGCTCAGCTGGAAGGGAACGAGTTCCCGAGACGGGGAGGCGAACATGTCTCGATTGCATAAACATCTTCCGGATTACTCATGACATTAGAGAGCGGGAGTACATCAATCGTGTACCCGCAGCGATTAATGAGCGAGCATTTCCGTTTCTATCCCCACCCGCAGAGTGACTCACAGCTGATGATGGAATCCCGACGCTATCCCGCGGAAGACGGTGCGTACTTCCGTCTGATTCCAGATTGTCTTCAGAAGGTCGTCAGGTGCAACGCAGCTTATCAGGTTTATTCTACTCGAATCCAGAGTCAGCTTATGCAAACGATTCTCCTGGAAAGGCGAGGCTCACTGGCGCACCCACTCACACGCTCGGTCGTCCGCCCCGAGCTAGCTCGTATCAATTTCGCTTCGATATTGAATAGTCGGCAGCCGTCATTCCGCTGCGGTCGTCGGCGGCTTCGAGCAGAACCACGACGCACAGTGGTCGGAAACCACGGAAAATCATAACTTCTGAACGGCTGGACCGATTTCGCTGAAATTTTTATGGTGGGTTATTGGGCCTAGAACGCAACTTTTGAGAATATAACTGGGTCTGGGTTTGACCCCGGTGACCCCGAGAATCGAATTTTTTTCACTAAATCGGCGATTGCGGCTAAACGGCTGAACCGATTCCGGATTTCTTGGTGGCGTTGGAAAGCTGAGTGAATTTCGCATCTTTTTGTCTCTTGAGAGTTTGACCTATGACCTTTCGTAAGCGAGCTAGCGGCCGATTCTTAGAAGCGCCAATATCTCCACGAAAAATGCTTCGTTTTTTTCCCGCAAAAAAACGATTCGGTGTGGAATCGGATGATCTACCCGTTTCTGACGATATTACGATCATTCAGTAAAGACGAAAAAAATATTTTTTTTTCAAGTCAAAAATCACGTTTTTTTGCAGTTTTTTCACGAAAATGCCCCACCCCTCTAGGTCCGTTGACCCACCAACATTTTTTTATGATGCCCCCCACGCCCCCGCATCCCAAGAAGGTCATGTTGGGCACCCCTTCCGGGCTTATCTACCTTTAAATCCGGAAAAACCCTTTGAATGGCAATTTTTCATAGAGAAAAAATTCTTAAAATTAATTTCAGGGCTAGAAATTCGCTGGATCGGCTTTATTCTTGTAGAAAACCGCGCAAATCAACTCAGAACTTCGAATTCGCCGCCAGCGACGCCATCTTTGGTGCCATTCGGCGGCCTCATGAACAGCGCGCGGGACAGTCGATTTGCCACACCTGTTAGTGCTTGTGCAGTTCAAGGGCCGGAAACTCTTGCGATGAAGTCGTACATGCTCGTGATACCCTACGGGGATCTTATGGAGTTCATCCTATCTAATCAATTCGACCTGGACCTCATCATGGAAGATATCCAGCATCGGTACCACATGATTCATCAAGACGATTTCAAGGAGTTCAGAGCACACTTGAGCAAGAACATCTTGCCGAACTTCAGGAAGAGGAGGAAAGCAACCGGTCGCTGCAGAATCAAGTTCGGGAAGAAGTACCAGGATTGGTTGAAGAAGTATCTGCTCGTGAACGTTGACGTCGATGAGTCCCGGGAGGCTCCTTGAAATCGTCTTGATGAATCATGTGGTACCGATGCTGGATATCTTCATGATGAGGTCCAGGTCGAATTTATTAGATAGGATGAACTCCATAAGATCCCCGTAGGGCAGGGGTCCGCAACCGGGGGGTCGCGACCCCAAAGGGGGTCGCGGAGATCCTCCCGGGGGGTCGCGGCACCCCTCCGAGTTCTTTCCAGCCTCCGCTCCGAGGTTTCCTACGATTCCTCTTCGATTCCGTACCGTGAGTAAGTCTCGGCCATGCAGTTCTTAGTATTGTTTTCAACGACATATCTCTGCGAGCAGACCTTCTCTTCTCTCTCGATCATGAAGACAAAGCTACGTAGTAGATTGGATGTCCATGCCGCACTTTGTCTCGCGGTTACGGATGTTCAACCCGATCTCGAGTCGCTAGTTCGTGACAAGCAGCAGCAGATCTCACATCAAAATCAGAGGAATAAGTATTGTACGCAGTAGCACCATAATACAATCGAAAGATGTTGTGATAAAAAAAAGGTATATCTCGAATTGGAAGTCGGTGTTTTTCTTGGGGGGTCGCGAGGCAATATGGTCGTCCGAAGGGGGTCGCGGAACGAAAAAGGTTGCGGGCCCCTGCCGTAGGGTATCACAAGCATGTACGACTTCATCGCAAGAGTTTCCGGCCCTTGAACTGCACAAGCACTAACACGTGTGGCGAATCGACTGTCCCGCGCGTTGTTCATTATTCATGAGGCCGCCGAATGGCGCCAAAGATGGCGGCGCTGGCGGCACCAAAGATGGCGTCGCTGGCGGCGAATTCGAAGTTCTGAGTTGATTTGCGCGGTTTTCTACAAGAATAAAGCCGATCCAGCGAATTTTTAGCCCTGAAATTAATTTTAAGAATTTTTTCTCTATGGAAAATTGCCATTTTAGGGTTTTTCCGGATTTAAAGGTAGATAATCCCGGAAGGGGTGCCCAACGTGACCTTCACGGGATGCGGGGGCGTGGGGGGCATCATAAAAAAATGTTGGTGGGTCTACGGACCTAGAGGGGTGGGGCATTTTCGTGAAAAAACTGCAAAAAAACGTGATTTTTGACTTCAAAAAAAATATTTTTTTTCGTCTTTACTAAATGATTGTAATATCGTCAGAAACGGGTAGATCATCCAATTCCACACCGAATCGTTTTTTTGCGAGAAAAAAACGAAGCATTTTTCGTGGAGATATCGGCGCTTCTAAGAATCGGCCGCTAGCTCGCTTACGAAAGGTCATAGGTCAAACTCTCAAGAGACAAAAAGATGCGAAATTCACTCAGCTTTCCAACGCCACCAAGAAATTTGAAATCGGTTCAGCCGTTTAGCCGCAATCGCCGATTTAGTGAAAAAATTTCGATTCTCGGGGTCACCGGGGTCAAACCCAGACCCAGTTATATCCTCAAAAGTTGCGTTTTAGGCCCAATAACCCACCATAAAAATTTCAGCGAAATCGGTCCAGCCGTTCAAAAGTTATGATTTTCCGTGGTTTCCGACCACTGTGCGACGTGGATGGCGAACACGCTCTCGGTAATGAAGGAGCAATTCGAATTGAGACGATCAAATATTGGGAACCTGCCCCGGATGCGGTTGGTTGCCGAACGATCGAACGAGTTAAGTTCTCTCTAAGGTTTCCACCTTCTCCTTAATGGTACTGAAGCGTCTAATCAATTCGAAACGCATCGAAGTAATGAACTCCATCTTATTCCTTCTCATTTGCGATGCGGAACGTCGCTGCTGCTGCTGCTGCTGCGAGACTCGATGAATCGGTTCGACCATAAACTGAGCGTCGAACGGAGGAGGTTCCATATAATCAGTGAAACGGCTTGACGATTCGCGAAGATTTCCTCCCGATGAGTTCCAGCGGCCCTGGCTACGCTGGGGACGCCCCAGCGAAATCCGGTAATCGCTCAGCCGGGAAACATGAATCAGAACTCGGAATCAACGCCGAAACCGACGAGAGGCCCATATACATACATAGGTAGGTGCATATATTCCGGATCGGCAAGCTCTCGAAAGTCTATGTGGACAATCCGATCGGACGATGATCACCCTCCGATCGATCCGTTGGATTCCGTGTCGGTTACTTCGATCAGCATTCCCGTTAGACCCGAGAAAATACAGCAGACTCGATCCCTAACGAATTTTCGGATTTTCAATTCAAATAAGGATAAGCGTCCCCGTGCCCTGTTCTTCGGTGTATCCGGTCTCGATTGCGCGAGAGGGAGAGAGAGCGAAGACAGAAACAGGCAACAAATCCGGCTCCCCGTGCAGAGACTGGAGACAAAGTCGAGGATTTCGTTCCTACATGTAAATACCCCGGCTCCCCGAAAGAGATTAGTGGAGTCAGAGGTGGAGCGAACAAGAGCGCGCGCACACACGGTCGCTCCGACGTGCGCACGATCCCGGAGCCGTGGAGAGAGAGCTCAGGACGTCATGGGGCGGGCGAGACGAAGGATGGCCGAACTGACCGACTCCTAATCCCCGACTCGGAGATCCTAAGTCCGGGGAAATAAGGAGAGTATTGTTTCCGAACATATTTCTGTCTTTGTCTGACATATAGCTTTTGCTCACGAAATAGCCTGTCAGCCGGAGGCCGTAGCGGCTCGTAGTCCTGGCGGGACTCGCCCTCCGAGCTTGTTCCGGATTGGCATAATGGGGTCCTGGTTCGCCGTTCCGCATTCGAGTGAGGATTTCGAGCGCGAGACTCAAATGGACATCGGAAGGTACGATCCATTCCGTGGACGCCGCGTCGAGCCGCGCCGGGGAACAGTCCGGAGCACGAATCGATGCTTGTCAATGCACTGATTTCGGGAACGGCTTTTAGCGGACGTCGTTTATCGTTCCCAGCATCTGCGGTAGACGCGGGAGCAGCAGCGGGAGACTCCTACGCTGGCCCATAACGGCCCGCTGACTTCGTATTGCCGTCGCATGCCGAGCTTGCCATCTTCAGCTCGGCTTGCTTGCCCGACTAGTCGTGGGTGTTTCTGTCCGAGAATGCCGGGAAGTGGGTCTCGGCGGAGTCTCCTCCACGACTGCTAACCTTGCCGGCAAGAAAGCAACCTACGCGAGCGGAGCCCGCGAGCGGAGTGCGCGAGCGGAGCCCGCGAGCGGAGCCTCTTGTGGGAGGAACGATTCATTAATCAACGGCACGGCTATTGTTCATTAATAAAATGTTTTGTCATTTGCAATAGAATTCTCTTCTTCTCGCGAGTCGCATGCTCTAGATCACGCGCCCACTTTCCCGCAACGCCTCGAGCGGGCTGCGTGGCTGCCGGCATCCCACGGGCACGGCGACGTGACTTTGAAACGTGACGATTATCGACTGCGGGTGCGAAAGTACCCACACGGACTGGCGAAAATCGTTTAGCGCATTATCCCGTCGTCGTTTGTTCAAAGTTCGCATCCGTTTGTCCCGAAGTCGAAACTGTTTTGAAACTCATTTTTCAATGCCTATTCCGAAAGTTTGCTCTCCTATCGCCTTCCGGTCATGAATGCTCGAAATGATTTACTGAAGCCCCCGACTGACTCGCTGGCTGAATTGTGGGCGTCGCCACGAGTCAGGACGCGCGAATCGTGACCTACTAATGAGTCACTCCGTTCCAAGCGCGTTCCGAAATGTACGAGATTCAATCTCGTAATCCGCGTCGCGCAGCCTCCCGGTCGCGACTTCTGATTGACTGCCAAAGAGCTCGAGGCGGTCTCGGGTCGTAATCCCGGTGATCTCGGAGCACTTCGAAGACGATTTAGGGGCTCAAGGATCTCGTGTTCAACACTTTGCGGACGTCATGACCTCATCCTTTACCGGAGCTTTTGTGAAGATCGTTCGAACAGACAACGTCGACGCTCGCCGACCGACCAATTGGCCGTGAGCGGCAGGCAAGCGGACGAGTGACCCCGGGCGTTCTGTTCCCGCGCACAAGCGAGTGCGTTGTGATAAGATCGGGCTCGAGGCGTTCCATTGTCCTTTATGGAATATGCGGAGCCCACAATACGCCGGCCGAGCGGCCTGCCGCCTTGGTTGCCGGCCGGGCTGAATCGCTGTGAATCCCTGCGTCCTCTCTTGCTCGCTCCGTCGTTCGTTCGTTCGTTCATTCGCTATCTATCCGTCCCTCACAATGTCCCCGCCGGAAGATCCGACGACAAAGACGATGAGAGAGACGATTCCGAGCTCGGAGTCAAGCTGGCGGGGGCAAGCCCCCGGCCATAGGTATTCACAAGATTTTTTTGCTTTTTCTCAGCTTTGAGTTTTTCGGTGCAGTCACTCCGTCCGTAAGAATTGGACGCGGCGGGGAAAGTACAAACTCACAAAGCTCGCCCGACTTACCATTGTCATCTGCTTCGTCAGCCTGGAGCTCTTCTGCAAGAGAAAGGAAATATTTTCATTCGCCCTGAACGGCATCGATGACGCACGGGAAACAATTCACGAACCCCTGAACCTCTATGTGCTCGTGGAAGTTCAAGCACGCCCTGCGACTACGAGGCCCATGTCGCACCTTCACTTCATAAGATCTCTCCTCATGAGAGATCTAATCGACATCCGATAATTGGGATGGAAAGCTGGAGCATTCTATCCGGGAACTCCGTTTATGACACTCACCGTCAGATATACCCCAGGCGTCCGAGACATCCGAGAAGCGATATCCGTATAACATGGTGTTCTGATCCTTATAGAAGTCTCTCAGTGCCGTCCGCGCCGTGACTGAAAAATCAATGCTGAAATTAGCGGCATCCTGGAAGCTCATCGCGAGAGCAGGAACGGAACCGGATTCCCCCTCCACATACAGAGGGTGGTTCCCCTTGGAAATCGGAGCGAGAACCCCGCTCCTGTGCCCCGAATCTCGGATAGGATAATCTGCAGCAGGAATTACTTAAGCCGGTGAAGTCGACGGGAATCCAGCCCCTACGCAGGACGCGGATCGCAACCAAGGGAAGTACTCTGGCAGCTCCTTGTGGAGAAGGTATTTGCTCGTTAAACTCCTCCCGTGGAAAAGCTTCGAGGTAAGCTCTCTCATACCAGCGAGTATTCACAGGTATTGGCAGCATGTGGTGAGATTCCCACACTTCTTCCCGCTCGAGCCAGAAGCTAATATTGAAGTCGATGACCACAACTACCGCTAAAGCTCGCGATTAACGAGGACGGCTTTCCTTGAATCGGTATTCAAAATGTACCACGTATACAGTTCTCCATATGCCGGGCGATGCTCGCTCCCTAACGCGGTCTCGTCAGCAGTGGCTAGCCGGGATTTTTTCGTAATTCTGCAGGATCAGCGTGTGCGGGTCACTGTCGAGTAGATGGCCATATCCGGCTCGTCGACCCCCTAATTAGGCGGTAATTATCCATAGGGAGAACAGGAGGATGCACCGACGGCTGGACGGATGGTCGGACGTAGGGGGCACGGTAAGCAGACGGGCGACATCGCTCGGCGGAGAGACGATCCATTCCGAAGCGAGGGGCTCGGTGCGCTGGCCCGCCCGCCTGCGCCGCGCCGTCGGCAGCCCATGCCTCTCGCGACGTGTTGAGCACGACAAGCGACCATGTTGCTCAATTCAGTGCCAGGAGCTCAAGTCGGTATCCGGAAGGCGACATGTTCCGAGTGGGCGCTACTTTTGCACAATTAACGATGTGGGCGAACATGAGCCTCCGATAGATATACAGTCGAACCCGCTTATAAGAAAACCGGTTAAGAGAGAAAACCGGATATTAGAGACCGATCCCGATTCCCCGATATTTTCTCCATAGGGCTTCATGTTGAAAACCTCGCTTATAAGAAACTCGGATATAAGAGAAAACCGGATGTAAGAGACAATTTTCAAACCCCGGCCCCATAGAGTTCCATGTTGGAGACCTCGTATATAAGAGAGAACCGTCTCAAGTAGAATTTCTGTTTGCTCTTCCATGACTCCTCTTCCTCTCGGAACCTGCGCGAATGAGATAACACGCCAGTTCGATATTATCATTGCTCCGAAAATGATCGTCTCTCCACAGGATCATGATACCGGCATCCGAGTCATACGAGAACGAGATGTTTCGGGTCTTTTCATCGAAAGACCGTACCTCGGATATTAGAGAAACCGGATATAAGAGACCATTTTCAATTCTCCGAGAGGTCTCTTATAAGCGGGTTCGACTGTAGACCAATAATGAGAACTCCAAACACCTAAGCGTGTTCTTCCGGCAGTATACGCAGAGCGTGCCCCGACCCCAAGCGTATCGATTGACCAGCCGGCTGCGCAGACATCGTGATTCGCTCTGCGATCCGAATTGTCTTGGGGTGCGTGCTCGCGAATATTCCTCTGTCGGCTCGCGATTATCGGGGTGGAAATAACTCTTCTCGAGAAACGTTCTTCTCCATCGGCATGAATCGGTATTCCTTTCCCCGATCACGATTCCTTTTTCGGATTCGAATTCCGTCGGAGCTCTGTCATGAATTCATCCGATGGAGAATTCTAACATGGGTCAAAGTCGGAGGCCGCTTCGATAATGAGGGCGCAGGGATTCTCAGCGACAATCTGCGATAGGTCACGACATTAAGTCACTTGGAAAAACGCTAATTACATTCCCGGAGGTCATCGAGAAGGAGTTGGACGACAGTTTATTCGCTAATCCGCCGCAGATCGGTTATTCGACACGCCCCCTCGACAGTGTTAATGAGCTGGCTAAGCCACGAAATGAATTTTTCAGTGGGAGTTCTTCTTAAAAGAGCAATACTCTCAGAGATCTCAGGTGTTTTTCGCTGAGCAAGCCCTTCATCGTTGTTTTCCGACCTCCTCCAGCGGAGTGTGGCGGGGAGTCCTCGACGATAAATTGGATAATGGCACGAAACCGTATGGGGACTATAATAAACATCGTGAAGCCTCCTTAAGCTAATTACGCTTCACCGACGCTCTAACTGCTCCTTGGCCCCCGCGTTGCTCTTCGCGAGGCCTCTCTCGCATCTTTGGTGGTGGACTCTTCCGCGCATGCTTGTTTCTCTCGTCTTGTTCCACTCCATGGTAGAGTTCTGGGCAAATATTCGTACCCCTCGAAGCGACGCATTCCCCTACTCCTCATGTATGTATGCACATCCGTTTTCTATAGCTCTCTATTTGCTCCCTTCCGCTTAGCGAGAATTACGAGGCAAGGCGAACCGCATCCTTCGCGCCGATCGAGGTGCCAAACAAGGGGAATCTAGGCTCATATATGTAGAGAGGAATTGGAAGAGTTTGACGGGAGAACGATGACGACGACGGCAACGACTCCACGAGGTAAGTGGCGGGTCGCCTCGTTCGTCTCCGAGCGTCTAAACTTGGAAAATAGCGAGAAAGTATAAGGGGCGTACCGGGAGAAAGGAAGAAGGATGAAAACTCCGCCAGCCCCTCGAACCACTAGTTCAGAATCGCTCCTCTTCGTGGCTCGTCTCCGCGCGGGCCGGCGACCGTCCGGCCAGCCGCCGTCACCACCACTACCGCCACCAACGACAGAGGGGGGGGGGGGGGGCGAGGCAGATGAGACGGGCGGGTAGGCGATTAGCATAGAATTTGAATTATTCGCAGTGATCGCATGACGTCGACGACCGACCATCCACTCGAGCATCCTACCAACTCCTTCTTTTTTCATCTTTCCGAGCAGCGCTATCCCTTCACATCTTATACCAACAACAGCTCGTTTCGCTCGATCGTCGCTTGTCACGTCGTCTCGACGATGGTCCTGGTGCTGGCTGTAATATACCGAGACCCTCGATGATTCCTCAGGAATATTACTCATGGGATGTACGGAATTCACACAGCTGACCACGTGACGGATGCAATGCCCATCAAAAAGGAGCCTCCAGGGGAAAAGCAGCGATCGAGCAGAGCAGTAATCGACGGGGAAGGAACGACGGGGACACTCAGTCAGCGACATTCAGGAAGCAAACCGAGCCTCATGAGCCTAAGCAGGGCCTGATGAAAGGAACCCTAAGAGACCGCGCTCGCTTTCGGGGTGCTTTCCTCATTGACCAGACATCCTTCGGGACGTGAGCATGGCCCGATCGAAAAGACAGGACTCCAACGACAAAACGCCGTTTCTTCCGAGGGCTAATCCTCGATAAGAGCCGTTCGCCGATACCCAACGCCAGCCCACGCTGCCGGGATTGCCGACACAATGGACATCGACGGCGAAGAGAGCGCTCTGCTAAGAGTCGGGTTGGCAAGATCGGGTGACAGGTCAACTCGGCAAGGTAACGATCAGACCATATTTCAGTCGACAGAGGATCAGAGGTTGGTCTCCTCTGTCGCTTTCCCGGCTCGTTCCTCTTGTCGCCGCTGCTCCACTCCTTCTACTTAGCGAGCCTGGAGCGGGAAACGACGACTAACTATGTGATCACTCGCACCTTAGGGCACGTGAGATCAAGCTGACAAATGCGCAGGGTGCTGGTTGCTAAATTGAAACTTGAGCCCGACAGCCACGGGAAAGCGTGGGAGATCTTGTTTATCTCGCGTTGGGACGTCTCCGGGAATCGACCGGTGGGAAGGGGGGCAGGGGCGAGGAAACGGAATAACGAAGGAACTAGGCAGAGGACGGAGAGGGAAGCGAATGATCGGCTCCATTTCTGACGGGCCTCCTCATGATGTATGCCGCTGCGCAGATATCTCCACCGCATATCGCTATCTATGCTGATTCGTCAGTGCGCGAATCTCCCACATTTTTCGACTCGAACCGGGACGCGCATGATGGACTTATCGGAGAGAATTCCGAAAGCAGCACAAACTCGGCGGCTGCTGCTGCTGACGCGGCGGTAAGGGTCTTCATGCTCTTGGAGAATTATTAAGTGAGACCCAGGGTGTTTCTGCTCTCCCTCGCGGTCGTTTTTCGATCTCGTTCCTGGATGATGCCAGAGAAAGCCATTGGTCGCTTCCTTGATCAGAGATAGGCGACCCGCCACTCGAGCAGAACGCAGTCGACGAGAGAGACTTCTGTGATGTCGATCTCGTCTGTAACCTCTCGACTTGGGAGCTCCGCGGCACGTTGCGCACTTTTGTGCCACGGAAACCGTGAGAGCACACGATGTCGGTTCCCCGGATACAGGTGATCTCGTCTTCGGGGTCTCGGGGTTTTTGATCGACAGAGAGCGCGCGAGACTCCGCGTGCCGGACCGAAAATCGATGCGACCTCGGCGGCAATCTGTATACTTCTAGAAGTCTTGCGACTCCGCTCGTTTAGCGCGCGCGTGAAAACGTGTCGCCATCCATCGCGGACTCATTATCCCCTCTTTGTCGACTATTAGGCCTCCGGCTTCGATCTCGCCTCCACTGCAGGCCGTGCTTCATTCATCCCGTCCGCCCTCGTGCCGTCTCGCCGTATACTTCGCGCGATGAAGATCACTATAATCTGCAAATTACTCGAGCTCCATCATAGCGACCGGTACGCCGCTCGATCGCGCTTGAGCGCTCGCCTCGCGACCGATCCTTGCTACGCCATTAAATGGAGTCGAGTGGAGCGATTTCCGTGGATCCGATCTCCTCCCCGATGGTCAGTGGTCAACCGACACGCCTCAACTCCGCCCGCGATCCGGATGACCGTTCATCTAAAGGGAGGTCGGGACACTTTTCCCTGCTTCACCAATGAGCTATTTGCCCTGCTAGATCGCGGAAAACGGGGACTCCGTAACGCATCTCGGCCCGAAGTTTGGCT